GTGGATGCTGGGAGTGGTAGGAGGGGGCTGGCTGGGCCACACAGAGAAGCAGGCACCTAACCACCCAAGCATGCTTCCCCAACCTCCCCACCCGGCCCACCCATCCACCCACCGCGGAGGGTGGTGTCTTGCGTCGTGATGTCTGGGTTATCTTGACGGGTCGGGGAGCGGGGCGGGAGAGCTTGCCCACGATGAAGTCAAGCCACTCCTGGGAGGGGAGGGGCAGGGGAAAGTGGGGGAGGGGGAAAGGGGGGGAGGGTAGGGGGAGGTAGGCTCAGGGTAATCGCAGACGCCACAGCGCAAGGCAGGACAACACCGACCTCCCCGTGCTGCGGCACCGCTCAGTCTCTGACGCGCAAACACCCACGTGACGCCCTGGTTCACAACCGGCATCCAAGGCAGGCCTAAGAGAATACCTGTCTTCGGTCCGTCTGCTGGAGTATCCCATCCGACCCGTCCCTCATGTCGATTGCACCTCTAAATCACCAGGAATGACAGCTAACCCGCACGCCGGGCGTTGGCAAGGTGATGGCTGGCTTCGCGGTTATAACTCATCACACAGGGTTCACAGTGCCGCAGCAGGACGCCACAAACCGGTAACCCAAGCAACCCTCCATGCACACCCACCCACCCACCCACCCACCCACCCACCCACCCACCCACCCACCCACCCACCCACCCACCCACCCACCCACCCACCCACCCACCCACCCACCCACCCACCCACCCACCCACCCACCCACCTTGGCGCAGTTGCCGTTCTCGAACACGAAGCCGCCGAACTCGGGCAGGGCCTTGTAGGTGTAGCGCCTGGGAGGGTGAGACGGTTGTCAGAGGATGAAGGGCTTGCGGGCTCGGAGCGATCACCTTACCACAGCTGACCCTTCCCCCTCGCCCTTTGCCGCCGCATCATCCCCCCCCACACACACGCACACATCTGTCCTGTCACAGTATGGTCCGACTCGCGGCCAGCTTTCTAAACACCCTACCCACCTGTCCCTCCGGTGGCTGTCTTCCGCTGTCACCACCAGCCGGTCGGGACGCGGCTGCTGGCCGGGAGCCGGCGGGGCAGCCACCAGCCAGAACTGCTTGAAGTGGCGCCCGTCGGGCAGCACTCCCACCTCCTCGCGCCACGACACGTACTGCCTGGGGGGGTGTTGGTGGTAGATTGGAGGGAGGAGCCGGGGTATGCACGGGTGATGCAGGATGTATGTAGGAAGCAGGAAGAGGAGGAAACGCGAGAGAAGAGAGCCCCTCCCTGCCCCTGCGCCACTCGCACCCGAAGCCGCCCCTTTTGTCTTTCCCGCAGCCCTGCTGCACCCACCCTCTCCCAGTTGTATCCCATCCTCCCCACCCCCCCACCCACACCTGTCCAGCACCGTCTCCGGCGGTCGCGAGTAGAGGGGGTCGGAGGACTCGAGCAGCTGCAGCTCGTGCGGCTGCAGGGGCGGGATGCGCAGCCGGGAGGCGTCCGCAGAGTCAACTGGGGAGGGCAGGGGGAGTGTGGGGTAGAGGAGTGTGAGGGACAGGGAAGGGGGTGGGGGAGGTCACAACGGGTTCCTTAGCGGTGCATCTCGCACGAGGTGAGCGAGGCGACGCGGAGAAAGGACAGCAGTACAGCAAAGCCCTCTCGGGCCTCCCGCCCCTACCCACCCCCCTCCACCCTCACCCGCTCCCTGCGCCGCCAGCCAGTCCATGACTCTGTTGCGGTTGGTGCAGCGCAGCGGGCTGGTCACCGCGGGGCAGTCGGGCAGCGTGGAGTAGATGAAGTGGCCGGAGAAGCGAAGGTCGGTGCCCTGCGGTTGGTGGGGTGAGGTGCGTGGGGTGGGAAAATTATATAAGAAATGTAAACAACGGGGGGGAGGTTTGGGGGCGGAGATAGGTCAGCAAGGCAGGAGAGGAGTCAGGCGATGGGTGCGATGTAACGCCCCTTCCTTGAGTGACAGGCAGGCAATGCTACACTGGTATGCTCAACACGTGTAAGATGTAACTCTGGCTGTTCTTGATGTAGGTGACCCGGAAGCATGGAACAGGCACTGTTTACCAGCCCGCAGCCACACCAGCGGCCGCTGCATACCGCCGCCAGCCCCTCACCGCCCCCACCCCCCACCCCCCCGCACCCACCACCACTGCCAGCACCGCATCGTAGTCCTCATCCACCAGGTAGAACAGGATGTGGTTGGCGGTGGCCTGCCAGCGCAGGATGTGGTAGTAGCGCCAGGGGCGTCGGGAGGGAGCAGACGCGGGGCCAGCAGCAGACGCAGGAGCACCGCCCGCAGCAGTGGTGGTGGTGGCGGCGTTGGGGGCAGAAGCAGAAGCTGCAACATAGCCTGCTGGGCTGGATTGTGATGAGGGATCGCTCTGGGGTTGTCGCTGTTGCTGCTGGCACTGCTGGTCATGGGGAAAGGGCCGTGGGCCAGGCATCGGCTGTTGCTGCTGTTGTTGCTGCCATGGGTTTTGTTGGTAAGACGGCTGCTGTTGTTGTTGCTGCCAGCAAAAAGGTTGTTGCTGCTGTTGCTGTTGTTGCTGTTGTGAGTGGGACTGTTGCAGCAAGGGAGTGCCGTGACGAGGCGGCCACAGCTGCTGCTGCTGCTGTTGAGCCGCTGCGGCGGATGAGGTTGGGGTCGACGGCGTGGAATGGTCTGCTGCGCCGAACGCGGCTGATGGCGCCATGCACACGTCATACGCGGGACGCTGCTGTTGTTGGTTCTGTGGGTGCAGCATCAGCTGCTGCTGAACGTCTTGAGAAGACGTAGGCGCAAAGGGAGAGGTATGGGACGGGGCCGGGGCTGCATCAGGGGCGTGATGTGGACCCATGAGCCATGGGTGTGCGATGGATTGGACCTGTTGTTGTTGCTGCTGCTGATTCCGCACATCCCACCGCTGCTGTTGCTGTTGCTGTTGGGCTGTGTACGGCAGTAGCTGTTGTTGCAGCAGGTGCTGGTGCTCTTGCTGGTAGGGCACGGAGGGCAGCTGCTGGTGCAGCAGCGGGGATGCGGGCGGGGTGGCGGGGGCGGAGGGTGCGTTGGAGCCGGTGAAGCTAATGCGGGGCGCCAGCAGCGGCAGCGGCTGGCTTGGGTGCTGCTGGAGGAGGGAGAGACTGCCTGCGGAGGGTGGGGGGTTGGGTTTGGGTGAGACGGGGTGGGGTTCAAAGTAGAGATGTTGTTCGGCGGTAGGGTGCGGTTGCAGCGGTTGTATGCAGGGTGCCCGAGGGAGGGGGTCTCAGACAGGATACCCCGCTTGTCACGCATCCTAGTCCTCCCTGGTGCGCACATTGCTAGGAGCATAGGAAGGTAAGTAGCTGTAGCAATGGCGCACAGGGCTCCCCAGCTAGTGCATGCAGCGCCTACGGTACACAGCAGCAAAGACAGCGAAGCGGGCCCACCAACATGCAAAAGCCACCCCACCGCATGTCGCCTCAGCGGGCTGCTGTTGCTGTTGCTGCTGCTGCTCCAGGGATTGCAACGGCACCTGTGCAGCCCACATGGCAACCAGGTCGTCCTGCATGACTGCAGCCGTACACACGAGTGCTGCCGGGGGCCGAGCTATGAGGAGGCGCCGACGCCGCCTCCCAGAGACAAATCGTGGGGGTTAATGAACGTGGAGGTAAAACGTAACCGTTGCTCGATGTGTGCACTGGCGGTGATGACCTAGCCACCTCTTGGCGCGTGAATAGTCGCCTGAGCAGAACCGCTGCGGTCTCCTGGGTACTTACAACGGCGCTTCCGTGAGGCAGGTAACCCGCTGGGTGCTATGGAGTAAGGGCAAAAGCTAAGCTCAGGACGGTTGTTGGTATAAGTGTGTGTCCGCTGTCACGGCTAGTCAACGCTGCTACCCCGTTCGGGCAGAGAGCTCTTTCAATGCGGCCGGAAACACCTCGCTTGCGTGCGCAAGTACGCTTGATAGCCCAAGGACGATCGATGGTCAACCGCTACCGCTGAGTAGTGACACAAGACACTGCTGTAGCAACGGCAGCAGACCCCACGTACATGCGTCCGCGTTTCAAGCGATTGACCGCCTGTCATGCTAAACAGCTCACCTGCCGGCAACACCTTAATATGGATAGGTAGGAGGCTTTGCCGTTAGGCACTGGATGGTTCGCCCGCTTCTTCTCACCTGCGTGCCCGTCCTAGAGAGGCGGCCTGTCCTATTCAGGAGCGATCACAGCCCGCCCTTTGGCCCTTCCAAGATCTAAATGCGATAACAGGGGAATGACCGACAGCTCGCGGACGAGTACACCGTGTTTAGGCAGCAACGACTAGCCAGCTATGTGCACCTGAGGCAGCATGCCATGTCTTCCCGTCGGCTTTCAACATTGGAAACAATAAAGCGAATACACGCACGCTCGCAGCCGGCAACACTCGTCCATACCTCATCTACCCCTCATTTGCTGACAGGAGTTAATAGGATAAAGATGTCCATTAAAGACGGGTGCTACCGTAACAAAGCGTGCCAGAACCGCCTATGCCGCATGTGTGGACTTACACGGCCACCTCCCGGGCAACTGCACTGCACTGCTACCTGCATCTCGCAGCCCTGAACGCCTGTCGTCTCTACACCCACAACAGCAAGACGCGAACCAAATCCGTGACGCGCCCCAACAGGCTGCTATGGCACATGCACGTTTGCCTCACCCTAACAAGCCTGTGACAGGCAGTAGATGGCGCGCTGTCCATGTATCCCGTACCATAAAAGAGGTAGCATGGCCGGACAGCTAGGTGTGCGTACAAGCCCTGCTTCCCCAAACAAGGTAAGCCGAGAAGCACACACGGGCAGGCGTGAACCCACACATGGCGCTTCCGCATGCAGTACAATGCCCTCCTCCCAAACATGAAACATCACATACCAACAGCTCCACACCCAACCAGGCGCTTCTCACGACCCTCACGCCAGCACGGAAACCCAGCGCTCGCCCCCTTCGTGCAGACCCGTCACCGCGACTTCTTGCTCTCCGTCCCCGCCGCTGGCCCCGTCGATCCGCCCCCACCCGCCTGCTTCCCGTCCTTCTGCTGCTGCTGCTGCGGTTGCTGCTTGCCGCTCTTCTTCGCCGCCGCCTCCGCCTGCTTAATCTCCCGCAGCTTGTCGAAGGCCTCGCGCACCTTGGCCGTGTCGAACAACTCGGGCATCCTGCAGGGGCGGGGGAGGTGGGTAGGTAGGGAGGTAGGTGGGTAGGGAGGTAGGTGAGCACAGGCATGCAGGTGGAAAGGGGGTCGAGGAAAACGCGACGAAAGAGGTCTGATGCTGCGTGAAGGGGCAACAGCAAGGGGCGCAAAGCTCCGGAAACCTGCGTCATCGAGGCAGACGAAGGATAGCCTTCACAGGCAGAGAATACATTCCTAGCTCTGTCGCTTCCGCCCCCTCCCTCTTGTCCCATCTTGTGTACGACAGTTCCATGCCCGGCCCAGCCTTGCCGTACCTTTCCTCCAGTGGCGTGGGTCGATTGGTGCGGATGATGAGCAGCATCGTCTCCACGATCATCCCCGTGGTGAGGCCCAACACGCCCGCCAGACCCGCCTGAGGGAAGTCGGGTAAGGGTGAGGTCAAGGAGCAGCAGCAGCAGCAGCAGCAGGAGGAGGAGGAGGAGATGGTGGGGCGAGGAGGGGCGAGGAGGGGCGCGGATATGCTGAGGGGAGCAGCACCTGACGCACATGGACACACTCGCATGCAGCTTATCCGCTTATGGGTTGGTTGTCCACGAGGCGTTGTGTCCCATATAACACTTCAGCTTTGCAGCCCACAAGCAGGAGTCTCCCCTCAGCCCCTCTGGGAGCAACCCATCAACCCACCCAGAGTTCGTCGTAGCCCAGGTACATTTTGGACCCGTAGTAGGCCACCGCCCAGAAGGTGAACATGGTCACGATCACATGCGCGCCGAAAGACATCTGCAGCCGGGAGGTGGGCAGGATGGAGCCGCGCATCTCATCCGCCTTGCGCTCCTTTTCCGTAATGTCCGCAACCATTTCGGAGTACCTGTGCAAGGGGTGTGCGTAAGCGAATACTGGTTATGGGGCGAAGGGGAAGCAGGAGAAGGGAGCAGACGTACCGCCTGTTTTCGAGCTCTTCTTGTAACCGTGCGAGCCGTGCTTGTAGCTCGGGGCTCTTTTCTTTAGGCGGGGGCGACGAGAGGATGATGTCTTTTTGGGAGCATAGCTGGTGAAGGTAAACTGGTTTCCCAGGGTTCGCTTTCCTGCACCAGCATGGACGAAGGACGTTAGCCGATCGATTGGAGCACGGCATCTCAAGATTGCAGTCCCTCAATTCCCTGCCTGTATTCCTCCGCAATCTCCTTTAGTTTATCCCATGGTATGCTCCCGGCACCCTGAAGCCGTTGAGCGTCTGACCGCACCGCCTGCGACAGGAGACCATGGAAAAATAAGCAGCTATTTTTCCATTCAAGTGTCATGTAAAATGCTTACATCTGGTACACTGGAACACGTTGCTGTTTCATCTAGTAACGACGCAACTCGGTCTGTAATTTGCAGAGCAAGCATGGTGTCCAACTGGTTTGCAGGCAGTCTGTGTACCGGTGAACGTTTCAGGAGTTTGTGCAGACTTACATACCAGTACTGGGTAAAGCCAGAAAGCTCCACGGCCAACGGTAGTCGGGTAAACGACCATGCATTAGTAATGGCCGTATTTTTCAGGCAGCTATGCCAGCCACACGGACCCGCGGAGAGACGGCAGGCATTTGCTTCGCCAAGTGTCGCAGAGGAGCAGAATTCCTTACGCCTAAACGTTAACCTACGTCGAATGGTCCACCAGCCACCTGACGCGTTCCACCCTCACGGCCTACCGTAGACATTACTCGAACCTTTCACCATTTCCAGCCCAGCGCGACAGACTCCAGCAGGACCGCAGCAGACCAATGTTCCCTCAACCCCATGCCCTTCAAAACCGGACCCCATCACCGCCGCCATCGTCAGGCCGTGGCCTGCTCAGCCAAGCTAGCCGCATGTCATTCAAAGAGACGCTGCGCCCTTTCCTTCCTCCCTACTCCCCTTGGCGCACTTGCCCCAACACTGATAACCCCAACCCCCTCCTCGCACACCTCTTTCACTCCATACCGGTATCACCCCGCAAACCTCAAAAAGCCACCACAAAACCAACCGTCCCACCCTTCACTCCTCAGCTCCTCAGTTTCCTCGTTTCCCCACTCCTCACGCCATCAGCTGCCTCTTCGCCGGTAGCACTGCATCCCCCTCCGTCACCCCCTCCCGCTCCTTCAACCTCCGACCCAGGTGCCCCAACCCCGCCATGTTGAACCCCACCACATCCTTCAGCCCCTGCGCCGCCGCCCGCAACCGCCGCTGCAACCGCATCAGCACCGGCCGCGCCGCCGCCGTCGCCGCCAACTGCCCCTGGTGCAACCGCACCACCAACACCGCCAGCCTAACCGTCAACTCAACCGCCGTACCGCCCGCCTCCAACCACTTTGGCAGGTATCCCAACAACCGCAATGCATCCGCGAACGGCAGCATCATAACCGCCTGCTCCAGCTCACTCGCCCTCACCCCAGACACCACCTTGAGTACATACGCACTCGGAGCCAGGCCCTGCATCACCGCATTCATCGGCAGCGGTCGCGGCGGCGGTCGCCCCTCCGCCTCCGCCTCCGCCCTCTCCTTATCCGCCCCCCTCAGCCTCTCCATCTCCAGCGCCGCCACCTCCAGTGCCTCAATGATCGCATCCGCAGCGCTGACCGCTTCCAGTGTACGGCGACCCGCGGGTGCAGCCGCCGTCGCGTCGGCGCCCGCCGCCGCGCCGCCGGCACCTCCCGCCGCCGCGGTGTCCTTGTCGGCCGCAGTCGCTTCCAGATCGGCCTCGAACAGCGACTCCAATCGCCGCTCGCGCTCCTCCTCCACGAAGAAGGGCTCCGAGGTTCGCTCCCAGCGGCGAATGGAGCGGTCGTGGGAGCCTAGGGGGAGGGGAGGGGTGGAGATGAGGGTGGGGTAAAGAGAAAGGAGAGGTGAAGCACTCTATGAGGTTGCGGGAGGGGGGCGCAGAGACAAGGGTGACGTGGTATGGACTGCGAGAGAGGAGGGTGAAGAGCGAGGCACCCTCAATCACCAAGCGTATGGTGGTACGGCACCCCATATCACCCCTTCCCTCCATCGCCCCTCCCCTTCCCTCCATCTCCCCTCACCCTCCCTATCTTCTCACTTCTCATTTAGTATTCCCCCTCCCCCCCTTACCCCTCTCCCCCCTCCCACCTGTGACCACAAAGTCCCCGAACTGGCTGACCGCCAGCGCCCACACCTCCCCGTGGTGCCCCCCCAGCTCCAGCAGCAGCTCACATCGGTCCAGGTCCCAGTACTTGAGCAGCCGGTCCTTGCCCGCGCTGAATGCGTAGTGCGTGCCCGGCACCCAGGCGACCGACATGACCGCGTCGCCGTGCGCAAAGAGGGAGCGGTGGCAGTCGCCGAAGTCTAGACCCCAGATCTGGGGGTGGGTGGGAAGGAGGTGGGCAGGGGAGGGGAAGTTGTGAAGGATAGCGACTAACCATGGGGAGGGGAGGGGAGTTGAGAAAAGGAGAACAGTACCGGCACACAACCCGCAGAGGAAGAGGCATGCACAACACCCCAGGACAAAGCCCTCCTTCCCCCGCCTCCCCCCTCCTGAATGAGTCGGAATCTGGGATTGGGACTCCGTTGCTGCACTTATCTTTATATTCCCCCCCAAATCTCTCCCCCACCTTGATGTTCTTGTCGGACGAGCCGGTGAGCAGCAGGGAGGAGTCGGAGGAGATGTCCATACACAGCACGGGCAGCTTGTGGCCGTACAGCGACAGGAAGAACTTCATGCTGTCCGCGTAGTAGACCTGGGGGGGAGGGGGGGGAGGGAGGGAGGTTGGAGTGTCAGGGGAGGGACAGTGTGGGTGTGCCGCGAAGGCTACGTACTCTCCCCTTTCCCCACCTCCTTCAGCTTTCCTCCGCCCTCATTCAATAAGGCTACCTTGTAAGGCTACCCCTCCCTCTCGGCTATTGCCAACAATCTGGTCTTCAACCAAACCCCCTTCCCATCTTGCACACCCTCCCTGCATCCCCCCTCCCTACACCCTCCCTCCCTCCTCATCCCCCTCTCCCTTCCCCCCTCTCTCCCCCCCCTCCCTTCCCCCCTCCCCCTCACCTTGACCGTCGCATCCAGCAGCGCCACCGCCAGCAGCCGCCCGTCCGGACTCACACGCAGCGCCAACACATCGTCCGCCATGGCCACACTGCGCACGTGGGCCAGCCGCAGCTGCCGGGAGCCGCCGGAGGAGGGAGCAACCACACTCCACTGCCAAAACTTGATCTGTTTTGGGAAAGGAGGAGGGATGGGGTGGGGAGAAAGCCGTGTGAGGAAGTGCGAAGAGAAGTAGCCTGGAGGGGAGGTCTCCTGATTAGGAGCGCATCAAAGCCACGTCACACGCCCTCCCTCCCTCTAGCCATTCAGTCCAGCTTACAGCCACCAACCGTGCCCCGACCACTCCCGGACCTCTTCCAACCGCCGCAATGCTCCGTCTCCGCTTCCCCACTCCCCGCCATCCCTTCCCCTCCCCCCTTTCCCCCTCCCCCCCTCCCTCACCGTCTTGTCTGCCCCCCCGCTGATGAAGCCGCTCTTGTCCGGCAGTGGCGCCAGTGCCCACACCGCCCCCCCGTGCGCCGCCTCCTCCACGTGCACACGCGAGGCGGCTCCCAGGTCAAACACCTCCAGCGTGCCCTCCTGTTGGGGGGGGAGGGGGGAGGTTGGGGGGAAAAAGAAGAATACCCAGCGCGTTAACTGAGAATGGCAAACAAGACGACATGGGGGAAGAAGGAGGGAAGGGAAAGGAGCATGCGCGATTTGGGTTGGGTTGGGCATTTGGAGGTGCGGCGCTCAGTCCATGCTCTTTCTTCCTTCCACAGCGCATGACCCCGCACAACCCGCCTCCACCCCCCGGTCGGGCTGGCTCACATGTTGCAAAGCAACCATTGTAATGCCTTTTCACACTGTCAGTCAGTCGCTTCTCCTTTGCCCCGCACCCCCCCCCCAACCCCTACCTTGGTCCCCACCACCGCAAATTTGTTCCCCGGTGCGAACAGCACACTCAGCCCGTATCCGCCCTCCATGGTCGACAGGCAGCTGCCGGTGCGCGGGTTCCACAGCTTGAGGCCGGCGGAGGAGGCGGAGAGCAGCGCCGAGTCGTCGGGCGAGAGCGCCAGCGCGCGGATGTCGGAGCGGTGGCCCGGGAGGTCCAGGCGGGAGAAGGGGGAGTAGGCGTGGGAGTCGGAGGAGACGTCCACGATCTGGGGGGGTGGGGAAAGGGGAGGGGGAGGAAGGGGAGGGGACAGGAAGTTAGGATAGAGCAGCCGCCAGTGCTGGAAGGTAGTTTCCAACCGCCAAACCCACCGCGCAACCTGTACCCCCTTCTGCAGCTCCTGCTGCCCCTCCTTTGGTCCTTTCCCACTCCCCCTACAGCTTGTCAGTTTCTTCCTTTCCACCCCCCTCCCCCTCCCCCTTCCCCTCACCCTCCCCTCCCCCCACCTCAATCGCGTTATCGCTGCGCGCCAATGCCAGCCTGCACGCCACCCCCGGCGGCAGGCGGGCGGCGGGCGGCGCGAAGCAGAACGCCCTCAGCTTGGCGCCCTTGGCCGCCACCAGCTGCACTGCCTCCAGCTCGTCGGAGGCCTGGGGTGGGAGGGGAGGCGGGAGGGAGGGGAGGGGGTGGGAGGGGATTAATAGGAATACATTTTAGGGATACATTTCTGCATTAGGGGGCTGGGAGGGGAGGCGAAGGCGGATGAGAAGGAAGCAAAGTCAATCAACTGACGGGGAGAGGGCCGGGGAGTGGGAAAGGGGCAGGTACTGGGAGGAGGGAGCCCGGCGTGCGGGCTGTGTGCGGTGCCAGTCAGGCTAGCAGATAGAGACAGGTGCAAGGAGGCGCGATCATGCACGTTGCCCCGCACCTCCCTTATTGCTTCCAGCACTCCTCCAACACACCTCCACAGACCCATGACAGTAGGGTAGCGTCCCCAACCCGCGGCCCACTCCCCTCACCTTGAGGGTGTCCTCCTCCTCCTCCTCCTCGCCCCCCGCGGCTCCCTCCTCATCATCATCATCGCTACCCCCCTGTCCCTGCTGCTGCTGCTGCTGCCCGCCCGCCTTCTCCTTCCGCTGCTCCGCCTTCTTGGTCGCCTTCTCCTTCCGCCGCTTCTTGCGACGCTTCAGCTTCTTGCGCGCCTCGTCCTCGTCACGAACCCTGTCGTACGTACCGGGGGCAGAGGAGTCAGAGGAGAGGGGCGTGGTAAGCCGGGTTCTTTGCATGCAGCGCTGTTGCGAGTGGCCCGGTGGCATTCCGCCTCACACCACGACTACCGCCATCACCTCCCAGCACCATCCCCCAGTCTGCCCGCCCAATCCACCAACCCCTCTTCCCTCAGTGCCTCCCTCCACCCAGTCTCCCCCCCCATCCCTCCCACCCTCCCCACCTGAACAGCTCCAGCCCCCGTCCCGCCCCTTGCACCCCCAGCCACTGCCCCTCCCCGCTGAACCGCAGCAGCGCCACCCGCTCATGCGAGGCGGCACCCCGGCGCACCGAGCCCATGGGCACCAGCACCGTGTGGTCGCGCAGGGCGGAGGGGGCGGAGGAGGAGGAGGGGGCGGCAGCGGCGGCGGCGGCGGATTCGGACTCTGGGTCCCTGTTGGGGTGGGGTGTGGGATGGAGTTGGGTAAAATGGGGCGGGATGGGATGAACACAGCGGGATGCATACAGAAACCCCTCGGCACCATCTCCTCCATCCCACGCGGCCTCCTTCGTAACCAACCCCCCTACGCCCCTTCCTATCCATTCTTTTGTCCCAACCTGGGGTTTCCTATGGTTCGGTATGCTCTTTGACCCTCCTCCACTCCCTTTCCCACCCCCTCACCTGATCGCAAACACGCGTATCTCGTTATCGCTGGCCCCGGTGGCCAGCCGGGTGCCCGCCGGGTTCACATCCAGCGCCCACACCTCCGCCCGGTGCCCGCCCAGCGTCTGGCAGCAGTGCTGCGTGTCCAGGTCCCAAACACGCACGGAGCCGTCCTTGGAGGCGGACACAAGCTTGGACTGGCCGGGAAGGAACACCTGGGGGGGGGCGGGGGGGGGGGAGTGGTAGGGGGTAAGGGGGGGATGGATTGATAGAGATTGGATTGCGGGTAGCCATGCTTGCTGGGGGTGTGCTCGCAGAGGGGGGCGACAAGGGCTTGTGGACTGATACAAGCAGGGAGCAGGCCAGGAGGTAGGGCTAGGCTACGTAGCCATCTCATAGAGCCTGTTCCTGCCCCTTCACCCTTCCCCATACCCACAACTCCTCTAGCCTCCACCCCCTTGCCTCCCTCCTCCCAACACCCATCCCCCCCTTTAGCCCGCCACCCTTCCCCTCCCTCCCTCACCCCCACCCACCCCCCACCCGCACCCACCACATCCGTGACCTGGTCCTTGTGCCCCCTCAGCCGGTACAGCCCCGTCTCCCCCGCCACGTCCCACACGATCACATCCGTGTCCCGACCGCCACTGGCCAGCAGCGCACCCCCCGCACTGCCCCCGCCCGCGCCGGCAGCAGTGCCCTGGTAGCGGAGGCAGGAGACGCCGGACTGGGGGGCAGAAGGAGGAGGGGGAGAGGGAGGAGGAGGATGGGGACAGATAAAGATCAGATGGAGGTTCAGATGCGGCAGCAGGATGCGGCTCGGCACCGCCACTGTCCTCCCCTCGTCCCCTGACCCTCCCGTTGTACTGCATCCCGCCATGCCCTCATCCGCGGCCACCGCCCCCCCCCAAGCCTCAACACACAGCTCGCCAGTTTCCTCTTTTTACCCTCCTCCCCACACACACCAACGCCAGTTCTCTTGACACACCAAACCTAACACCGCACCTTGTGTCCCTTGAAGGTGACAGTGCACTCGCCGCTCTCATAGTCCCACAAACGAACCTGGGGGGGAGGAGGGTGAGAGGGCGGGAGGGGGTAAGAGGGCGGGAGGGTTGGGGGTTGAACACGGGTCTACAGACAGGGCTGCAGCACAGAGAAGAAGTCGTCTCAGGAGGAGGGGGTTGTTCTTAAAGTGATGGACACTGTGTACGACAACGATAACGCGGTGTACGTACGGCAGTGGGTTTACGCACCGTTCCATCCGAATAGCCGGCTGCAATGGTGGTGCCGGCGGGGGCAATACACAGCACCGTCACCTCAGCCACTGGGGAGCTAGGGCTGCCGCCGCAGCTGCTGCTTGCCACAACGGGGCTTAGCTGCCGCACCTGCAAAAGGCAAGGCAGCGGCGGTGGTAAGTAATTGCTGTACATGGATGCATGTAGCTAAGGCGAGAGGGGGGGACTTGAAGGTTAAAACGTGGCGGCCGGTAGGAGCCTCCATGAGGGTGACTATGGACATCCATGGTCAGTTAAGGAGTGATAGCTGAGCCCCTCAGCGAATGAGCACACCCCCGGGCCTTCATACGGGAAATTGATACCGTATACGAGTAGCCTAGCTTCAAGTCACCCACCAGGCTGCCCTGCTTGGCATTCCATACGGAAATGCTCTCCAGCGATGAAGTAAAGAGTAGCTTGCCGGTAGCATCATATGTAGGATTGGCTGCACTAGTGATAACTCCAAACGCAGCAGAGAACTCGTACCGAAGATATGCTTTCACCATGGCTGCGCACCCCCGACGGGGCGGCGCCTAACAAAGTTAATGCAGGCGGTTGCCCAGAAAGGGTTGATGATAGTCAAGTCCTGGGTATTTCCAAACACGCTTTGTGTCGAGCTCTGAGCCGTGACTACTTTTCCTTTTGTCGGCCACCTAACAGTTATAAAAGGACAGCGTCTTTTGGCAGGGAAATCCTCCTAAAGTGTAAGAACGAATTATGTTAAGAGTAATACTACTCAACGCGTCTCTTAGTACGGCTAGTGTGTTGCGGCTGAAAGGCCTGAAACCCTGGCCGGATTGTCGTTCAGGAAAATGCACCTTCGCACTAACCCGTGACATTCTTAAGCATAGCACGCCACAATCGTGCCCTACATTTGTTTATTTTGCATCACAGTTCCAAAAAGATCCTGTCCATAAGTAATAAGCATTTGCAAGTAGGTCGATGTCTCTAGTAGGTGAAGCTGGCCTGCGCCAACTATGCCGTAGTGGACACCTGCTTAGACGTATACCTCTAGGCGCAAAGGTGCGAATCCTGCTGGTTCGCTTGACTGAAGTTCATCCGTCGACCCATGGCGCCGCCCGCCCGCTTCCTCGCCGTGCTTCGCACAGGCCAACCTACCGCAGGGGAGACCTTACATTGCTCCGCGAGCTGCACTTGCACAAGCAACGCAGATGTCAACGACCACGGTGCGTCGCATGCGCAGAATCCGGCCCTCATCGGGCAACACCGCAATCGAGTCAGATTCTTCATCATGTTAATTAGTGACCCTGGACGACTAAACGGCAATAAATTCAATCAAATCCTATCGAATCAAAGCGCGGATTGGGCCACAATCGTAACAAATCGGGCTCCTCCGGCCCAGACGTATCTCTCAACCGTCTCTACTAGTGACTTTTCCCAACAGGGTGCTTTCACCACCCCCTTACCCTGCTTCCCTCACTCGCCACTTCCTCCACCTCTCTGCTAGGCAGCAAACACACCTCCCATGCTCCCAATGTGTCCCATCCGAGCAACCTACCCAGCGCCCTTGCTGGTGCCACTCGCCTCGTCCCTCGCCCCGCCTGCCGCCTCGGCCGCCTCCTGGTGACACCCCCTTCTGCACCTCCACATGCCCCACCACAGGAGGCCCCGGTGGCGCCCCCAGCCGTAGCAGCAGCCGGGTCGAGCCAGCGGAAGCGGGTGGTGTTCGTAGTGGGGGGGCCGGGCTCCGGCAAGGGAACCCAGGTAGGGTACGGGGGTGAAGGGGATGAAAGAGGTGAAGGCGTGAAGCCAACTCCAGCCATATGTGCGGCGATTGCCTGGTGTGTGTTATGCCCAACGTCTTTAGCCTTTCAGGCCGCGTACGGCACGACTGTGTACGGCTGTGTTTCGACGGCACTGCCGCTAATGCTGCTGCGGAGGAGGATCTTACCAACCCAACCCAACCCCACTCAGCCTAAACCGCCATGCCACGCCACGCCATGTCCTCCATGCCCCCCTCCCGCGCAGTGTGACCTCATATCTCGCGACTTCGAGGTGCCCTTCTTCAGCGCGGGCGACCTGATCCGCAAGCTGATTGCGGCGGGCGGACCCGCGGGTCAGCAGCTGCAGGAGATTATCCTGCAGGGGCAGATCATTCCCTCGGAGGTGCGTGGGGAAGGGTAGGGAAGGGATGTGCAGGCAGCAGGGGCCGGGGGTGACTTGCTGGCGTGCTTGGTGTTGTTGTTGCTCCAGGGATGGCAAGGGCACCGTATTGCAACCTGGGATAGCTTCTGTTGTGCATTGTTATGTCCTTTCCTTGTTCTTATGGCCTTATATTTCCAGTCCCCCAGCCCCACCCGCCCCCTTGGTTTTCCTAACCTTCCCTCCCTCCCTCCTCTTCCCCCTCTCCCTCTCCCTTCCTCTCTCCCCCCATGTGAAAGGTGACGGTGGGTCTGCTGCAGCAAGCCATGTCCGCCACCCCCTCGGAGACGGTGCTCATAGACGGCTTCCCGCGCAATGCGGAGAACCGCACCGTGTGGCAGAGCCAGGTGCGACCTCCTCGTGCCACCCGCGACCCGCCTCCTCGTGCCACCACCCGCATGGAACCGCACCTGCCTGCCCGCGTGCATGCTACCCGCCTGCCCGCCCTGGCTGTCCCCTCTCCTGCCCGCCTGGTAGCAAGAGGGAAGGAAACCGTCAGCCCGGGCCAGCCTGATCCCTCAGCCGCCACCCAGCTCCTAACCCCATCAGCACCACCATCCCCGCACCATCCTCAGCAACTCCTCCCTCCCTCCCAAACGTGCGGTTACGGTTTGAATTCGAATCTGCACCCCTTCCCGTGCCACGCGTCACAGCGTATTCCGAGTCGCGGCCAGTTTTCATCCCTTAACACACCCCTTCTCTTTCTTCCCATGACCTTGCCGTCTTGTTTGCCATCCTCATTCAACACATTGGGTATTCTTCTTTTCCCCCCACCAGGTTGGCTACGACTGTGAGCTGGTGCTGCTGTTCGAGTGCCCCGAGGAGACCATGATGCAGCGGCTGAGGGCGCGGGGGCAGGGGCGGCCGGACGACAACGAGGAAACCATCCGCAAGCGGGTGCAGGTGCGGGTGACCGGGTGGGAAGGATAGGAATCTACAACGCTCCCTGCTGCAGTCCACCCTACAGAACACCGCATCTCTCTCGTTTCCGCTCCCCTCCCTTTCAACACCATATACTTAGCCCTCCACACAAGGTTTGGGCCCAAGCGCAACCCCGTTGAGCACCCTCTTCCTCCCCTCCCCCGCAACACACTGGGTCTTCTTCTTGCCCCCTCCCCTCCCCCTCCCCTCTCGCCCCCTCCCCTCGGCCACCCTGCAGAACTTCAGCGCCCAGATGTCCCCCGTGCTGGAGCACTACCGCGCGCTGGGCAAGGTGGCCACCGTGCGCACCGACCGCCCCATAGCGGAGGTGCATGCGGAGCTGAGTGCGCTGTGGAGGCAGCGCTTCGGAGCGGGGGTGGGGGCAGCGGGGGCTGTACCCGTGTAACGCTTGATCCGGTTGTAGCTTGATGGAGAGGGGTAGGAGAGGAGCGAGGTGCACTCTGTGGGGGCGGGGGCAGCTGAGGTGCAGTACGGCAGCAGCAGCAGCAGTTGGGAGGAGGGGGTGGGTTGCGGGTGAGGCAAGGGCTGTGTTCTGGCAGAAGTAGTAGTAGTAGCGCTGGGAGGACGCGCAGCGTAGGCGGCTACCGACGTGGCCTTTTGGTTTTCAAAGACAGAGCTGTGTGGATGTGTTTTGCGTGTAATATGGTCCTGGACGCTGATTGACGTACTACCGGTAGACGACGTGACGACGGGGGGTGTCGTAAGGTACGGCAGAGGTGTGTGAGGGCGTTAACGGAGCAGTAGTGGATTGTTCACTAACGTGTTTGTACACACCAGGGCAGCGAGGGGGTGCCATGCACCGGGTGTGTGTGTATTGGGGTGCATGGCATCCGCGATGCTGTGTGCGCATGTTGGGTTGCAGTGTGGGGTGTGAGCTGTAGGTGATGATGTTGCAGGTTGGGCCGTTGTTGAGTTTGTTTCGTCGCCTTTGCTGTGCCGTGCCGGAACAGTTGAGGCGCAGGAGACCTGGAGCCGGGTATTCAGGTTCAGGAAAAAGAGGCCGAGTAAGGGGCGTGTGCGGTATAGGCAACCAACTCCAAACATGCTACATACCAACAACACGGAAGAAGAAGAGCACGCAATGCTCGTTACATTGGGTGCTACGGAACCCTGGGTAACCCCCAAACATGCTCCTGACGATGCCTCCCGGCGGTCCGCCCAGCGCCCTCCGAGGCCAAACTTTCTACTTTGACATCTACCACTGGTGCTCCTGTCTCTCCTTACACGGCAGCAGCAGCAGCTTTACTCCCGCCCCCGGAGACATGTCTATTTGCACCACCCTAACACCCGTCCCCACGTTGCCCGCAAACGCCTGTCAACCGCATACCTACACACCCGGTCGCAGCCTGATGCTCCACACGCATCACTTTCCCCTACAACCCAAACCGCCCCAAAATCACATGCACCCAAACACACCGTCTTCCTCGCCACGCAGCACCTCTCCCAAGCGCACCCGCTCTCCTCACCAAAACGCCCGGTACATGCCAAACACAAACATGCTCCCAGCTGCCGCGATCAGCGAGTAGCGGTGCGCCCCCCGCGGCGGCGGCTCCTGCAGCAGCGCCGACCCCAGGTAGCCCGCACCGCCCACCCCGAACAAGCAGCCCACCACACGGCAACCCAGGCAGTCCTGAGGAACCGAGGAGGGGGAGGGGGAGCCCTCCGGAGGCCGGGAGGCAGCAGCACCGCTAGGGGTGGTGCTGCTGCTGTTCCCGGCTGAAGCTGCAACAGCATCCGCAGAGCTGCTGGGCTTCCCCGACATGATAGCGGATGTGGCTGATTTGGGTCCGTAGAGGTGTTTTGGAATAACGACAGGGAGGCACTGAAGAGGCCCAGCGTTGAGGTGCTAATGTGATATGTCCGTCCAATATATATCCGTAGGGTGCTGAGTGAAAGCTACTTTGTGTGGTCCTGCCGCCTGTGCTGGTTGCGGGGAGGGTGGTCGGAAGCAGGTGGCGGTTACTTGCCCGACTTCTTCAGGCCCGCACCCCCGATGGCGCCCTTAGCGGCCTGAGGGAACCAAGCAACGGGAGAGGAGGGAGGGGGGGGTGCGGTAGGGTTGGTGCGGGGGGTGCAGCCATAGGCGTGTCCTGTTCTCCTTTCCCGTTCCGCATCATCAGGTGTCATAGCCTGCCTATTTGCGATTGCGTGCACGACTTTATTGAAATTGCCAAAACGAGCGTAGGGTGCCTTGCTGGACGGCAAGGTATCAGCCATACCCCTCACCTCCCCTATACCAAACCCCGGGTATACCTTCGCCTTCAGCTCCTTCAGAGCAGCCTCCTCAGCCTTCTTCTTTGCTAGGAACTCCTTGTCCGCCTCGTCATACTCCTTCTCAGCCTACAAGAGAAGCAAACGAGGACCCAATGTTTAGAGAGGGATACTGGAAAGCGTTGCTCTCCCTTACGGCCCGAGGCAAGGTCGCATTCTGTTGTCATCGTGGCTAAGCAACTTTGTCTGCCTAAGTGTCTGCGCTCCGCTGCCGGCATCGCCGCCTGGCAGCATAATTAGCTCCCAAAGCTCAACAGATAGCACGCTGTAACTGTGCTTTCGCAAGCGCTATGCAGTCACGCGCATTTAGCAGGACTTAAGCAAAGCGACACAGGGAGGAGTGCAGTTAATGACTACCGTGCAGCTGGGCCTCGTTTCCCTACCTTCTTTGGGGCCTTGAGCGGCTTAGCCTTGCCTGTCGTCAGAAAGAACACAGCGACATGAAGCGGCTGGCCCTGTATGCTGGACTTGCAGCAGTACGCAGCTATGTCAGAACGCACCTGCGTCCCTTCCTGGCATCTTGGAGATGAGAGTGACAGTACTTGTATAAATAACTAAATAGCACAAAACCCGGTTATGAAGTTGCTGCAGGACTAAGTGGTCATATCACCGTGCGCGGGAAAGACAGGTAGATTATTCCGCCGTATACTATGAAGTTGAAGATTACAATTGCGGTTATATGCCTTTCATTGGCTTCAAAGGAGCATTACCATCAATGTGATGCAACGACCCAGGCGACCCAGGCTACGACGCAACTAACGCAGAAAAAAAGCTGCGACAAAGCCGCAGCATCAGCACCTCAGAACGGCAAATGAGCTGAAATTGATCCTATACATGCCGTCCTCGACTATACGTTTAACAACAAGCCTACCGAACTGAGATGTGTACATGTGCACTCGTTACAGGCCCTCTCTATGGTTAACTCTGCCAAGATTGTCGCTTCCATTGCCGACACATCCATCTAATATGTATAAAGCCAAAAGCAAACGACCAGAAGCACATCGCCTAACAGTCGCTCTCAGTTGCTGTCAGGCTTCTTGGCCTCCTCGGCAACAGGCTTTTGAGGCTCTTCGGCCATGCCAGCCTTCAGCTCCTCGTTGAACTCGGATGCAGCTGTCTGAAAGCTCTTAACAGTCTTGCCTAGAGACTTCCCAAGCTCCGGCAGCTTGCTTGGTCCAAAAATTAGAGCTGCTACGCCGGCAATTACGGCGACTTCTGGAAGGCCTAGGCCAAACAGGCCTTGGCACACGACTTGCCGGTCGCGTGGGAGGGTAGACCGTGCTGGGATGGGCGTGACAAGGCTGCGGCGCTGGGGCATGGGCCGGCTGGCAACAGAGCTGCTGTGGAAGCTACGGGTCAACATGGTTTCAACTAATACCGATAATTGATATGGGTTGCAAGCGTATTTCGAGTTAGACAATACTCCTGGCTGATGTGAAATTACGGAGCGCTGGCATAAGTGAACAAATAATGCAATCAAGGGGTAAAGAGAGGCAAGAGATCTTCTCAGCCAATAGGCTAGGAGAGGGTGAAAAGATCCAATTTGCTGGGGTACGGCATAAGGAATAGACGCGACGCAATGCCAAGGACCTGAAACTGCTCTTTGCGGGGACTGCAAACGTATCGTTATCCTTAAAATGTCTTTTGGACAACTGCCTTGTGTAAGCATTCTGGTTACTGTTCCGTCACCGTTCTTCGTAACCAGCATCTTCTGTCGCTAGGAATTAATCTAGGGGTTAATCTAGAACGTTAATATTTATCACCTTCTTTGTGTAATCATCGGGTCTGCGATTTAGCTAGCAAACGGATAGCTTCACCGTATCAGTGTCCAGGAGCGTCTGGAGTGCCCTTCAACATGGACACTATGGCGAATCGGCGGACAGATGATGAAGACGATGATTTGCTTGAAGGCAAGGCTCAAAGCACCAGGCCATGTCTACGCGCATGTCGTCACCAATCCTTGCCTTTACCACTATGCGACGCATGGGTACATGCTATTATTACGTCCGGCATAATATCGTATCAGTGTTATTGCTGTCTTGCGTAACCGTTCCTTTCCGACGTTATCACCCGGCGCTTCATCTAGCCATCGACATCCCACCCCCAACTCTTTTCTTTCTTTCTGCCCCCAACACAACACCTGCTACCCGTCCCTTGCCGTCCGATAACTGCCATCCTGGCTCAGCTTGTCCCTGCGCATCCCTCCCTCCCATGAAGCCACCGGCTGTGCCAACCAACGGCCGCCCCCGCAACTCGCCCAACCACCCAACTCAGTATCACGCGATAACGGTATCCGCAGCCACTTGCCTGCTGGAATGCTTCGAGCTCGCCCTTTCCCCGTAGCTTGCCTTCCCCGGCCTGTGCACGGTACTTTCCTAAACCAGGCGTCCGCGCATCTTGAGGGGCTTAGCCGGGTTAACTGTGCATGCCCCAGTGCTACCACCACCACCACCACCGCCACCGCAGCTGCACCTGCAGCACCCGTGTGTCTCAGCACTTGCAGCGGAGCTCTCCGCCTGTGTTCCCTGCTGGCACGTTCCCAGGCCGGGGCTGCTACCGCGGCTTGCCAGAGCCCCTTGCTGCTGCAGCTGCAGGCGCCTGCATGCTGCTCAGGGCCCCCAGGCTCCTGCACGTGTCCCCCAACCGCAGTGCCATCACGTGATGTGTGCGCTCACGTCGCTGTCGGTGTGCCGTACACACCCCGGATCCAGATGCCCCTCCTGAACCAGAGGTGGACGAGCAGGAGCAGGAGGGGAGGTGGCGGTCTGGGGACAGCCCCACGGGACGGCCCAATGTGTGGGCGCCATCGCTCCTGGCCCAGGGTCCTATGGGCCCTATGAACCCCTAACCCGGCGCTCCACCCCTCCCCGCAGCGCCAACTCCCACATCTTAGCACCCCAACCCCAGTCCAATCCGAATCGCACCTAGCCGCCCCAAGACTCCGCCGCACCGCCCACCCCACCGCACAACCCCATGCAGCCCCTCTCCCCTCCCACCTCCCCTCTCCCCCCACCTCTCCTCCCCCCCCACCTCCCCTCCCCCCACTCCCCCCCCCCACAGACGAGCTGCCTGAGGAGGACCAGTTCGGTCGGGTGCGCTACCTGGAGCTGTGTCGCGAGCTGGGCATCTCACCCGCCTCGCAGATCCTCAAGTACCTGGAGCTGGAGGCCATGCATGTGGAACACTACGGTGGGGGGGGGAAATTATATAAAAGTGAAACAACGAATCCCAATCCCATAGCCCGACTGGGGGGGGGGGGCAGCGGGGAGGAATTGCAGGGGGAGGGGAGGGGAGGGGGGGGGGTAAAAGAAGGAGACTGACGAGGCAACTAATGGGCTGTATGACATGTAGGCTTCACCATGGGGCAGGGGGGGGGCACTGCGGTAGGGGAGGGCGGGGGCTGGGCGGGGAGGGATGCATGCGCTCACAACCCCGGTTCAAACAACAGGGGGCAGGGCCGAGGGAGAAGGAGAGGGAGGGGTGCGGTGGGAGCACATGGCACATGGCACGGTAGGAAGGCTGCTGGTGCCCCAACCCTCTTCCTCCCTCCTCCCTAGTCGGGATATGGGATTGGGACTCGTTGTTTCACTTATTTAATTGTTTCCTCCCTACCTCCCTCACCCCCCGGCCCCCCCATTAACCCCCTCCCCCTACCGCCCTCCAGGTCTGGGTCTGAAGGGTGTGCGCGCGCTGTGTGGCGCGCTGCGGCTCAACAGCTGCGTCACCGTGCTGCGCCTCGCCGACAACGCCATCCCCGACGAGGGCTGCGGCGAGCTGCTGCGCACGCTGCACGACAACAGCGCCGTGACGCTGCTGGACCTGTCGGGCAACCGGCTGGGGGCGGTGGGGTGCAAGGCGCTGGCGGACCTGCTCATGAGCAGGGTGGGGCGGGGGAGGGAGGGGGAGGGGGGGAGGAGGGGGCGGAGGGAACTGACGTCAGCTGGGGTGACGCGGGGGCTTCACCATGGGTTGCTGCATTGGATCCGGCACATCATCCCATCCCACCATGAATACGGTAGTCAAGCCAGGACAACAGAGGGGCTTACCGTAAAGATGAGACTTACTGCAGCTACGGCCATCTCTAGGCATCTCACCCTCCCTTCCCGCGCTTTCCCTCCCCTCTCAACCTCCCCCCCTCGCTTCCCTCCCTCCCCCGTCCCCCTCCCCCCTCCCCCTCCCCCCCTCCCCCCCCAGAACACCGTCCTGCGCGGCCTGACACTGAGCAAGATGCGGCTGGGTGACCGCGAGGGGGTTGTGCTGGGCAACTGCCTGGAGAACAACACGGCGCTGCGGCAGCTGGACCTGTCCAGCAACGACCTGGGCGAGAAGACGGCGCATGCGCTGGGGCAGGTGGGGGGAAGGAGGGGGCCGGGAGGGTTTGCTTTGCCCTAACCTGTGGTTTCCTATGGTGTGGGCTGGTCCCTGATTCCTCCCCCATCCCTCCCCTCCCCCCCACACTTTGGAATGTCTTTCCCCCCTCCCCCCCCCCCCAGGTGCTCATGGTGAATCTGGGCCTCACGGAGTTGAACCTCTCCTGGAACAAGCTGCGGCCCCGGGGGGTGGCGCACCTGGCGGAGGGACTCAAACCCAACCTCACGCTGCAGGTGAGCGGGCGGAGTGGGGGGGGGAGGGAGCGCAAGGCAAGGTATGCACCTTTACTGCATGTATTCGCGCATGCGTGCAAGTCGCGCATGCGCAAGCTGTAGAGTGCGGCTCTGAGGGTTTGATGACACCCACTTCCTTTCTAATCCCATCCCCGCACTGCATGCATGCCTGCCTGCGCACACGCGCGCGTGCAGGTGTTGGGTCTGGGCTGGTGCGGGTTGCAGGACCCCGGGGCCGCCTCCTTCGGCGCCGCGCTCAAGACCAACCAGGGGCTGGTGGATGTGGACCTGTCGGGCAACCAGATCACGCTGTCGGGGCTGCGGGCGCTGTCGGAGGGCATTGCGGCGAGTGCCACGCTGGCAGCGGTGGCGCTGGATAACAACGACCTGCGGGCGGAGGGGGGCAGGGTGAGGCGTGGCGGGTGGTGGTGGGGGAGGAGGAGATAAGAGGTGGAGCCTTGCCATGCCGTTCGTCAGCTTCTTCCTCTCTTTCCTTACTCCCCCCCTTCTTCCCCCCCCAGGAGCTGCTCCACGCGGTGGACCGCAACAAGGGGCTGGTGGTGTGCAGCATCGAGAACACCAACACCTCGGAACAGGTGGGGGGAGGGGACGGGAGGGGAGTGCTCAGGGGCAGGACAGGGGTGGGTGGGCGCATACACTTCCGGTGCCCTTGATCACAGCCCACGCGGTGTCTATATGTGGAACATGTGGAATATGTGAAATACCTCCCCCCCCGCTCAACCCCCCCCCCTTCTCTCGCCTCCCCAGATCCGTCTAGCCATGGAGGCGCTTCTTGAGCCCCGCCGCAAGCTGCGGGACAAGCTGCACGCGGCGCAGCAGCAGCAGCACCAACAGGGGGGCGGCACGTGAGGCAGGGGGGGCGGGGGGGAGGCGAGGTGGAGCCATGAGGTGGAGGCATTTGTACGAGCGCGGAGGAAGCGACCGGGCATGTACGGCAATGCCATGGTGGAGAGGCGCACACATGGTGTGATCGAGGATGTGACGCAGTGTCTCCTGCTCCTCCTCGGCCGCGTGCTCCTACCTACCCACCTGCTGCCCCTGCTGCCCCTTCCGTTGGGGTGTGGCGGGGTGCTGTTGGTCGCATGCGCATGCGCCACTGCTGCTGCTGAAGGCTTCTGCGGGTGCATCCGAACGCACAAAGGAGGGGGCGAAAACACCGGGAGGGGCAACGAGGTTAGGGGGGTGTTGGGACTTGGGCGGCAAGGAAAGGGGGGTTTACAAGGCAACGCGGTGGGATACCGGTACATTCCAACTGCGCTGAAGTGCCCGGCGGTACACTCGATGCACACTCTTGCGTCGACTCGCGGCCTGGGTGCAGCTGGGCGCATGTTGCATGGACGCTGTTGCCGTACATGGACGTCGGCGCGGTGTGGGGGTTGCTGCCATGACGGCTGCCAGGCGGACACGAGGCCTGCAACCATGCATGCGGCGAGGAGCGCGACAGGCGCTTGTTGGGGCTGGTCGCTGGGGTCATGTCTTTCGGCAGCATGTTTCAGGAGGTAGGGCGTGGGCGTTATTTCTTGCCCAAGCGGGCTACACGTGGGGATGTGGGTGGGGGTGGGGGTGGAAGGAACGAAGACGGTGTAGGGGCGCTTGCGCGTGTTGATGTGGGTGAACACAATGTGAACCTCAATACAACGAGACAGGTGTTACCTTGTCGGTTTTCCAACAAGCAGCATGCTATTACGGATATATAGCGGTATTAGCCGTACTGCACGGCCGCGTGTGCGTTAACTGTGTGTGCCTGCCACGTTATCGCATACAGACGTGCGCAGACACGGGCTCCGGGTGTATACTGTAGGCGGGCGTGCCATTGCAAATGTGGCTGCAGCCGAGGGTGCCGCGGTTTAGTGCCTTTTTTGAAATGAGAGGCGAGACGAATGAGGTATACGTTTGTCGCGTGCTTAGGTGTTAGGCGGGGGCTTAAGGGCTGGAGATTCTAGGGTTTTGGCCGCGCGTCTTATCCGCGATCTTTCTAGTGGGTAGAGTAGGATTTGCAGAGCGTGTGTTAAGAACCACTGTGTTTGTACATGTTTATAGCTTGCAGGTGCTGCCATGTCGTAGGGCACCCAAGCCACAGAACTGCTGACATGCCTGCGTTGGTTGGGTTCAGCCAAGGGAAGCGCCCGACGTGGTTGCGCCGCTTGGCGGTGGTACGGCAGGTGTGGGGGACTCAGCTTGAGGCGTGTGCGTCATTCCGCAGCACTCTTGCTGCCCAAACCGCAACTGCATCTCTGATACATTCCAAATCGCGCGCGCTTGTTGCTATCGTCGCAACTGACGCCGCCGCTCTCAGTCCCTCTTCCTCCTGCTGCTGCTGCTTTTTTCTGTGTGTGGGCGAAGGAAGTCCTCCCCGATACCGGGACACCGTATATGTCTACCTCGAAGACTCGTACTGCTACACTACTGTAACACACACATGGAGCGAACGAAGCCCGCTGCTCCTCAAGGGGCACAACCCATGCAGCTCCCATGGCTCCCAAGGGGCACGCACATCGGGCCCAATGCCAGACAAGGTTTCATTATGGAAGGGTTTGCAAGAACACCTACGCCAGCATTTTCGTCCCCCAAGGGGACTTCACCTTCCGGCAATAACAGTACGTTCCAAGTCGCGGCCAGTTTCCTCAACACACTCCTTAACATAAACTCAACGGTACGGAGGGCTCCAAACATGGGGTGGTGCAGGAGCTCCCAAGGGCGAAACACCAACCGCCCAGGCATGCAATTTTACACCTTGCACCAGGCCGTACCCGCCTATAACCCCAGCTTCTGTTGCAAAACCTGCTGCTCCGAGCCGCACCTGTCAACCGACTTGGCCTCGGATTGCCACCTTAACTTCCTGAACTACCGGTATATGAAGAACTCTTTTAGGGCCAGCGAGCTGCCAATTGACAAGTGAACTTCCGACTAAATGACAAGTGAACCTGCGATCATGCAGCCTCCCATGGCGCACTCACATGACCTGCTGCGTGCACGACGGTTGCGGACAATGCAAGCGCTGCTGCTGCTCGGAACCCTGGTGTGTCCCGCATACGAATTGCCTCCGAACAGCGCTTGCAGGCAATGCCCCTATGTACGCACTGCAAAAACTCGTCCTAGATGTTCTTTCTAACACACACATCTCTCATGTACACTGCTAAGTGCTATGACCCGACAAAATGGAGTTCACTTCGTGGTGACTTCGAAGCCGATCCACCGGACTTTCCCCTTGCCTCGCTGTAATCTTCACGCTACTCATAAGCCCCAAGCAACCCCACACCCGTCACGGCCTCCCCATGCCTCTCCCCGCTCCCACCACCGCAGCCCGCTACTGCGCCCCCACTGTGTTGCCCCGCGCAGCCCCCGGCGCCGTGCCGCCGCTCCCCGCGCCCCCCAGGCTGGCCGTGTTGAGCAGGTCCGCACTGCACATGGGGCTGCACATCATGCCCCAGCAGCGGCCGATCAGGGAGGAGCTGCCGGCTTGGAGTAACAGCGACGTCTCCATCTGGTCGCCGCCGCCGCCGCCACCACAGCTGCCGCTGGGCATGGGCCATAGCGGTGGCGGTGGCGGCGGCGGGTTGCCGTAAGGGGCCGGGGCAGCCGCAACAGCTGCTGCAGCTGCAACCGTGTGCCCTGCGGCGCCATCGCCGCCAGCGCCGCCCAGCACTCCGCCGCCGTCGCTGCCGGTGGCGCCACCTGAGGCGCTACTTGGGCCAGCGGAGCTGCCGCCGCTGCCGTTGCCAGCTTGGAAGCCGGGGGAAGAACGCCGCTCGACAGTGCATGTCGCCGCCATCGCCTCGTGCTGCTGCTGCTGCGGCTGCTGCCTGGGCTCCTGTTGCTGCCGCTTCGCCGGCGGCGGTGCGGCGGCGTGGTCTCCGGAGTTGTCCGCTGACACCTGTGCGCTGCTGAAGATGATGAACTGGATGAAGTTGCGCAGCGAAGCCACCTCCGTCTGCAGGTAGGCCGCGAAGTGTTGTTGGATGTCGGGCTTGCCGGCTGACAGCTGCTCCAGGCTGCCTAGCAGCTGCCGCATGTTGGATACGCCCTCGCTGATGATGCGGCCCAGGTCGACTGCTGCTGCTGCTGCTGAGGGCGGCGGCTGGGGCTGCTGTCCCTGCTGGATCGCCTGCGGATGCTGGTGAGCAACACATGCAGCCGACCCGCCTGCAGCGGCTGCTGCTGCTGCTGCTGCATGCGGGCCCGCTCCATCTTGCGCATGTGTGGTAGTCGTGACGGGCGGTTGGGGCGTGTTGACATTCACACGCGTTTCCACGACACCCGTGGCCATCACGGGGTGTGTGCCGGGGGTCCGAGGCGGCATGTGCAGCTCATGCCCCACCATGGGCGATGTCCCATGGTGAGGGTGCTGGTGCTGGTGGTAGTAATGCTGCGGCGGGCCGGCGGGCGCCATGTGGGCAGCGTCCAGGTAGCGTCCTGCTGCTCCATGCGGCTCGTTGGGCCGCCCCCCAGGAGGGTGGTGGTGGTGGTGCTGCTGGTGCTGGTGGTGGTGCTGCTGGTGCTGGTGTTGGTGGTGGGGTGCTGCCTCGGCCTCGGAGGCAGCCGCGGCGGCCATCAGCCCGAACACGCCTCCCCGCTGCTGAATCGTCCCCTCCTCCAATGACATAACGTGGATGCTGTCGGTCAGGCCATCCACACCCTCGGGCTGCTGCTGCTGCTGCTGCTGGTGGTGCTGCTGCTGGTGCTGCTGAGGCATCTGCGGTTGCTGGATCTGCGGGTGCTGCTGCGGGTGAGGTGCTGCTGCATGCAGGTAATGCATGTCATAGGGTTGCAGCGCGGGCCCCGGCCAGATCATGTTGGGGTGGCGACCCTCCATCTGCAGCACGGCAAAGGGCGACTGTACGGTGGCGTCGCTGCAGGTGCGGTGCAGGGCTGGGTCCGCGCCGCCACCGCCACCTAGCTCTGCCGGCACCTGGCCGGCAGCTGCCGCAAACAGCTGCATGTAGGAGGGCTGCTGGGCTGACGGGCCCGCTGCGGCGGATGCTACCGGGGGCGGAGGCGGCGGGTAGCCGTACCCGCCCATTGCGTGGCCCACAGGAGAGGGCGGTGGCAGCAGCTCCTGCACAGCCAAGGGATGCTGCTGCTGCTGCTGGTGCGGGTGCTGGTGCTGCTGCTGGTGCGGTTGAGGCGGGGCCGGCGGCAGTTGCGGTTGGGCGGCTGCCAGCAGGTGCTGCGGGTGCTGCTGATGCGGCTGCTGCTGCTGTTGCTGCTCCGCGGGCGAGCCCAAGGGCAGCAGCGGCTGCTGCGGTAGCTGCAGCGGGAAGGGGTCCACACTGGGTTTCGGCAGCCGCAGTTGCGGCGGGAAGCCCACGCCCACCGCCGCCTGCGCTGTTCGCTCCACCGCCACCGTCCACGCCGCCACCTGCCCCAGCGCCAGCTCCCACCCCAGCGTGCATGCCGCAAGGTAGGCCGGGTAGCGCAGCGCCAGGTGCTGCTGCAGCTCGGTGTCGGAGCACAGGGGCCGCTCGTCGCTGGCGAGCACGTTCTCGAAGAAGCCGCTGATGAGCCGGTCCTCCCCCTTGAACGATTTCCACTGCTGGCTGGCCTGTGGATGCCAGCAGAGGACCATGCGAGCTCGTGAAGGTGAACCAGTGTGGTTTGGGCTGTGATTGACGCGTGTGCTGAAACGAGGAAGCGTGCTGCTGGCAACAGGCAGTGTAGCTTTGGTCGCCGCAGGCAGCAGACCAGAAGAGGAGGTGGACGCGACATCGAAGCGTGACAGTGCTTTCCGGCCAGCGGCGCCGTCCTCACCGCCCCCCAACGTCTTAAATACAAGTTATCCTCTACACAGCATGCGAGCATGGTCATGTTCATCCTCTTTACTCCGACAGTCACAGGACTTTCCTCCTCGCAGCCAGCTCTCCTCACCCCCCTCCAGCCCCCCACAGCCCCCCACAGCCACCTGGTAAAAGGCCTGCATCACGTCCGCCGCCAGCAGGAATCCCAGTGCGCAGTTGGTGGTCTGGCTGTAGCCAGCGGGCACCCCGCAGCTGTTGGAGAAGTTGCGGGGAGCCTCCACGCCCTTCAACGTGAACTGTGTGCAGAGTGAGAGGGGCATGAGGGGAGCAGAAGCGCATGTGGGGGAGTGGATGGTGAGCAAGGGCAGTACTTTTTGTTATCGTACTTTATGGAGGTAACGGTGGTTCTCGTAGCGACGAAGATAAGGTGCAGTTAGCGCTGGAACAAATGGTAACATTGTGCCAAGGGTGGCATGCGGTCTTCAGGAGCAGAAGCAAGAGGTCCACATCGGGATAGTAAGTTCCAAGCCCCGATAAGCAAAGACACAGAGCCCTTAATCCTTGCAGAACACTCTAAGCCGATGGTATATACCCTGCATGGGCCTACCCTATACCCTGCCCTCTGTCCCCTCCCGCACACACCCATCTCCCACCGCACCTTGACGCGGTTCTGCTCGCCGCCCGTCACACGGTAGGGGTACACCGCAAAGTACTTGCGGTCCTGCGCCCCGCCGCTGCGCCGCAGCGGAGCAATGCTGCGCTCCCAGCCGCCCAGCCCCAGACCGGGCCACTGCTGCGCCGTCACCGCCTGGGCACCGGTGAGGGCGACGCGCGGGAAGAAGGGCGCCAGTCGCTCCCGCATGCGGCCCACCCAGCGCTGTGCGGCCTGGAACACCGCGCCGTCGGGGCGCCAGCCCTGTTCCCCCACCAGGCGTCGCAGCCAGCGCAGCGCCTCGACCTCCTCAGGGTCTGCGGGGTTGCCGTTGTTGCCGTTGCTGCTGCTGCTGTTGGTGGTGATGTTGCTGCCGCTGTGCAGCAAGTGGGCGGTGCCATGGAAGTAGCAGTAGGTGAAGGCGGACCAAACGGAGTAGGTGGACCAGCAGGCGGTGTCAGCGGGCGGCAGCACCGGCGCGGCGGGGTTGCTGATGAGCTGGCGCGCGTACTCGGCTACGAGGGGTTTGTGGGCGTCGAATCCCGGGGGAACGGCCCATTCCAGGAACTATGGGCGGGTTTGGGACGAGGTGACGAGGGGTTGAAGGGAGTTGGGTTGGGAGGTGCGTGGTACTGGAGGAGCAGTAGTTGCTGCGTTGTTAAGATGGCGAGGTAATGGGTAAGGACGCTGTGAGAGGAGCTGTGCAGGTACCCGCATCGGCGGGTGTTAAGTAAGTGCTGTTAAGATTGGGAGTTGTAAAAGACGTATTATTGCAGCATACCTCCAACAATGCGGCGCAGTACTCAGAAGCGACTAGCAAGGCCTGAAAGGAGTAGCTCGGCCAAGCGTCGGAGAGCGGACCGTGTTCGAGCACGCTTTGCGGCGGAGGTACACGGACGCGATGCGGTGCCCCTGTCACCTGCGTGAAGCGTGTTGATTATTTATATTGTACTCACCCCTAACCATAGCGCTTGACAGATTACCGCTTTCCGTTGCAAGGAGGGTCTTGCCTCGAAAGCTTACCATTTCCCAAAGTGGAACCTACCGTGAGGTCCAGGTAGTATCTGTCATTTGCTCTTGTCACCAAAGCCGGGAATGTTCTATTCCGGATGGAAGACATGGCAACAGCTTAGGACCCCGCGGGCGACCGTCACGATGGACCCGGTATCCGACCTGCCGCAAGCATACCAGCTAATGATCTCCCTGGCGAAGAGCAGTCGATGCGAGATGCGAAGGTTGGTCTTACCCTGTATGCACCGAAGTTTTCTTGCACGGTACAGCAGGAAAGCTAAGCGCGTATGCTGGAACCGCAAAGCTCCTTATTTACAACTCTGGACAAATATGCAGGTATATACTGTGCATGTCCCATCCTGAAGCGAAAGCGTACGCACCTAAGCAAGGCCTACGGAGGCCTCGGCATATGGTTTCTATGCTTGCGCGAGGATGCGTGGATTGCTTACTCCTGTACCATGCACACAACTCTTATCTCTCCTTCCTTGCTCACTCGGATGATGTCTCCTGCGTTCGGAAAATGCTCGTCCAAGCCTGGATCCAATCGTCAGCAGGCGTTGCCACTGATGAAGCTCCAAATCCACCGTTTTTTCTGTATGTTTGCGTAACCGGAGTAACTATGCTCTTCACCCAAACCCTTCGCTTGTAAATGCTTGTTTTGATGTCGAAGCCTAACCTGCTTGGGGCAGCGCTGCTGGCTGCGGCGACTGGTGGCTGGCTTCTTGCTAGCACGACTTCCAATGCTTCTGGTGCAGCATAGTGAAGCCTGTATGTATGCACCCAGCACGTGGGCCCAGCCCTTCGCCACACATAGCCTATGTGACATAGGAGGCAGGCCACCAGGGAAGTCGCCCGTTCCCTTGCAGCTCGTACCTATGGGCAACCGATTAGACGGAAGCCCACGGCCCGGTATCGTTAAGGTTCTTAAACCCTTAATCCCGACCGCTTCCATCCCGGCATGGGAAACCCTATGACAGCTTACTCTCCTAGCATGGTCCACTTTGGCCCCCTACAAAAGCTAGGATCTCAAAACGAAAGGTAATGAAAAGTAATCTCAAACAGAAACGACCACTTCTGCTCTAAACCATAGTGCTGCTCGGCGGTAGCTAACCTCCTAGCCACAAGGCATACATAAGTCGCATGTGTAGGGCACTTGTAGCAACACCTATCGGTGCAAACGCTGCGTCTTCCACCTCCTTCCCAGCCTTGAAACATAGGGGGTCAAAGACCATACCATACCATGGACATGGGGGGGGGGCTAAGGCCCTGACGATACAACCTCCGAATCCCCTAACCGTCTGCGGACTGTACCGGTCACAGCCTATTCCGTAACACCACCTACAAGTCCCAAAAATCTTCATCCATTCCATCCCATGCCTCAGCTAAACCGCTAATCATCAACACACACCTAATGGTGAAGACGCGCACAACAAGGGGCTTCCAACACAGGCGTTCAGTTCAGTTCACTGATAAACCGGCACGTGCGCATGTCTCCTCCCACCTCAGCCAGCCGCTACAACGCCTGGCGGTCATTCACCCACTAAGACCCGCCCGCAGTCCAGTACGTTCCTCCTCGCGGCCAGTTTTCTTAACACACCCAAAACCCAAAAGCCGACCCACCTAGCAGCCAGCCGAACGCATCATTCTGCATGCGTCCCCGCACATTCAAGCTGCCCCCTGCTCAACCTCACTGCAACCCACAACCCCCCTTTCCTCCACCTCGCCATGCCGGCCCAACCTCGCCTCGGGTTACGTTATTCTCACCCCTGCCCCCTTGACAGGGGTGACATGACTATCCGCCCTGCTAAACGACCCAGCCTGCCCCCTGTTGGCTATTGCTACGGTGAAAGCCGCCTGCCCCCTGCTGCTGTCCTGTTGAGCCCGCAGCAGCGCCCCTACGACGGCAACTGCTCCATGCCTCGCTCGCAGCCGCAGATGGCACACGCCAGGAACTGCGCCTCCGAACCCCGATGCTCGTACGTGCAGATCTGACACTGCCAGGAGCCGGTCGAGGGAGCGGCGGAGCGCGGCGCGGCAGCGGCAGGCGGAGGCGGTGCAGCCGCCGGTTGCCGTACCTGCGTCGGTGCTGGCGGCGGGGGTGCGGCTTGGACTTGGGGAGCCTGGGGTCGGGGAACGGCGGCGGCGGGAGTGGTCGCCACCACTCGCCGGGCAGCCGCTGCCGCAGCAGCTGCTGCTGCAGCCATCGCAGCTGCGGAACTGGATGGTGTGACCTGACCCATGGGTCGCGGCGCCGTCGCTGCCGCCGCCAATGAGGCTGACGGCGGCGGCGGAACGGGCGCTGCCGTCGTCATCGACTGCTGCTGCGGCGCTACCTGTGTAACGGCTACCGGAACCACGGGTCGCTGCGGCATCATGGGGTGCGGGCCCCGCGGCGCGAAGGCCGCGATGCCCGCCGTATTGTTCAGTACGGCAAGTGCGGGGTTGAACAGCGCCAGTGGGTACGGCCGCGGCTGCGCTGCTCCAGGTGCTGACGCGGCGGCACCCCCTGGGGGCACCATGTACGGCATCCCAGCTGGGCCCGGTGCCGCCGGTACGGCAGCAGCGCTGCCGTTTGCTCCCACCACCACACCGGGTTGCACCGACGAGGGAGCGGAGTACCCTCCTGGGAGGGGCGGGTACGGGATGTGTTGCTGCTGACCTGGCAGCTGCTGGGGCTGCTGGGGCTGCTGCTGCTGCTGGGCGTACGGGGCGGCCATGACGTGGGGTTGCGGCGGCACCAGCGGCTGCTGCTGCGCCAGCTGCGGTGCCTCCCCAGCCTGCTGAAAGGGCTGAGACTGTACCCCGGGCTGCTGCCCCTGCCCCTGCTGCTGCTGCACCCCCTGTCTGGCTGCATGCGCCAGCGCCCGTGCAGCTGCCAGGCTGGGGTTGGCAGCCAGGGCCGGCGGCAGCAGCGGGTGCTGCGGCAGGGCCCGCGCCGCCAGCCCCGGCTGGGGCGGCACCAGCGGCTTGGGTGGGATGAGGGGCTGCGAGGCCACGAGGGGGGCGGGGGCGGGTGCTGGGACGTTGGGAGGCGGAGCGGAGGGCGCCGCGGCTGCTGGTGGCGGTGCTGCTGCTGCTGGTAGGTTGGCAGGTCGCTGCAGGGATTGCAGCAGCATCTGACCCGCCGCCTGACCCGCCGTGTGAACCTGCATTGGAGGAGGCGCTACGGCTGCTGCTGCAGGTGGTGGTGCAGGTGGTGGTGCAGCGGCGGTATTGTTGTTGCTGCTGCCTGCAGGGCCCTCCGCCCAGCCATCAACCGCCGTGGCTGTGGCCCATGGGTCCTCGCACACGGCCCAGGCGTCAGTGCCGTCGGCGGCGGCGGGGGCGGAGGAAGCGGCGCCGCCGCCGCCACTGCTATTTGCAACCGGCGCAGTGGGATCATGCAGACCTTCCGCAAAGAACGAGGCGTCAAACGCCGCTGCGGTACCGGCAATGTCTGCCACATTCGCCGCCGCCGCATTCGTCATCGCAGCGGCGCCACGACCTCCGCCACGACCAACGCCGCTACGACCCATGGGTCCGCCACGTCCTCCACGGCCCCCACGACCACGACCTCCTCCTCCGCGACCGCCATTCTGTACGGCAGAAGCTGCGGCGCTGCCGCCCTGTACGGCACCTCCTGCGCCAGCCCTCGGCGGCGGCGCGGGCGGCTCGGGCAGCTTGAACCCGCGTGCCAACATGTACTTGAGGTCGTGTTGGATGACGGAGGGCTCGTAGTATCGCGGTCGGGGGGCCGGCGGGTTGCTGTCCCGGCGCATGCACACCTCCTCCTCCAGCTCGTGCATCACCTCGTCGGAGGCCACCATCTGGGTGCGGGGGTGCGAGGGTGGGAGGGTGCGAGGATAAGGATTGGCGGGGTTAGGGGCAGCAGGCAGTAGGGCTTAGCAGCAGCATGGGCACAACGGTGGGTGATGATGTGCATGTGCCAGGACCCAGGACCCATCCTTCCCGCCCCCCCGCCTCCCCTCCCCCCCCCCAAGTCATCTCGGTTTCTGGTAAGCAATTGGTAAGTCTCTGAGATGCGTGTTTCTAGATTAGTGTCTCCGAATGCGCTCACTACATGAGTCGGGATTCGGGATTGGGATTGTGTTGTTGCACTTATTTATAATCCCCCCCCCTTACCTTCCTCAGGTCCAGCAGGTGCTCCAGCACGGTGTCGTCGTCCAGCACCGGCAGGCTCAGCGCCTCCACCAGCACCGCCAGCGCCTCGGGAACCTCGCCCAGCGCGTCACCTGGAGAAGGGGGGGGAGGGGAAAAAAAAGAAATTCCAAAGAGGGGGGAGGGGGTTGTTATAGGGCTGTGCAGGGCAGCGGACGAAGAGATCTCCTGGGACAGTTTGAGGTGCAGCGTGCGGTGTACGATGTTCGGCAGGGGCTCAGGACCACCCTACCACCCAGGCAGCAGCTGTGCGGCATACCTCCACCTCACCGGCCATGTTGGGTGCACGCTGTGCTGCACACGTTGCCTCCCACCCACCCTATCCTACCCCACCCCACCCTGTCACGGTGTTACCCACCCACCATAGTTGATCAGCTCCTGGCATATCGCATCCAGCCACCCGACCTCCTGCTCCTCCGCCAGCCGCCTTATCAGCGCCCGCACCACCGCCGGGCCCCGCTCCTCCCCTCCCCCCCCTGCCCCCCCTCCCCCGCCCAGCCCCGTGCGCCTCAGCAGCAGCCCCACCAGCCCCCCCTGCAGCTGCATGGCAACCACACACAACAGGTCGCGCACCAGCTCGCCGCACTGGGCGTCGCGGGACTGCGGGGGAGAGGGGGGTTGGGGGTGGGGGCCAGGTGAGGCGGAGGGGGGGTGAGAATGTGTGCATGTGGGAGTTTGGTTAGTCCACGAGCGCTGTAGCTGTAGCTGTAGCGCAGCGTCTTGCACCCCCTTAAACACGAGCTTCTCACCCACCACTCGCCGGTTCTCTAAACTTCCCCCCCCCTCTCTCCCCCCCACCTCCATATCCAGCAGCGCCAGCACGCAGCTCACGCCGTGCTTGCTGGCCGCCAGCTGCCCCGCGTGCGCCGCCACCCGGCTGCCCAGCTGCAGCGCGCCGTACTGCGGCAGACCCAGCGCGATGGCGCCCGCCAGCACCTGCAGGCGGGGGGGGGGGGGAAGGGGAAGAAGAATACTCAATGTGTTGAATACCCAGGTAAGACTCACACCCTCCCCCCCTGATATCTTCTGCTGGACGCCGTCGTCAACGGGTCTTCCTATGGTCACGGTTAGTGTTTCCTCGCGGCTCAGTTTACCTAAAACACCCCCCGCCCCCCCCCCACCTTGCTTGCCAGCGTGTTGTGCAGGCAGAACTTGAGTCTGTCGGGCGCCTCCATGAAGGCGCAGCACAGCCCGTCAGCCAGCTCGCACGCGTCGAAGCGGTGACTGCCCTCGCAACACACGTCCTGGAGGGGAGGGAGGGGTAGCAAAGGGTTAGGAGGGGTGTCAGCCTCCTGATCGGCATGAAGAGGCCGCTGCTGCCACCGCCACTGCCCCGGGGCTGCCCTCATCAGCTCACCATTCCCTAGCGCCCCGCATCACTGCTTCACCCCGCCCTCCACACTCCCCCCCAGCCCCCCACCTTGAGCGTCCCCAGCAGCTTCATCATTACAAACACCCCCTTGCTGTCCTTGGTCAGGGAAGGGCCCTGTGTGTTATGGGGGGGAGGGGGAAGAGGGCGGCAGGAGGGAAACCAAGGGGAGAAACCGCGGTCAGTAAGCAGGCAAGGCAAGGCAGTACCGGTTAGGGAACACACTGTGGGGGGTGATCAATCACTCCGACCCCACCGGAACCGCTCCAACACTGCAGGAGCCTCTTCCCCTCCCCCTTCCCCCCTCCCCCCCCCTCCCCCTCCCCCCTCACATGCGGGAACACGGCCCTGCACAGCTCCACCAGCTCCCCCGCCTCCGCCTCCTCCGCCAGCTTCTGCACCAGGTAGGTGCCCCGCTCGTGGGTCGACAGCTCCACGGCGGCGGGCAGGCAGGCGTACAGCAGCACCGAGTGCGGGTCGCGGCCGCCGTGCTCGGAACGGAAGGAGGAGAGGATGTGCTGGGGTGGGGGGTGGAGGGGGGCGCGAGGGGCGTGTATGTATGGGGGTGTAGTCGCAACGGGCTCGGGCAGCAGTAGTGGATGCGGCTGTGAGAGCCAGAAGCGCCAAATACACAGTGTGTGTTTGCGCTTCCCCAGTCCCCCTCCCTCTCCCTCATGGTGAACAACCTTGGTGAAGCCTCGTCGTACAGTTCTTCTTATCCCCCCCATCCCCTCCCCTCCCCTCCCCCACCTGCCCCTGCGCCGCCGCCAGCTGAATGGCCTGCCTGATGCGCAGAGTTGCCTCCACCAGCGCCTGCATGCCGTAGTTGCCCATGAAGTGAGTGGCACACTCGTGGAAGAGGGCGGGGTCTGGGGGGGGGAGGTAAAGGGAGGGGGGACGGGGAGGGACACTGTGTTCTTAGCTGTGTCACCGGCAGGTTTCGCGACACTTGCTGTTTCGTTCGCAGAACAGCATCCTCCTCCCACCATCGCCGTAAGCCAAACAAACAACACTCCCCAGCCCCTCCTCCTAGCACTCACTCCCCTCCCTCTCCCCCCTTCCCCCTCCCAACCCACTCACTCGCTAGCAGCTTGATGACCCGCAGCATGCGCTCCTCGCCGCGCTGCTTGGTGGCGTTGAGGATGCGCTGGGGGGTCTCGGAGTCTGGTGGGAGGGGGGCCGGGGGAAGAAGCAGGACAGGGCAGTGGGGGGGAGGGGAGGGTTTAGGGAGGGATGTAACCCAGGTTGATGGGAGCTACATGGAGGCTGCTCTGGTGGGGTTGGTAGGGTTCGTCCGTACACGGCTCTACCCGGCTTGTCCTGGCGGCGCCATCCAGCAACGGCAGCGGCAGAACAAGCACACCTGCAGCCCTCTGATGCACCTCCCCAGTCCGACCCGGGCCCAATCCGCCCCCACCCCCCACCTGCCACCACCCTGCCCTGCGAGAAGCCCAGCCCTATCTCCGAGAAGCAGCGCAGCAGGTGTGGCTGGTGGCGCTCCTGGATGAAACTGGGGGGCGGGAGAGGGAGGGGGGGCGGGAGGTGAGGCAGGCGTGAGAGAAGGCGCCTGCCAGGTTGAGAGCGAGGCCCTCCACCGGGATAGCTGCGACTCCACCATGACGCAATACCGGACGCAGCAAACGACCGCTTGCGCACCAAAGGGGTGCAGCAACAGCTGGCGGACGCCGCTCACACATCGCCCTTTAACGCCCCCCCCATCCTACGCACAGCTCCAGTCGCTGCTGCCGCCCTGCTTTGTAGCTGAACCCAATTGGGCCCAGACACCACGCCATGTTGTGGCGCCGGATCCGCGTGCCGAGCCATGGGTTTTGGCCCTCCCTCCGCCCGCACCCGAGGGAACTAGGACTCGCGGCCCTACAAACACCTCTCGCGCCCTGCCTACTGCAGTTCCGCGCGTTCCTCCACCCACCCGAACACCCACCGCCCAAAGCCCCCCCGCTCGCCCCGCTCCCCCCCCCCTGCTACTCACGCGATCACCTCCTCATCGCTGCACCTCAGCACGTCCCTGCTGCGACCCGCCGCCGCCACCGGCTGCTTGGGCCGCGGGTTGGGCCGACCGCAGGAGCTGCACTCCTCGCGGCGGGCTAGGTTGAGGCAGCGGCAGGAGCCGCACATCCAGCTCTCGTCACCGCCCCCAGGCGCCGCGGCGGAGGGCCCGGCGGCCGAGGAGGCTCCCCCGGCTGCTGCTGCTGCTGCGGAGGCAGCTGTGGAGGAGGAGGAGGGGCCGCGGCATGCATTGGCGAAGGCGGCTGCGCGGTTGGCCTCGTTAAGGAGGCGGACCTGCTCGGGGTCCGCGCTGTGATGGGTTGGAGGGAGGCGGGTGGGAGGGGTGAGCGGTGGGGAGGAGCGGGTTGAGGGCTGGAGGGGGGGTTTGAGATGGGTTGAGGGAGGGGCTGCACGCTGGGTGGGAAGGGAGCCCTGTTGCATTGGACCCACCCCAAGCACGCCGCCATCCGCCCCACCTGTTACAAGGCTCGTACTGCGTGACGTACTGTCGGCAAAAAGGGCATTTGACGCCCTTGTCGGCCCTGTTCAAATGCGAGTCGCGGGTAGGAGGTATACAACCAGTAGGGTTTAAAAAGCCCCGCAGTTGAAGGCTGCAAGCCGGGGTTTGAGAAGTGCAAGGCAGCAGCCGAGTACCCCGGCACCCTGACCCTGGCGGATGTATTTCTCGACGAAGTGGCCCGAATCAACTTCATCCCATTTCATTGCCCCTCATCAAGATCCCGGTCGGAGCGGCGAACCGCCCCTTCCAACGCGTCTACCTGAAAATGTTCTTCGCGCGAAGGTTTTCCACACAACCAAAGCAGATCATGTGCCCACATGGTCGCAGCGATACTGAAGCTGGGACATCATCCTTGCAGATGTGGCATTCCTGAATCCGGTAAAGGGGACAAATCAACAGCTACCTTCATTGGTCCTTGCAGGCAACTTTGCACGCACCTCCTCGCCGGGAAGAATCTTTCGATTATTTGCTAGGATTGCCGCTTTCCCTTGGCCCCAGACGGTAGCAGTCCTTGGAGTAAAAACAGAAACGGCGCGGGTCGGTGCGTCGGGCATAGCGACGGCAAACGTCGCGCAATCCTTACCATACTGAAGACGCCATAGGCACCAAGCCGGTTTGCGAAACGTTCTTATAAAGGGGCGGCGCTCAGAGCTCAACGATCTGCAGTAATGCGGCGCTCGCCAGCGCACGCACGTTACTTGCGCGTCAATCAACTAGTCATATGTGTCACTTGGTTATCGTTGGTCTGATTGGCATGGTTGAACGTGCAAGTTGCAACAATCGCACCAGAGTTGCACCATCCGAGGCCACGCCCCCAAAAGTCTGCAACACTTTAGCAAAGCAGTTGAATACCAACACGCAAGCAGTAACCCTATGTGAAGAGAGCAAGCACCCCGGCCAGTAGTTAGGCGTCGTACAGCACTCGTCACAGGTCATTCCACAACCGAGCCCAGGACCACCAAATACGGGATACGGGAGACCGACGGGAAACACAATATAACCTAAGCCATCGCTGTACAGAGCGCTTTCCACAGGTTCTCCCCACCCAACCCTTCACCCCATACACAACCACAGCGGGGCGCAAAGCACACAACGCCGAGCATTAAGTGTAAAGCACGATGCGAGCGTCAAGTATAAAAGGGTCGCGATATGCCAATCTAATCACGGTAGACGCACTGCCACCGACACGCAATAGGAAGGCCACCGAAATCTCGCTCTTGCCCCAGCAGTAGTAAGCTACACAACACGTCACAAGGCACAAGGTCACGATAGGCAGGCTCCACGGTTAAATACCACAGTAACCATACATTGAACATGTCCTGATTTCAAGTTCTCATTGTTAACTTTTACGCCATGCATGTGTGCATGCCCTCCAAGCACACCCGATCCCGCCCAGTGTACCCTAAAATAATTTCTAATGCCCCCGCCCCACTCCCCCCACATTCCCAGCCAGCAGCCACCTCAGTGCACCCTTCCAAGACCCCAAAACATCCCAACCGCTTTCTGCCATACGTTTGAAACCCCAATCCAAGTTCAGATGTCCCGGTAAAGTCATGATAAAACCCATGTTAGCAGCGGTGTTTTGCCACGTTACGGTAGTCACCTCATTTCGTCACCCGCCCCCTAGCCGGCCCCCAGCCCCGCCCACTACATGATGCTGCAGCTGCTGGGCAGCTGGCCCTTGACGGAGAGGAAGTCCCCGATGCTGTCCATGTACAGGCTGGGGTGCACCTTGTTGTCGGAGCTGAGCAGCTGGGACTCAGAGGTGACACCTAGGGGGGAGGGGGAGGCAAAGGGGAGGGTTTGGGTGGGTGGGTGCGCGGCGAGTCGGGCGGTGGTGGGCAGGGCCGTGGGTTACAACAAGCAGCAGTGGGAAGGCCGGTTGCAAGAAGGGAGTATGCATGTGGGAGAGGGCACGCGGGCGTTGCAGTACCGTTGGGAGTGCTTGGGGGGCACCACCGATGATGTCCGTTAGGCATGTCATCAGCAACCCCGGCCACACTGATGAAGTCAAGCCAGCCCAGCCCCCGCGCCAGCACCCTACCTGACAGCACGCAGCACGTCCCGGCCCCGTTTTGGATGCCCCACAGGATGTCCGTGTCTAACCGGTCGCCTGGGGGGGGGGTGGCAGGGGCACGTGGGGGGTGGCAGGGGCACGCCGGTCGCTGTCAAGTAAGCCTTGTAATGATGTTCACATAGCAAATATCTGGATTAAAACCTTACGGTAAGCGTGCATACATGGTTCTCTGCAGCCTCCAACCCGCACACCTTGCCCACCCAATCCGGGAAACCCGCCCGTATGTAGCCACATGCTATATGCCCCATGTGCGGTAGCCCTGCCCGCAGGCACACCGCAGCGGTGCGCACGGGTCAGGGCGCCACGGACACACTGCCACCGGTGGCATCCCAGCGGCAGCAGCTAGACTTCTCTATCTAGGTCCGCCCGCTCGACATTTCCTCACCAATCACGATGCACTTGTCCCGGGCGATTTGGTGCGTGGCGCACAGGTGGTCCAACATGAAGGAGGCGGGCTTGCCTGGCAGGAGCGGGGGAGTGTAAGCGGGGGAGCGGGTTGTGCTGCGGCTTCTGGAACACGCGGCTGGGTAGACAAGGTAATAACACGTAGCAGGTACGGTATGTGGGGTGCGGGCACCAGGTCCTCTGGCGTCCCGACTCTTCCCCACCCACCACCCAGGCCCTCCAAGCCTCCTCATACAGCTCGTCAGTTTCCCTTTTTCATCCTCCTCCCCTGCTGCCCCCCTTCTCCCTCCCTCCCTCCCTCCGCGCACCTAGCAGCAGGGGTTCCCGCTCGCTGCAGCCGATGATGGCGGCCACCATGGTGCCGGCGCCCGCGAACTCCTGCGTGGAGCTGAAGTGCCCCCGGGCGTCGGTGTTGCATGCAACGAACCTGTTGGGGGGGGGGGGCGGGGTGGGCTTACATACGTACATGGGGTTTTAGAGCTTGACATCCTATGAAGGTTGGTGGCTGGTGGCAGACTGCCCGGTTGTTCGCGATGTCAACCCTATCCACAGCCACAACCCCGCACTCACATGCAGGAATCGTTGCTGAGCAGGCACTGTGTGGCGTACTGCAGCTTGTAGTAGTTGATGAAGCGGTCCAGACCAACCACCACAGCACCAACCTGCGGGGGGAGAATTAAATAATAAGTGCAGCAACGCGTCCCAATCCCATATCCCGACTCATAAGGGGCAAGGGAGGTGCAGCATGCGCGCGTGATCTGAGCTGCAGAGTGGGGGATTCGCAGTGCTTCAGGAGCAGCGGCCTGTGTACCACCCGCAGAGTGCAGCATGAACACATCTGGCTCCTGCCCGGACCACTACTACCGGCACACACCACCTTCTTGACCATGCAACCCAGGCGCTTTCATGACTAAAAGTTCCATTTTCCTTTTCAAGGACCACCTTCTTTTGCGGACGGTTCGTATGTTGACACAGCTGCATACCCGTGCCTCCCCCACATGTCCTTTCTGATTCGTCACCACCCGCCCTGCAGTCCACCCTGCATGCCCCTGTCAAACGGCTTTGCAGCACCCCCGAATCTTCCTCCCAGCCCAACCCCTGCCCCGTCTCTCCTCCGCCTCCAGCCCGGTTCGCATCCCTTCCCCTAACCCTGCCTTGCGGTGTTGCACCTCACCTCCCCCTTTCCAAATTGCATGACCCTAACGTCGGGACTTATCCTGTGTTTCTCCCTGCCCTCCGCCCTCCCTAAGCCCCCATCCGCCCCCTGCCTGCCCCCCTCCCCACCTCCGGGTCCACCTCCACATGCGGCTCCTTGTCCTGCCAGTCGATCTCCTTGCCCCGGTGCTCCGGCCCGCCCACGCAGCTGATGCCCGCAGCGCTCAGCTCCTCCACCAGACCCTCCTCGCCCACCACGTAGGCCTGGGTGGCGGGTGGGAAGGTACGGGGAGAAGGTGGGGCGGTGAATGTGGAAGCGAAGCAGCATGGAACCACAGCGTGGGAGGGCTGGGAGAGGCAAGGGCAGGAAGAGGCAAGGGCTGCTAGGATGCAAGGAAAAGGTGGCCCCAGGGTGGTTGACGAAACGGCCTGAAACCTGGCCCGGCGCACCTTTTTATGGAAGCTGATGGTCCGCAGGTAGGCTGCTGCCGCGAAGGAGCTCGTGTACACCTCGCCCTGGGCAGGTAGCGGGTAGCAGGGAGGGGCGGGGGGTGGACAAGGAGCAGGGGGGAGCAGCTGAGGTGAGGAGCAGGCGGGATGCCTGCTGGAAGGGTTGGGTGTCGGTGGTCGCGCGCGGCATGAAGGGTGCGGAGGGCATGCCTGCATGCGATGCGGTGGTGGTGGCTAGCTTGGAGGCTGATGCCTGGTGACTAGAGCTTTCCCCTTTGCACCCAACCAGAGGGTGGATCCAACTATAACGTTCAAAGATTACACCAACAGCAGGAACAGCAGCTGGGACCCTGTTGAGACACGTCTGCTCCCGGCGACATGGGTAGGTCAGGTTTTGCGTGGCGTGCCAACCTACCGGGGACGCTGGAATGCCCAAGGATGTAAGTTTGGCCGCATTGGCGGCTCGAGACTTTGTGGCGTTGTTGGTGACAAAGAATATCTTCTTTTGCTGCACGAGGGGAGGTGGGGAATCAGAAGGTAAGAGGGCTGGCGCGGAGGAAGTTGAATGGGTTGAACCGTCACACCTAGCATGCTTTCCCTCCACACCCCGTCTTACGTAGGACCTGAGAAGCTCGATAAACTCCTTTGCTCCAGGTATCAGCGTGGAACCCTTCCATATAGTTCCTGCGCCACGAAGCAAAACGCGTGCCCATGAAACGCATATATGCATTTGAACCAGTATACAGTCGCCTGGAACGAAAACTAGCTATGGCCAGCACGTAGTTGATGGAAGGCGTAATTAATTGGTCAGAGCTCTAGCACACAGTTACCAAACGCACCATCTAGATCAAAGACCCAAGCATCGTAGGCCTGGAATGCCGCCAGTTTATCCTGGTCAGTAGCTTTCTTCATGGTCTACCGATCGAACAACAAGGCAATTGTCAAAGTACCCCCAGTCTTTAATTGAGGTAGGGTCCGCTGCGTCTGTGTTATACCATAAAGCAGCCAACATACGGGGATGCACATCGTGCCTCAAGGCAGCAAGGCTGCAGCTGTTGCCGCCGTACACGGATAGGATTTTGTCACTCCTGGAACCGCTATGCGTTTCTAATACGATAGTAATGTTGCTTGTATTACGGTTATGTAGGTTGTCCTCCGTTTTCGTAGCTGTTTGCAAGCCCGAACGAGGGGAACAGTCAGCTAGGCGACGCTCTAAACAGTGTTAGCCTGGAGTCATGGTTAATCAACATACATCACGTGTCTGTCGCTCTATACTCGTGGCCTTTTCCGAAATCACCGATGCGGCTGCACTAGGCTCCAAATCGATAAAGCGAGCAGGCATCGTCACCCGATGGACCGCTCCCTTTACGCGAGCTTTATCCTCGTCGGCAGCAGTAGCGGAGCCTAGTGGCTTTGGGCCCCTGCCAGCATTGCCTACCCGGCGTGTGGTGGTTACTGGCATCGGCTTGGTGACTCCGCTGGGAGTGGGCACCTCGGAGACGTGGCGGCGGTTGCTGGCTGGCGAGTCGGGGGTACGGCAGCTGCGGGAGGATGACCTGCCCGAGGTGCGGTGATGCGGCGGCGAAGGAGGGTTGGCACTAACCCATGCAGGCTCGGGTACTGTTGGTCTGCTTAGCCTCATAGCTACGTTACGGGTTGCACGAGCCTGTGTGCGCAGTCTCCTGGGGTGTCGTGGCCTCACGGGCGTCCGAAACAGCTCGCAATACCGTTGCCTGAACCCGCAATGGCTCTCAATCCTTGGACCCTATAACTCCCAACCTGGCGGCAGCAGTTTCACTCCAACTCTCGGGCCCTCGGTTCCCCTGCTAACCCAAAACGTCCTACGCAGCACCGTGCCCCACAGCCACAGCTCCTCTCCCTCTTGTCTTGCCCTCACATGTGGTTCTGGACACTCCCATGCCCCGCAGCCCCAGCGCACGGCGCTGCCCTCGCTGCCCAGCCGCATCGCCGGAGTGGTACCGCGGGAGCAGCTGGAGGAGGCGTGCAAGCAGCGGGGGCTGGCGGAGGTGCGGGGGGGGGGGGCAACGACCATACCGAACCATAGGGAACCACAGGTTGTGGCAAGACAATGGGGGTAGGAGCGGCAGGGTGGAACGAAGAGAGCATCGCGTGAACATCGTCCTGAACACGAGTTCCTGTCCGTGGAAGGCCCGACAAGGCTGGATTGGACGATGACGACTTGAGGTCCTGGCCGGTACAACTGAAGGGTTATGCGCCGCCGCCTCCTGCTGCTCAGCCCTCTGACCCCCCCCCCCTCCCTCTCCGCCACCCCAAGGAAACCCGCCGCTCCTCCCGCTTCATTGTCCTAGCCCTGCTGGCGGCGGAGGAGGCCCTGGCGGACGCGCGCTGGCTGCCCACCCTGGCGGATGCGGGGCCCGGTGGTGAGGCTGCCCGGCGCGGCACGGGTGTGGTGTTGGGCTGCGGCATGAGCAGCACATCAGAGGTGGCGGAGGCGGGGGCGCTGGTGACGGCGGGGCGCGGCAGGCGGGTGTCGCCGTACTTTGTGCCGCGCATCCTGCCGAACATGGCGGCGGGGGCCATCAGCATACGGTAGGGGTGGTGGTGGAGGGTGGAGAGGGGGTCGTCGCCGAAGGCGAGCACCTGAAAGGTTGGGAGTGGGGTGGAGGAAAGACATGGGGGGGAGGGGGTGTGTAATGCTCCTGTGGACCACCCCAATGGGGAGGCAAGCTGGATATACAGGATATCGCAGTTTGCATACAAATAGCCTGATCATCCGTCTTTCGCTGCTAGGAGTGTTTAACTCTTGCGGTCGGTTTGCTTTCCACTCTTGCACCGCTCCCGGCCAGCTGCCATGTTGTTGTGCCCGTATCCAACCCTCCCGGGTCCCTCCTGGCGTCCCTCCGCCCCCTGCTTCCCCAGGCACGGGCTGCAGGGCCCCAACCAGGCCCCCTCCACCGCCTGCGCCACGGGGGGGCACGCGGTGGGGGACGCCTTCCGCCTCATCCAGCGCGGGGAGGCCAACGTGGTGGTGAGGAGCGCGGGCACGTGGAGGCCTGCGGGGGGCCTGTGGTGCAGGGAACTTGCGCGAACTGCTGGCTTGATGCCTGGGTCGCATGCCGCATGGGCTCCGATGCTTGTGTGAGGGCCGCGCCTGCTGCGCCGCTCTGACACGCGTGGTGAGGAGTTCGCCCCATGTGGGCCCTGCACCCCCCCCTGTGTGCCCACGCACGCCTCCATGTGCCCCCACCCACCCAGGTTGCTGGCGCCACGGAGTCGTGTGTGGACGCGGTGAGCCTGACGGGCTTCAGCCGCCTGAAGGCGCTGTCGTCCGCATACAACGACCAGCCCACCAAGGCATCCAGGTGGGTAAAATTATATAAGAAATGCAAACAACTAAGTCCCAATCCCATATCCCGACTCATGCAGTGAGCGCATCCAGGTGGGTGGGTGGGCGGGTGTTGGGGTGCGCCTGGGCGGTGGGCGGTGGGGTGCGCCTGGGCGAGATTGTGAGCTGCGTGCGAGGCATTACGTTACCGGTAGGAAGCGCGGTGCCGCGTAGACCCGCGTGGGAAGCTTCTGCGGTTTGCCAGGGTGTCGCACACCGGCACCTGGCGTTGGGGGCTAATAGGGGCTCTGACGTACCGCCAGATTGGGGGTAGCGTTGGACACTCCGCGGGGCCGTGGCGGAACCACATGGTCGCAGAACATGATGTAGCAATCCGGACTGCGTTTGTTGTCGGCCCACGCCGCCATAGCTGACGCCGCTCCCTCGCGGGTCGCCCCTGTTGCCGCCATGTGCGGCTACTGTGCTTGTCTGCGCTGTGCTGCTGCTGCTGTCGCCCTGCCTCACCGCCGCGGCCGCTGCGGGTTTGTTTCCGGTGCAGGCCCTTCGACGCGGCTCGCGACGGCTTCGTGATGGGCGAGGGGTCGGGTGTGATGGTGCTGGAGGAGCTGGATCACGCGGTGGCTCGGGGGGCGGACATCTACGCGGAGGTGGGGGCGGGGGTGTGGTGTCGGGAGGTGGCAGGGTGGTGTTAGGAACACGATGAGACGTGCGGGGGTGAACGTGCAGGTTCGGAAGCCTGGGTTGGTCTTGAGTGTGTACATGGACCCGGTGTGCGGCGTCCAGGCCAGTATGCGTGGAACCCAATGGGCAGGCGTGCAATCGAGGGAGTCGAATGAGGGGCCCCTCCTCGCATGGTATCTACTCGACACGCACGGCTCTCATGGCTCCGCTGCTCTTCCCTCCCGCCTCCCAACCGTTCCCATGGGTCCTCTGCCTTGCATCACCGTCCCGGGTTCCTCTTCCCCCAGCCCTGTGTGAAGTAACTCATCAGCTAAGTGTCGTTACCCCGCCCCGGCTCCCCTCCAGGTCCGCGGCTACGGCATGTCGGGTGACGGGCACCACATCACCCACCCGCACCCCGACGGCCGCGGCGCGCTGCTGTGCATGCAGCGGGCGCTAGCGGGCTCGGGACTGACACCCGCCGACCTGTCGTACATTAACGCGCATGCCACATCGACACCGACAGGTATACGGCACGCAGGGGTGCGGAGCTGTCAACGGTAGTTTAGTATTGTTGGGATGGATGTGTGTTTGGTTTTTAGGCGAGAGGGCGGTGGATTGTGGGGCGGGGCGGGGATCTCTCGAGGGTGGTGGGAGAGGGGTTGGGTGTTAGTGATAGCGACGGCGGGATGAACGGGTATCGCTGCTGGAAAAGGGTTCAACCCTTGTCCCCACCCTCCCTGTCCTCCCTCCCTGTCCTCCTCGTCGCTGCCCCCCCGCAGGTGATGCCATCGAGCAAGCTGCCATCCTCTCCCTCCTCACCTCCACCACCAGCAGCAGCGCCCCCCCGGGTGCCGCCGCACCCCCCCATGTGGCGGTCAGCAGCACCAAGGGCGCCACGGGGCACCTGCTGGGGGCGGCGGGCGCAGTGGAGGCGGCAATCACGGTGCTGGCGTTGAGGCACAGGAGGTAGGCGGGGTGTGATTGAGCAGAAACAAGAGCAAGCAGTTGGGATAGGTTCGCATGTGAACCGCGAGTACAGGCAAAACAGAGGTAACCAAACCTGAACCGTAACTCAAAAACTGCTTAGATAGCTGGTGCTGGATGTAAGAAGAATGGCGGGTTGACGACGCATGTCGGAGTGTGTTAAGAAAACTGGCCGCGAGTAGGAACATACTGTGATTGTCGGAAGATGAAGTCCCCACAGAACCGCCGCAGGAGCCGAGGAACATTGTAGCGTAGATATAGAAGTCCAGTACTGGTGCTGAGAATAAGTAGGACGTAAGAAGCACTCGGAGTGTGTGTGTGGGGGGGGGGCAGGTAGCTGCGGGGGCTACGGTAGAGTGGTGGATGGGGTAGGGCGGCGACAAGGCTCTCATGGGCTCCATCGTAAGCCGCAGGGCTCCATTATACCGGTATGACGTGTACGTCCTCCTGCCCCGCCCGCCCCTCCCTCCTCTCCCGGTATATTACGGTCATGGTCAGCGTTTTCTCGCGGCTCAGTTTACCCAATCCCTCACACTCCCCGCTTTCCCTCACACCCCCCAGGGCGCCCCCCACACTCAACCTGGAGCGCCCCGATCCCGCCCTGCTGCCGGGACTGGTGGGGCCCTGTGCGGCGGAGCTGCCCGGGGGGCGGCCCATTGCGGCGCTGAGCAACTCGTTCGGCTTCGGAGGAACCAACACAAGCCTGCTGTTTGCAACGGTGGGCAGGGAGTGATGACGACCATGCGTCGTAGAATTGTTAATGCAGGGCTTTGTTGTTGAGGCATTTCGTAGCAGGCCTACTTCGCACTGAGCTTGGGTTTGACGTTGCGGAGGCCGGGAGGGGCACACCGAGATTCTGCGGATTTCGGTTGCAGTAACCTCGGTTTGGATTTTGTGAGTTACTATGTGGTTATATGTGGTTAACCAGATACACCGCTATCTATCTGCAACCCGCGAACCCGGCGACCGCGCCCAGCTGCAAGCGGGCAGGGCGTGTGTTGAGAGCAGGAGCAAGCGGAGGATTGAAGTGCTAGCTGGATTGGACTCCACGCACGCCTCATCGTTGCCCCGTGTGGTCCTTCCCATTCGCATTATTGCCATGAGGTGCACGCCTCATCATTACCCTCGAAGGGGTCCTTCTCATTCGCCCCATTAGAGCCCCATCGGTCTCGCCGGGACATCCTGCCATGCCATGGGGTTTGAAGGGTCGTGGTCGCATTGGTCGCTTTGCCGGTCTTGGAGAAGGATTCAGATGGATGACGTCCCGAGGCACCCAGGCTTGGAGGCCGTGGATAGTACCGGTGAAGTGAGGAGTGGACGGAGACGGAGGCGGCTGGGATGGAAAGCCCCATCAATGGCTCCGCACAATTGTATCCTGTAGGAGGAGTTGCGCAAGGGTCAATGTGAAGTTACGCTCTAGTCATGGATAGCGATTTTGCGTAACCTATCGCAGCAAAGTTCAATAGTTGATATTATCTACGGACACGCCTCTTCAAATGTATAACAGTTTGAGAGCAACTCGCAACTCGCAGTAACTTTACGCACCTGTGCCATCAGCCATTGCCAAGCGTCGGCTTCCTGTCGCGCCACTGAAGAACGAGCTGAATACCGAGGCCCCCTTGTTATAAGTAGTTGTTCACGGTGTAATAGGGAAGCCGTGAGAGGTTGGACTTAATCGACCTAAAACCGCTGACACTGAAAGTTGCCGAAAGCGTAGTAATGGGTCATTCAATTGCCTTGGTAGGCTCCTGAAGTTAACGCTTTTAACGGCGGACCTGTGAAATGAACAATGCAGCCTGTAAGCAGGAATACCACCCATGCATCGTAGCGGCCAAAACCCAGCATTCACACTCGTCACCTCTACAACCCTTTGGGTAATTGCTGCAATGTTACTTACTACTAGGGTGGTAGGACGGAAACTGCAGCCACCATGCCTGTCGTACGGCCAGTAGCGATGCCCGCATTCAAGGCGGGAAGCCTAATGGAAGGATACATCGAGCATAGCAAAGAAGGTGGAACACAAACTTGTCGACCATTCCCATCCTCACTGGAGGTGTTTGGCTAAAGCTCCGTGGTACCTTCTGAACCACCACCCACATCCTCGGACACCACATCCTTACAGCAGAAATACTAGGTTATCAGTTTACAAAATTTGTAAAGGAGACTGTGCAGCTTATATGGCTTAACCTGCATCCTTTATGTGCTGCATGGCGCGCGAGCGACGGCATCAGTTGGAATGCCTTGCTTGGGCGCTGCCCGCCCGTTGACTCGCCTTCACCTAGAACAAACAAGATGGATAGGGGTCAGGTTGGCCTGGTTTAGTGGTGTTACAGACGATAATGAGGACCAGGGTCCCGCGGGTCCAAGACATTTGGGAAACCTAAGTTTGAAGACATTATTCGTATAGGGAACGTTAAACTAACATCACATCTAACAAGGTAGGACAACTTAAAGGTGGTGCACTGCTATCCCCCTGCCACGCGGAAAAAACGCGGTGTGACAGAATTGTAGATCCCCACCATGACCCAGGCCTGCATCCCCAACCAAGTTCGCATGGCGCAACCAATTGTGCCCCACGCCTGGCCACATGATACTACATGTCTAAGGAGTCTATTGGTGTGACGGCGGGCTCAAGCGCCACTCGCACGGTCAGATACGCACCCCAAACCCTGGGTTTGACTAGGCCCCCCACCAAAGACATATACCGCCCAAACAATGCGTGCATGCCGCAACCACTTCAGCATCACGCTTGCTTACATGCTTTTTTACTTGTCTTACATCCAAACGGGCCTATCCTGTGTGTACCTCAAGGCCAGTGCGGTTTTGTAACGGTGTGCTGTCCCGTGGGCCCGTGATTTACCATGGCAAGACTCCCTTTGTAAGGTCCCTCACTCAAGCTATATTTGATGGTTTGTTCAGTCCTGTCCTGGCTGTTTGAAGGGAGCAATGTTCGCGAGAGAAGATTCAGTTTGGTCAAAATGACCAGCATGGCCTCCAGCAATGTGCACCTCTAGCGCTTTCTGCGGCTTTTTAAAAAATTGTTTTACAGTTTATGCTAGGTACAACGGTGCATTTTCGCAAACGCGTATATGTTAAGGGCAGCTTTGCCAACGACTTTCGCCTTCGGGATTTTTAAAAATCGGAAAAAGATGCCATTGCGACACTCTGTCTAACGGTGCCCAGTATTCTATAAGTAACACAGTATTAAGTCCAGCAGTTGGGGCCAGTGTAGCGATATCTGGAATAGCAGCATATGTGGAATCCAACTATACTGTAGCTAAGTGGGATTGTGCATTATTTGGTCAATCGCAAACATACTTTGCGCGCAATCTGGCGCAATCCCACCGTAAGTGGGATTCCACCTAAAGTATGTTCCCACCTCGAGTATGACAAGTTACAGGGAGACTTAGCTGTTCGCAAATGGCGGGCGGATGACGGATGAACGGCGGGCCCCACCCTGTGTCAAGCAAATTTTTGCCCTCGAACTCAAATTAACTAGATCGGAGAATGCCGATAATGTGTTCGTTGGGCCGAGGCAAGACCGTTTCTCTGACACTATCAAGGCAGGCATAATTAAGAACGAAGTTCTAATTGCATAATATTTGATCGGGAGTTCGCACACCTCGACGTTTGGAGAAGCGGAGCTCGAGAGTTGGTCTCGGGTTTCCATTGTAGATTGTACGTACTTTCGTAGGTTTTACGACGGCGGAATTCACGACGACCCTAAATGGTACCAGGATCCAAAGTCGGACGAGCTCGTAGCGAGGACGTTATCAACCCCGGCTTGAGCATCTTGGCTATAATCAACATTTCTGAACAGGAAATAGGTTCAACTTGCCAAAAAGCGTTGGGAAGCTGTCTATTGCGACGGGCTACATCCTATCGAAATCCAATGCTTAATAATTGATTAAGTACACAACAAGGAAAAGTTCTTGAATACCTTCGTGACCAGGATACCCAGTGCAGCGCAAAATCCTGAGGATGCGCCAGTTGGATGCCTCGAAACTTAAGCTTTGCTTCTGGTAGTGGTATCCTTTTACGCTACTCCCTGGCCACATGTCCTTACAGCCGTCTCAACCCGCATGGCCCTTCATCGCGTCCCTTAGCCCCCTGCCTCCGTACTTTCCCCCGTTGCCCAATACGTCGCCCCTCCTCAGTGCGGGAGGGGCGACGCATGGAGTACCGGGGGGCCGTCTGCTGGCGGCAACACATACAGCAGCCATAATTGGGCTGCGGCGGGAGGGGTTGGGGAAGGGATGGAGTCATGGAGAACTACGTGGGATGAGGTGACGTTGGGGCTGCATGCGGAGGGAAGGAGAGGGTACAGCATACAGCGGTTGGGAGCGTAGGGCAGCGTTGAAGTGACGGCAATGCACGTGGGGGACGTGACAAGAGATGGGGTGCGAAGGAAGGGGTTAAGGGGACTCAACCAACCGGTGGGGTAAAAAATAAAATATGTGAAACAACGAGTCCCAATCCCATATCCCGACTCATGCAGTGAGCGCATTCGGAGACACTATTCTAGAGACACGCATCTCAAATTCCTTACCAACGCGTTGCTTGCCGTAAACCGAGACGACTTGAGGAAGAAGCCGCCTTGCGTGGTAACACTAGGGAGACATGCGCCGCGCCGCCGGTCATGAAATGCAAAGCAACACGCATATGGGGTATACGAGCACACATGTTATCGAGACGCGTTACGGGAAACTTACCTGGAGATGGAGGCCAGAAGTGCCATGGCCATAAGGATTGGAGACGCAGACCAACAGAGCCGCACCAGGAGCGGGTCCAGTATCCAACAGGAAGCGGTTGTCAATATGCGGAAAAATAGGGAAAGAAGTAGGCAGGGCGCGTTAAGGGGTAGGGTAAGGAAACACAAGATATACCAAAACCACAGGTTAGGGGGGGATTGGGCTGTGCTCGGTTTGGCTGTGATCGTTTGGACATAGAGCGTGTGGGTGATGGCAACACAAGGGAGGAGCGTAGGAAGGTGCGGGGTGTGAAGGTAGGGGGGTTCAAATGACGGGTTGGATGGCTACACGGGTTGGGATGACGGGTTGGGCGTGTGTAGGAACGCGTTGACTACCGCCTGCATCTCCTTCGTTTCCTTGCGGAGACAGTCATAGGCGCAGACGCCTGCCCGTGCATCACCACGTGCCTTCGCCCGGTGGATATCCATCCCTGACCGCTCCATTAATGTTCCTTTGCCGAAGTTAAAGATGACACGATAGCTGGCAATGTTCCATAATTTGTCCTCCCGGTACGAAGCAACAGTAACCTAGTAGACAACCATGCACCACGCTGGCCATGACGAGCGATTCTCAGGCTAGGTCGCAGACATGGGTATCCTGGCAGACGGCTTATCTTAGTAGTGTTCTTTGTTCTCTACTGAAATACCTACAGTTGTTAGGAATGCGCCAAGGAGCAGCCCCTAGGGCTGCTGAGCAAAGCATCGCAATTGACAGGCGCTCAACGTTTTTCTATTAAACTGTCATAACCCCTGTCTAGTGGTGTTTAAATGTTGACAAGATGCGCTACTTTGTGTTGATAACGTCCTCGCTACGAGCTCGTCCGACTTTGGATCCTGGTACCATTTAGGGTCGTCGCGGAATTCCTACCCTTCTATAAATACCTATGTAAGCTATCTTATCCTGCGGACAGCTGATACCCAAATCCCGGTAATATTGACCCTGAAGCCGACGTACGCACAGCCCCTGTCGGCAGCAACTTGCCTATAATTATCGCTCCCAAACTGGCTGGTACGCTCAGTTCGCTCTGCTTCAACATATTGCAGCGGGTAGTTGTGAGATTCCGAGCGCCTCAGGCGACACTTACCAGAAGATGCGGCGCTTCGTCGTGTGCCTCCTTTTGGTCCTCCTTCGGTGCACCCTGGCAGCTGTCGCACGTAAGCTTACACAATTGCGGGTTACCTCTGCACAGCCGGCTTAGCTGTCAAAGTGCGGCAGTCCTTAATTTCTGTCTACTGACTTCTGCAATTATGGAGCTTTCAGCAATGGTTAGCCTTGGGCTTGGCTTCACAAGCCAATCGCTTATCGCACAGAAGAGTGGGCTATTTAAGCTAACCTACTGATAAGGCGTTCGGCTTCCTTTATTACCTTGCCCATCCTGCTGTAAATCCTGCCCTGCCTCCCGCAGTACCCGTCATCACCGGCTACAGTCGAGGTCTAAATGGCAAAACTTTCAACGGGTAAGTTTTAATGGATGGCGAGCAACGGCGTCTGTAGAATTTGGCTTGCTTACTGTGCTCCTTCCTTGCCACGCAGAATCTCGCCCGCATCGCATGCTACGCGAGCCAAACTCTCAGAAGAAACTACTGGGTCATACCTCGATTTCCTCGCAACGGAATGCGATTCATATCTTTTCTGTCTGTGCTTCACATTCGACAAAACTGGCACCTCCGGATCGTACTGGGACCAGGCGTACGGTGTTAACGCCAACATGGTTGATGATCCGTCCACATGTGAGTGTTATTACGTACTTGAAGTTAACATCGCTACACATAGCTGCTGCTGCCGGTGAAAACAAGGCAGTCATGCTGGGTGTCTGTGCCCGCTTGTCAATCTGCACCCAAAGTTGCATACAGCAGGGTAGCCTAGCTGCTGCACTGTGCAAGCTCTCTTTCCTTACTTTCTGCTAATTGTAACCCGCCGCAGATTTGTACTACAAGGATTCCCCCCCCTCAAGCCCACCCCCAAACCTAGCTCCCCCCAGTCCGCCTCCCTCCCCTGCCCCACCCAGTCCTCCATCCCCTCCTCCCTCGCCACCGTCTACTCCGCCACCTCCATTACCTCCTTCTCCTCCCCCGACACCCAGTCCCCCCAGCCCCAGCCCTCCCAGCCCCAGCCCTCCCAGCCCCCCCAGCCCCGCTCCTCCCAGCCCCAGCCCTCCCAGCCCCCCCAGCCCCCCTCCTCCCAGCCCCTCTCCTCCCAGCCCCTCTCCTCCCAGCCCCCCTCCTCCCAGCCCCAGCCCCCCACCTCCCCCACCACCACCCCGCACAAGATCACCTTCACCTAATCCTCCATCACCTTCACCATCCAACCCCCTGCCTCTGACACCCCCCAGCCCTCCACCCCCAGCACCCCCCAGCCCGCCACCCCACCAACCGCCATCCCCCCAGCCATCAAGCCCGCCACCCCCAAACCCGCCCCTACCGCCGCCGCCTAGCCCAACTCCGCCTCAGGCCCCACCACCCTCACCTCCTCCCCCACCGCCCCGCACACCTCCTCCTCCTCCTCCTCAGCCACCACCCTCCCCACCCCCGCCCTCACGCCCCCCTCCTCCTTCTCCACCCGCGCCCTCTCGCACACCTCCTCCTTCCCCACCCCCGCCCTCCCGCCCCCCTCCTCCTTCCCCACCCCCGCCCTCCCGCACACCTCCTCCTTCCCCACCCCCGCCCTCCCGCCCCCCTCCTCCTTCCCCACCCCCGCCCTCTGGCCCCCCTCTTTTGCCTCCCAAGCTCTCCCCGCCCCCACCCCCGATCACCTATTGGGCCACATCCGCTTCCACTGCAAAGGTAAGCAGTGATGGATTTATTGCCTTTATGTGTGGCGCACAGCCTGCTGGTTTGCCCTGGGGACTGCCTTTCCATGTGCGCTGGCGCCGCCGCGGGGCTGTAGTGGCAAGAGCATGTGAGTACGTAGTGCAGCTCGTCACATGCATGCGCGCCCCTCGCTCCGCTGACAGCAGGCATGAGAAAGAATCAGCAGCATATTGCACGGGTAGCACCACACGTATGTGTGAGAAGGATGTAGTACAGTCATGTACCCGCAAAATACAGTCTGTGCGTGCCCACGCAACCCCCGTAGGACCCTTTGGGCTCCAGCACCAGCGGGGGCTCGGTGGCTAAGCTGTTGGGGGCGCCCAATGCCAATGTCTTGAAGGCCGTAGCAAAGGGGGTCTGCAAGCCCGGGGACACCGCCAACCGATGGATTCCATCACTCGAGGTATGTAAGCACAAGCCATTGAATACCAAGCTGGGTTAGGCCTTCATACGGGCAACGCTGGTAGGTTTAGACAGGCTAGGCACGCACCATCTAGCTAGATTGCGTGGCAAAGGGCAAGTGTACCGCCGGTGTTGTGCACTTCCATACGCAGCAGCAACTAAGCCACAAGGCCAAATGCATGCAGCAGTATCAACATCCATGCGTGCAAGCATAGGGGCAGCCACGGATAGACAGATGGTACGATAGATAAAGCTACTTCCCTTTTCCCGCCGAACCGCCTGCACCCCGCCGCACATCACCACCCATGATGCAGCACATGACGCATGGAGCCTTGTCACACACTTGCTTTTCCTCTTACATGCCACCCTTGTGCTTGGCCCCTCGCTCCCGCCCCACCCCCTCAGACTCCCCCCCATGATGCACCCCATGTTGACGCCTTATCCCTCAGTCAGTTAGTCGTTTCCTCTTTACACCCCCTCAGACTCCTCGCACCGCGGTGCTGTACTTCAACCAGACCCCTGCTGCCAAGGTCAGCCGGGTGGGGGCGGTGGTGGCCTACGTGCTTAATCGCGGAACCATCGACCCAGCCATCGCCTCCATTGAGCTGCTGCTGCAGACGCCGAGTCAGCAGGTAGGCATGGTCAGGTCGTACAAGGTGCGCCAGCTGAGATCCCAGGAAATGCGTGATGCATCAGCATATATACATACCAGCCAGGGTATGGGCCCATGCATCTATCGGCTATGTGCGATACTGTATGGACCCCTTTTTGCTCCGGCTTAGAGATGAGGCAGCAGCAGGAACGGATGGGACAAGGACACATTCTTCAGTCTAGCTGGTTTGGCCATCTACTCTCGAGCATGGGGTAGTAGGAGTATGTGAATGCCTGAAAAGCCCCTATAGCTTAAACGCCGAATGAAAACTGAAGCAGTCTTAGGGAAAGGTAGAAATAGAGGACCGGAAAGAGAGGGGATTTTAGGAGAGATATCTTTCCCTCCAGCATTTTTGGGCGGAGCCCCCGCAGCGAAGCGGCTTCAGGGGGGCTGTGCCCCCCTTCAAATTGCCCCTGTCCGTGTGTCCGTCCGTGTCAGGACGGCAAAACGTACAAACCAGACAAACCTAATCGCACAACTAATACGTATTTCTTATCTCTTTTGAGTTATTTAATAATTAAATAATAAACAAATGAACAGATGATCGCAAGCCCAACAAAATTCATTTCGCAACAAACGATATCTTGACCAGCCATCAAGAAGGAGAACATCGCGGCCATATCGATTACCGCTCGTATTACGTTTCACCGGTACCGTCACGTCTATAGAGTGGATTGGTAAAAGCGACGTGTCGAATATCGACGACCGGTGAAATTCGGCGGCACCATGCTTGCACCTATCTACCAGAGTCGTCCGAAAAGCCAATGCATTTCCGGATTACTCACTGGAACGCCGCAAATACCAAAGAAGTGTAATTTAAAGTTGTGTCTTGCAATACGCGACGCTGTAGGAGGTCGGTTACGGAGAAAGGAATTGACATTCGGCCGGGGTTTCATAATGGCTGTTCCCTTGTTTCCGCGGAGCCGGCCTTGCGAAGCGCCTGGAACCAAGGGCAGGCCAACAATTGCGGCAATAGCTCCCGCTCCTCCCCTTTGCCTTGCCCTCACTTGTGGTTTTATAATCTTTGACCACCTCCCCCCTCCTCCCTACACGTACGGCACCACTTCCTTTCAGCAGCAGTGGGTCACCTTCTACACGGGCAGCAGCTCGGGCCAGCAGCTGACATGCCCCGGGCTCAACCGCTTCCCAGTGTCTGCCGCCGCCCTGAAACCTCCGGTCTCTGCGGCTGTGTTCGCTGCGGCTGAGGTAATGGGTGTACGGCTCAACGTCGGCGCTGGCGTCACCTCCGACAAGGCCAACTTGCCGCAGATGGCGGCGGTGGGACTGCAGATGGCGTAAGGGCGTTGTCGGCCCAGATGATGGAAGATGATGCCCTTACTTGCGTACCGTGTCATTTGTTATGCTTGCTTTGTACTCGCGTGCGTGTTTACGTCCTTAAGAGTTCGATTCCCTTCTTAGTGTTCCGGTTCTGTGTGCTGCTGTGCGTGTCAGAGCAACCAAGTTGGTGGCGTGCTCAAGGCGGCGGTAGCGCCACCCGTGGGGTGTTTTTCTGCCGTTGTCCTCTGCACGCATGCATACATGCACCGCTTGTCCCCGTGCATGTAGGTCTGAATATTGTTCGTTGCCCGTCTTAATCTGATAGCCTCATTAATTGCTATTAAATGCTTGTGTCCGAGTTGTACGAGTTTAAATATCATGCGAGCGCATACGTGCTATGCTACCGTACACTATGCTTCCTATGCTACCGTACACTTGCCCGTTCTTTGCGTGTGGGCAATAATCAGGATGCCTAACCTTCCTTGGCTAGTGTTGTTAAGTTTGCCGCACTGTTTGTCGACGTCATTACGTCGTTATGCCTCTAATTACATGATCTGCGTTGTCCTACTTTTTGGGTGAACCTCCCGCTGTGAAGCGGCTTTGAGCAGTACGATATTGTCACTACTTGACCGGGCACTAGTATTACGTGTTTACCTGGTTGTTTGCCAGGATTCCAGGTGCCTAACAAACTTGCTTGTGTAGTTCTTGGGATTATTACCTGCCCTAAGTAGGTTGCTGGTCAGGGATGCAGCGAGGTTTCCTGGTTGGGCGGAGCCCCTGCCCTCGACAATGATAACCAAGGACTAGGACTATACCATTTATTATAAATGGACAAACTGGTCGACGTTGCCTTTGCCTGGGGTGTTGGCTTCGCTGGCGCCTGTTGTGTGCAAGTCGTGTTACTAGGACCAACTGTCCAACTGTCTCGCAAAGTTGGTGTAAGGAACGGCCTGAGTTGTTGGTTTAACTTCGTATAACGGGTTATTATATTCGCTCGTTTTGCCAGTACTTGCGGTGCGCTTGCCCGTATTTCGCGATTTGGTCGTTAGTTCGTTGTCTTCCCTGGAGTCGTAAATCTTGGGCCGGCTTGTTGCTGCCGAGAGCGTCTGGTTAGGAAGCGGAAGTTATACTGGAGGATACTGGTTATGTGGCGTCCCGGCGCCAGCGGCGCGGGCGGCACCATCCGGAAATTTTTCGCGACTGTGATGGAGCCCACGCCAAGCTAGCTGTGCCCAGGAACGTGTGATAGCAGGAGGAGGTGCGCCACAGCACTCGTATGGGGATGAACGTACTGCGCCCTTGACCGCTAGCCCTGTGGTCTTCTGCTGCCGTACTGCTGAAAGGGGATGGTTTAGTGCTAACTATTGAGATACGCGTGCGGAAGCGTCCTTTGGATAGTTTGCTGCTAATTAGAGAGATACGCGTGCGGAAGCGTCTTTACTGCTGAACGGGAGATAGTTTGCTCTAACTATTGAGATAACGCGTGCGGAAGCATCTTTGCTGCTATCGGGCGAAACGGGTTATGGATAACGCTGCTTAGACCAGGGCGATGCAGGCGCCTGGCTGTTGCCGACGCTTGCCGGTTAGAGAGATAGAAACGTAGCCGTTACTTAGCTGCCGTAGCACCGCTGAAGCCGCCGCTGCTGCCGGTTGGCTCCACTGATCCTGCCGTGCTTGGATAGGGCCCTGGGGAGCGACCTGGATGCTGTAAGGGACAGAACCTGCACAATCACGCTTAGACTGTTACAGGCTCCGCAGAAGACAGGGATTATCGGCCCGGGAGTTACACTGGAGGACAGTAGCTGAGACCATCGTCAGACGTACATTCTAACAGGGCGTCGACCGCCCTACCCCAGGGGGCACGCCGTGCACAAGGCAGGGAACCGTGCCCAACAGATACAGAGACAGGCAACTAGGTCCCAGAGAAACAACACAGAGAGGCTGCCAAACCAGCTCCCGAAAAACCGACATGCAGGCACTGCCAACCCAGCACCTGGAACAGGGGCCGGCAACCAGGGTCCCAGAGAAATGCGACACACAGATGCTGCCAACCAGCACCAGAAAGATCGCGGCCCGCGACCACATCGAATAATTCACCGCTATCGGGTAAGCTGGAAATACCGTTCTGTTTTTTGTACCCAACGCGGCTTCCAGTTCAAAGGTGACAGACTTGATAAGTGCGCATCGTTGCGGTCCTGCTGCTGCCGTGTTAGGGCTATCCTTACTGACGACAGCAGCTAGTCGACTGAGGACTTGGGGAGATAGCGCTGACCGGTAGCTACTTGAGACTAAGTGTTTACCACAGGACCGCACTGCTGCCGGTGCTGGGCGCTACCTCGTTCTATTGGGCTGCAGGCCTGGCTACTCTTGGACCCTACTAACCGTGCGACACGTGACATGCAAGAGGAGGCGCACGAAAGCTTCCCAGCAGACACTGCGGCGACTCATCGCGTGCGTGCAGCCCATAGCATCCAGCACCCGCGCAATGTCAGCTGCGTGGCACTCCAGCCCGCCTTATGTACTCCAGCCATGCAGCAGCCTCGCCAGCATCTCCTAGCCGCGGGCGCAGCTGCTGGAGCTTCTGGACGAGAGGTGAACGGGAATCCTAAAGTAAGAGGTCCGCGTCGCCACGGCCTTGTTCTTGGTTAGCGCATCCAGGCGCCGGCTGGCACGAACATCTTGGCAGCCTGCCAGCGACCTTGCAAGCGCGGACATATCGCTCTGAAGCTTCATGATACCGTGCTCACGGTATCATGAAGCCTTGCGCGAGGCGAGGGCCGCCAGGTGTGGTGCTCCCAAGTGCGTTGAGACCAGCGCTGTACCTTCCTTGCGTGTTCCAAGCAGCTCGTCCAAGCAGCTCCCCCAGGTCCCGTAGCTCCCCGCGCGGGTTTCACGCGCCCGTTCGGTTGGCTGTAGATGCTGGTTGCTGCTTCGCCTCTAAGGGCTTGAGGTAGCAGCATCACTCCAGGTCGGAGATGTACGAGTACGAGCGGGTCCAGGGAGGCCGTCCCTACGGAATACGGTGGTGCAGCTTGAGCTTAGCAACACAGCAGGAAGCCATTGCCATGAAGAGTTTGTAGATGCAAGAGCACCCAAACTTCGTGCGCGCACCTTGAGGCTTGGAGGGGCAGCCCCTTCAGCAGCCTCCCTGGCTTCCTTCTCGTGCCGCGGCGCGGGTTGGGGAGCTCCATAAACACGTCAGTGGCGTGTGCAGGTTCAAGTGTCCGTGGGTCGTGGAAGAGTGGATCAGTTGACGGCTCATGTGTGGTGTTTGGGAAAGTGCCCGCAGCAGGAGTAAGTGTCGCCCGATCGACCTTCTCCTGTTGCTTTTTCAAGGCTGCCTGTTGCCGTAGCTTCTCAAAGTGCCCCGGTCTGCATGGCTTCTTTGGAGGAGGCTCCAGTTCGGGGGAAGACGTGTCACTATCCATAAACCGCAACCCCGTCAGCCTGACGCCACCACGGAGTTTGAGTCCGTTAGCATGACCAGTTTTAGGAGGCACCATATTTAACCAAGTTGCAGTGACTTCGAAGCGTAGAGAAAGGTAGCATCTTATTACATACAAATTCTGGACTGGATCCAGATCGTACAGAATAGTCGTTTGCGGGTTTGCCTCACCTGTGATACCACAGGACGAGAGGACGACTGATCTGCTTGGAAGCAGTAGAGTTTGTGACGTCTATTGCTGGTGGTAAACCTCTATCTAGCTCGCAAGGTGCCATATTTGAGCTGTATGTCGTCGTCGGAAGAGCTTCTCAACGCATTTCGTTATACGTCATGGGCCTTGGGTCGCGTAGACCTTTCTCAGTGCGTACTACCACCCAAAGTCCTACAATTTAAGCAGCGAAGCCGCCCCACGCGATTGCAGCAGAAGCAGCTCCGAACAACATTTCTCGACCTCCTTACTTAACCATATCAACTGAGAGTTCTGATCACTGCTAACGATAGTCTAGGCGCAAAGTGGCGTTCGCTTCAGCCACAGCACCGCATAGTCGATGAGGCCCTGCGGGAGGTACTCGAGCTGGACATTGTTCCGCGCACGGGAAAGCTTCTAGTGGAATTATCGGATTTACTGCAGCGTCCGGCCCTACCGCAGCCGCCTGGCAGCAATGGGGTTGCAAGCGAAAGAGGTATGGGTTCGGACGCCTCCACCTCTGACGACACCTCTTCCTCGATGGCAACGGGCCAAGTCAAAGTCTTCCACCTCATCCACCTGTACTACATGGTCGGGTTGGCGTACGCGCTGCTTCAAACCCTATCCCTCTGTACTTCAGTTATGGCGGATAACGTACTCCCTTCCGCCAGTGCTGAGGCCAAGCAACGCCGGTTGTACGAGCAGCTCTGCGATGTCACCCTCGAACGCGCCATGACCGCTGCCGTACGCTTCGTCCAGTCGGAGGTCTGGCCGGTGCTGGCAGAGCAGCAGCGTTTGGAGCAGCCGCCAGCCCTGGCACCTGCAGCATCAGCGGCTGTGTCCAACAGGAGAGGCCAGCAGGCGCGACCCGGCTCAAAGGGCCAGCAGGCGCCCGCTCAACCACCGTCATCACCATCACCCCTGTCACCCGCAGCTGTCGTACTTCACGCCGCGAAGGAGGTGCTGAGTTCGGATGAGCTGGCGTCAGTGCTTCTAGACCTTTCAGAATCAGCATTCATCCTGATGGGCAGGGCGGCAGCCGTCACACGCAGCCTTACCCAGCCCATCGGCCGCCTGCCCCTACCTTTCGACTTTTACACGCATGGCTTGGGTTTTTTCCGGCACCTTCGGCAGGCGCAGCAACTGAAACCGGCGCTGCGTCAACGCAACGCCATATCAGCCATTTGCAGTGCTTTGCTGGCCGCACCGCCGCCCCGACTGCATGTGACTGCACCCTTACCGGAACCCGTCCACAAGGTCTGGTCGGTAGCTGAACACCTGTACGAGTCCGTCCTGGACGCGTGTATGGCCAGCATCTTTCCCCTGCTCTACTCCGCTGAGCCGGGGCCAAACGAGAACGCCATGTTGGAGGTCCTGGCGGTTCCCGAGGTGGTGGCGCTGCAGCGAGGGCTGCTGGAGCGGGTCATTGAGGATGCAGGCGGTGGTGGTGGCGGTCAGGATGCGTTGAGCGGCGGCGGCAGCGGGGATCAGCGGAGGTTCGGGATCGGCGGCGGCGGGGACTCTGGGACTGGCGGCGGCAGCAGCACCAGCAGCTCCTGGCCGCTACTAGACTGCGCACTGAAGCCCGACGGCACCATAGGCCGTGCGATTCCCACCATTAAGGGGGACGATGCGCCGGGAGTCACACGCATGACGACGATGGGCTTGGTGCTGAAGTTCTGGAGGGATCTAGACCGGGCCCCGCTGCTGCACTCCGCGGCTCCCAGCCCGCCCGAGCGCATGCGGCTTGCGCTGCGGCTGATGCGGACGATACACCTGGCATGTGACCGTGGTGCCGGCGGCCGGTACGGTGCGGAGCCGGCGGCCAGTGCAGCACCCCCTGGAAAACTGCAGCAGTGCTTGCCCATGATAATGGAGGGCGTCATTGCGGACATAGCCGTCTGTGTGAACGCGGAGGGGTTCGGCATGGAGGTCGGTGTTGTGCTTGACGCGCTCGAGGCGTGCGTCTGGGTCCTGTCGGTGGCGAACAGCTTGCTGGCGATGAGCTGCCAGCAGGGCGACTGCGGGGTGGCATATTCTGACCTGCTGACATGCCTTGGGCGGGTGCCACTTTGCTTGAATAAACTCGCCGGTAGGTTGGGCGCAGCGTGTTGCAATGGCGTACAAGATATTTGCATACTTTCCAATCCGTTACTATATTCTACGTACTTGGGCGCAGCGTGAATCTGTTATCACAATTGAGTTTAGCGAGGAGCAAGCGCACTCTTGACGCACTGCCTCGCCCCCCCCCCTAGGCCTACCGTTACCAGCGTTCGTTGTTTTCCGCCTTGAAAGGAAGCGACTTAACGCAGCGCCGCTCCATCCTTCCATCCCTGTCGCAGAGGCGTCGTTACCACCTGACGCATGCCGCAGCCTGGCGTCACGTCTGGGCCGCGCACACCTGCTGCCTGTCTTAGACGCCCTGCTCCGCCGCGTTGCCGCGTCTCCCGTAGCCAGGACTGCTAGCGCTTCGGCAAACGGAAACGCGGATGCAATCCGTCAGTTAGTCCTCGTGTTGATGTGTGCTCATACGATATTAGATCCCCTGCTGGGAGAGGTGGTTCGGGAGAGCTGGGAACGGCAGTTAGGGCTGACGGCATCGGAAGAGGGAGGCGGCGACGCCGGACCGGGCTGTGGCGACTGCGGCAAGCGCCAGCAAAGGCGACTTGACGATGCTCAGAGCGACCCATGGGACACTAAGCGGGAGCTCGGATTCTTCATCACGCTCAGCAAGCTGGCGCTGCGAGAGGCGGCTGGTCTGGACACGTCCTGCCAGAAACCGGAGGGCCTACAATCCCTCACGGCTTCAGGTCTAGGCACGGTTGCGGACTGCGTGGCAGGCTGTTTAACGGTTGCGGACTGCGTGGCAGGCTGTTTAACGGTTGCACTGTGCCCTGCCAGGGGCCTGCTGGAGGTGTGGGAGCGCCCCCCACCCGGCCTGCCTGCCTCCACCGCCGCCCGCCTGACGGAGGTGCTGACGCTGGTGACCCGGGCGGCATGCGTGCTGGCGGTGCCGCTGCTGCTGCGGGCGGCGGAGACGCTGGGTGGGGTACGACAGGACCCGGTCAAGGTCGGGAGGGCCCTGGGTCTCGCCTACTGCTGCCTGCAAGCCCTGGCGTCGCTGTACGGCAAGGTACCGGCGGCGGCGCTGCTGGCGGCGCAACCGCATCGGCTGTTGGCGGCGCTGGGGGTGATGCTGGGCCGCATGGGGGCCGCCGAGGGCGTTCAGTCGGCGGCTGCATCCTCCGAGGCGTCAGCAGACGTCTGGAAGCAATGCCTTATCAAGGTTGACATAGCTTTGCTGCGAGCATGGAGGCTGCTGGCTTTGATGGCGGTGGGGACAAGTGGAGAGGAGGGCAAGGGCGCAGATGCTTCAGGGGGCTCGGCAGGTCCGGCTGTGTCGCTGCGTGCGCATGCGTTGGCCCTGCTGGGCTGGCCGGCGGCGGCGGCAGGTGTGACGGCTGCTGCTGGTGCGGCGTTGAGCCGCGCTGGTGCGATGCTGCTGGAGGGGCTGGCGGGCTGGGATACGGCGGAGGCACGTGCGCTGCGGGCGATATGGCGGGCGGCGGCCGCAGCGGATGGGGGTGCGCTGCTGGACCGGGTGGGGCTGCGGCTGCGGAGCGACGAGGCAGGGGGCGGGGAGGGGTTCAGCGCAGGCGTGCTGCCGGAGGTGGAGGCGGCGGTGGCGGAGGCGGTGGCGGTGGGTGATGGCAGCGGAGGTTGTTCGGGGCCTGGGGCAGCAGCAGCAGCTGCCACAGCGGCACTGCCGTCGCCAGTGGTAGTGCCGCTGGTTCGCCGGGTGCTGAGGATGTGCGGCAACCCGAGGTGCGAGAACTACGGTGGCGCATGCGAGGGGGCGCTGAGGCTCAGCAGGTGCGGCGGCTGCCGTGCCGTACACTACTGCAGCGTGGCGTGCCAGAAGCAGCACTGGGAGGGCGGGCATAAGCCGGAATGCTTGGCGAGCAGAAAATATATGCGGTGGGTTTGAGTGCCTCGGAATAGTGTGTGGCGTAAAGTTTTAAAGTAGGACCATGATTACAACATGACGGGTCGACCGTTGCTGAGATGCATTTGAGATGATGTGGGCTGCGTGTAGATTATTGGTGATCTTGTGTACCGCCCATTTGGTGTGTGCTCTCTTTTTAAAGAGCCACTGTGATGGTCATTCATCCATTTTGCACGGAGACATTGCATGTTGAGCGCTTCATGCGTGATGATGCTTTGTGTGACGGGAGGGGCGGCTGTGTGTTGACGCTTTAGTGGCAAAGCAACACCCGACATGTGGTAGTAGTGTGCTGTACTTTTACGCGTGGGCAGAACTCCCGTCCTTGCCGCCCATGCAAGCATGTTGCTGGCTACACGGCCGAATGTGCCCTGGCTTCCTCCAGTTGTTGTTGGAGGGCGTGTTGGGGCGCACTTGGGGTTTCTCCACTGCCGAATGCATGGTATGCATCAAGCATTACCGGTTCCAGATCGAGTTGGCCTCGCATTGCAGCTAGGTTGCGAATTCGGAACGGCTGTACGGCGCGGGGCGCCGAGAGATCCATGCTTAACTTATTGTTCGGCTGAGGGAGGGGCTGACCAGCCAAAGGGCTGCTCGTTAAGGGGGCATTCGAGGGCAGGGTGCTTGACCTGGTTGGGTGTGGACCGCCTTATGTGTGGGGCTGTCACACGCAGCGAGGGTTACTGCAAGTAGACTGTGGTTGGCAAGTGCAGCGAGAGGATACGAGTGTGGCTTGAATAGTATGGCCCGCTGCCTTTCGACATGGGTTGGCGTGCATTGCGTGGCTTAGCTCGCATGAACTAGGGCATGCACTTGCCGTACTCCCTTTGCAAGGCGAATTTGGCAATGTGCGCTAAACAACGACAGCACCAAGCTGGCTTTATATGCAAATTAGCAACATGTTATAGCGCAGAGGCGTTATGGCGTATACGAAATAAGCAAGCAAGGAAGATAGATCGACGTAGCCATCATCCCTCTTTAATAATATGTCCCGTATCATGGTAACTAGCCCTAGTTACAAGGGCTAACCCTAATACCTAGCAAAGGCATTTTCCCTACTGGCAAATGTGTTATGCTTGCAAGTGGATAATCACTGGAAATGGCTCCGCAAGACCTGCGCCCATCACTCAAGCGCATATCAAACGTACTAAACCAAATAAGCACATCCGGACTCGGTCACACAGATGTGGCCCAAAGCGGGCAGGATCGCAGGTCTTCGCGCCAAACGCGCGCGCCTCGGCAGCAGCGCGGAGACGACTGTAACACCGCGCAGCTGCCCGGCACCTACCGGCTACTGGGCGATGAACTCACTGTCCTGCTGGAAAGGATGTACGCTCCAACGGAGCTGCCACCAAAGGTCGTAGCCGCAGCTGTCCGGTCAGCCATCGAGCTGCAACTGGTGCCACGGGCAGCGGCGCTGCTGTCTGAGCTCCTGCAGGCTGCAGCCCATCAGCCCTCGTGCGGAACCAGCCTCGGAGGCGCAGCAACGGCAACAGCGTCGGAGACGTCTAACTCTGCCGACTCTGCTGCAGCGGCTGTGGCTTCTGCCTCCTCCTCCTCAGCTCCAAACCTAGCGGGGCCAGCCAGCAGCACCGCGCTGGTCAATCGAATGGCGCGTGCTGCAGCTCTTGCAGCCGATCTCCTGCGGCTCCTGCTCTTCTTCGCACGGTTGGGGAAGTTGATGGCTCCAAGCGGCACCACGGCGGCTGCTGGCTACACCGCTGCAGCTGCTGAGGCAGACCGCACACGGCTGTACGAGCAGCTGTGTGATGTCACCCTCGGACGCGCCATGACCGCTGCCGTACGATTCGTCCATTCGGAGGTCTGGCCGCTGCTGGCCGCGGTGCGTACGGACGGGGGACCAGGACCGTCTCCAGCAGCGGCTGGGGACCAGCGGGTTGGGCCGCTGTCGTCGCCCGCCTCCTCCTCCTCCTCCGTAGCTTTGGTGGGCGAAAGGACGATCACGCAGCTGAAACTCCGGTGCAACGCCCGCAGCGCATTGTGTGGAGCGGCACATTTCCAGTACAATCTGGTATTGTTGTGGCAGTCCTGCTATTCCAATGGGCAGCAAAACCGGCTGCGGTGCAGCACCATGCCGCCGCCGTCGCTCATACAGCTACAACAGCTGCGTCAGCTGCGTCAGCTGCTGCAGCAGACCGGCCTGTTGGCTGCGACCTGCGGCGCACTTACCGCCGCGCCGCCTCGAGCGTTTCTTGTGTCCGGTGAACAGGAGAGCGCCAGCATTCAACGCGTGGTCAAGACCCCCAAGGAGCTCCTGTGCACGGCACTGTCCTGCACGGCCCTTGTAACCAAGACACTTTTGGCTTGCGGTCTGCAGGAGTCTTACGAGCTACAAGACAAGCAGGCCCTGTTGGAGGTCCTGACGTCACCCGAGGTGGTGGAGCTGCAGCGAGGCCTGCTGGAGCGAGTCATTCAGGATGCAGGCGGTGGCGGTGGCGGTGGCGGTCAGGGTGAGAGTGGTGGCAGCGGCAGCAGCAGCGGCAGCGGTGGTGGTGCCAGCTGCTGGCCCCTGCTGGACAGCATTCCAAGGCTCGACAAGGCGCTTAGTGACTTGGTTCCCGAGGCCGGGGGCAAGGCGCGCCTTGAGTGTGTGCATGCGCGGTTGGTGGCGCTAACACTCGGGGCATGGCACGCGGTGTACAGGTTCCCGCGGCTGCGTCCCTCGCTCCCCAGCCTGCCCGAGCGCATGCAATTTGTCCTGCGGCTGCTGCGGGCGTTACATCGCCTGGTGGGCGGCTGCGGCGGCGGCGGGCAGTACGACCTGGCGTCGACGGATTCGGATCCGTCCAAGGTGGTTTCGATGCTGATGGAGGCTTTCAGCACGCTTCGTGGGCTGCAAGATAGGGGACAAGAGGGCGGTGCGGCGGCGGCAGCGGCGGTTGACGGGCAGGAGGCATGTGGCCTGATGGTGGCAGTCTCCACTGAGCTGGGGCTGCGTGAGTGGCCCGGGTGCTGCAGCGTGAGGAAGGAGCAGGTGCTGTGGGACACCCAAAAGCTGGTCCTCCGGTTTTGGATTGGCGTTGCTGGTAGGTGTGGGGTGAAGTAAGGGGTGCGGCAGACGAAGCCAACAGTTCATGCGTCCACGTCCAGGCGTTGCTCGCTTCGTCTCGCTTTCAGGGATTCTAGTTAGCGTTCGTTGTTTTCCGCCTTGAAAGGAAGCGACTTAACGCAGCGCCGCTCCATCCTTCCATCCCTGTCGCAGCGGCGTCGCTACCACGAGACGCATGCCGCAGCCTGGCGTCACGTCTGGGCCGCACACGCCTGCTGCGTGTCTTTAACGCCCTGCTCCGCCGCACCGCCACGTCTCCCGTAGCCAGGACTTCGGCAGAAGGAAACGCGCATGCAATCCCTCCGTTAGTCCTCGTAGCGACGTGCGCCCATACGGTGTTAGAATCGCTGCTGGGAGACGTGGTTCGGGAGAGCTGGGAACGGCAGTTAGGGCTGACGGCATCGGAAGAGGGGCGCGGCGACGCCGGACCGGGCTGCGACGACTGCGGCGAGCGCCAGCAAAGGCGACTTGATGATGTTCAGAGCGACCCATGGGACACTAAGCGGGAGCTCGGGTTCTTCATCACGGTCAGCAAGCTGGCGCTGCGGGAGGCGGCTGGTCTGGACTCCTGCCAGGGGCCAGCAGCACCCGCATTGGCAATGGAACCGTCAGACCCTTCCGCCCCCACGGCCCCGCGTCTAGACAGGATTACGGGCTGCGTGGCAGGCAGTTTAGCGTTTGCACTGTGCCCTGTCAGGGGCCTGCTGGCGATGTTGCGACGCGCCCCACCGGGCCTGCCTGCCTCCACCGCCGCCCGCCTGACGGAGGCGCTGACGCTGGTGACCCGGGCGGCATGCGTGCTGGCGGCGCCGCTGCTGCTGCGGGCGGCGGAGACGCCAGGTGGGGTAATGCAGGACGAGGAGGCGTGCGAGTTAGCATTGAGTCTTGCCACTGCTGGCCTGCAAGCCCTGATGGCGCTGTACGGCGAGGTACCGGCGGCGGCGCTGCTGGCGGCGCAACCGCACCGGCTGCTGGCGGCGCTGGGGGTGATGCTGGGCCGCATGGGGGCTGCTGCGAAAACGGGGGCCGCCGAGGGCGTTCAGTCGGCGGCTGCAGCCCCCGAGGCGTCAGCAGACTTCTGGAAGCGTTGCCTTGCCACGGTTGACATAGCTTTGCTGCAAGCACGGAAGCTGCTGGCTTTGATGGTGGTGGGGACAAGTGGAGAGGAGGGCGAGGGCACAGATGCTTCAGGGGGCTCGGCAGGTCCGGCTGTGTCGCTGCGTGCGCATGCGTTGGCCCTGCTGGGCTGGCCGGCGGAGGCGGCAGGTGTGACGGCTGCTGCTGGTGCGGCGTTGAGCAGCGCCGGTGCGGTGCTGCTGGAGGGGCTGGCGGGCTGGGATACGGACGAGGCACGTGCGCTGCGGGCGATATGGCGGGCGGCGGCCGCAGCGGATGGGGGTGCGCTGCTGGACTGGGTGGTGCAGCGGCTGCGTATTATTGTTGAATGCAGCAACGGCATGGGCGAACGAGGCAAGCAGCTCAGTGGAGTCGTGCTGGCGGAGGTGGAGGCAGCGGTGGCGGGGGCAGTGGGTGATGGCAGCGGAGGTTGCGCGGGGCCTGGGGCAGCAGCAGCAGCTGCCACAGCGGCACTGCCGTCGCCAGTGGTAGTGCCGCTGGTTCGCCGGGTGCTGAGGATGTGCGGCAACCCGAGGTGCGAGAACTACGGTGGCGCATGCGAGGGGGCGCTGAGGCTCAGCAGGTGCGGCGGCTGCCGTGCCGTACACTACTGCAGCGTGGCGTGTCAGAAGCAGCACTGGGAGGGCGGGCATAAGCCGGAGTGCTTGGCGAGCAGGGGTGTTGGTGCCAGGAAGTAGGGGGCACTCCAGGTATGGCAGAGGGCTGTTGGTAGGTAACCTAGGGCTGCAGCAATGTGACAGGGCTGTCGCGTTTCTCTGGTTGGGCATGTGGCGGTAAAAGCCAATGTTGTGTTCCAGGAAACACCGGGGCAACACCAACCATGTGGGCTTTATTTAGGCTGCTACCGCTGAATAAGAGACCGTGACAGAGGAGAACGGGTTGTGAAGGGGCAGTGAGCTCAAAACACGGTTTGTTGCGATACCTTAGGTTGGGCCGAGCAGACAACAAGAGTAGTGTGATGCGGTGCATGTGGCCGTAACTGGGTTTGGGGTTGTGGCTTGCTTGGGTGGCTGCGGTGCTGCTTCCGGTAACGGTTTGACACTTCGGATCCGGATGCCAGATGCCGTACAATGATACCGTAGGCTTACATGGGTGGATGGGCATTCGTCCCTTTTCGTTCCACACAGCATCATGGCCACTCGCACCATCTCCTTCTGCAGCATCTGTGGCATCGTACGTGTCGGGACGTGCTGCACCAGGAACGTCATGAACGCCCATTATAAGTTTATAACAGCTTAAGAAGCAGCTAGACAGGGTTGTCTTGGCGGCATTGCTGCCGTTGCAGAAAGACCAGCCTAGGCCGCCTGTAAGCGCAGTTGCCAGCCTGCCAGTCGCCTGGCAACATGCTTCCAAATGTCTTCACCCGCAGCTTTGGCGCGTCCTCAACACTTGAGACTCGCTTTACTGGTATTTCGCGTCTCCGAGTGGCTCCTAAATCCATCTAGTAGCGGCACAGGCAATCCTTGCGACCGACCATTACCAGAAGCAGCAGCGCCAAGAAGTCCGTATTCGCACACATGGACGGTTCGACAAACACATGGCTGCCGCCAACGATGGGTGTGCCGACGCTGCGTGTTGCGGGTGTGTGGCAACCCGAAGTGTGGGAACGTTAGCGGCGCATGCGGGAGCAATTTGGGGCATGGGTGGTGCGGTGCATGAAAGTTCTTAGCGGTCGACACCATAAATCGGTCCCCGCGTCGTGGTACATACATCGAAAAGGGAACCAAGTGTTAACGCACATGGCCTTGAATGGTTGTAGAAACTTGCGCTGCTTGTCCTGTGTCATCGAAACTTAAGGGTCTCCATCACTTGCCTTCCCTTCTGAGATAGTATTCGTGGGTCAAACGTCACCGGCTGGTGCCGGTTTAGAGGTTTGCAACGCATGTGACAGCTAGCGGCATCACACGTTAGCACCACCCAGCCACAACTCGTCTGTTGCTAAGGACATGTATCGATGCCATGTGCAAACCTTTGTACAGCATAATAAGCAGACAGCGTGAACATAAGTACAGTAGGCCTCCATGGTATAGCGGTTGTACTTTTCGGCACGGCTTTCATGCGTGGGAACGCCTTGGCAATGCAGATATGAGTATGCCTTCTTACGTCTATGCAGGAGTCTATTATGAGACAACATGATGAACGTCAACTTGAAGTCCGGATCCAGATGTACATTGAAACAGGCCGAGGCGGAGCTTCGCAATCCCATCCACCAGTCTTGCTCCTGCCATACTGTTTCTTAACAATACTTATGTAACTCTATATACATTCCACTCGACTGAACCCTGCTAGTGGAAATTGAAAGCAGACTAGCTGTAGCAACAACTTGAATGCCAGTTCTTCCCTTCTGCTTCGCGCCTTAAGTAGCTTTCTTGCCCATTACCTTAACACTACTATCCAGTGCTATTAGCTCAGCAACCGATGGGAATTGACAGGCGCGACGGAGCCGGGGGACAAGCCCAAGTCCGGCGCATCCCCGCTCCACCCACAGCCCAAACCAATGTAGAGACTCCTAAGAACCAATCAACACTCCCAAAGAATAGAGGCCCTTCACCTCAGCGCCGGACACCAGCTCCATCTGCACGCGCGAAGGATGCGTCTTCAATTCTCTGCTCACCTGCGGCGTCGAACAAGCGACACGAGCAGACGCCAAGCACAAAGATAAGCAAGACCCTTCTTCGTCGCAGCCCACCTCAGGCCATCGAAAAGGACGACGTGCCTGAGAGGGACAGCAGCCAGAAGCCAACTGCTCGCAGGGAAACCAGCTCAAGGGACAGTGGGCACCGCAGGCCAACCTCAGAAAGCAGCAGCTCGACCGTCAACGGAAAGAACATTGTCAAGCAGCTGTCTGCCCTGGTTAAAAGTACTCGAGCGAATCCCTCCGGGGCCTCCAGCTCTGGAACCAGCGCCTCCAAGCCCGCGCCGGCCGCGGCGCCAGCGCCAGCTCCGGCACCTGCTGTCGCGCCGAGGCAGCCGACACGCTCAGCTAGTGTGTGCCGAGACCGGATGGCGGAGCGCCTGCCAGGTGACACGCGAAGCAGCATGCTGCGTCGCTCAGCATCCGTTGGCAAGGGCCGTGCGGCATCCTCGCAGTCTGACTTCATGCCGGAGCACGCCGGCGCCAAGAGCCGGCCTGTCATTGCACGGACCGGCTCAGCAAGCGCGGTCCAGCCTCCTGTCCGGCCGCCCATGCGGGACGCCTCGGCCGGTCGGCTGCGGCCGGCTAGCGCTTCAGTGAAGGGCGATGTGTCACTGCACTCGAGCAGCAAGCTGACGACGATCACGGAGGCGCCCTCGAGGCCCCCGGTGCCGGCTGCCATTGCAGCGGCTGCACTGCAGGCCAGGTAAAATGTTGCTGCATGCGGCCGCTAACGCTTGCTACGTAATCACCGCGGGTTTACACAATCTGCTGGATATAACGTTGTAACTGCATTTCCACCCCACAGGCCCTCATCCACGCCGTCGCGGCCGGTGCTTCCCCTAAACCTGGCGGCCCTGAAGCAGCAAGTTGTGCCGCCGCTCCTGTCCGCTGCCTCCGCCGCGTCCGCCGACCCGGGGAGCAGGACCTCCACAGAGGAGTCCGGGTGAGTTTGGGACCCCCTCTATGCGCCGCCGGTTGCCATTACTGATAGCGCCCACCACATATGCCACCATATGCCTCTTACCTGGCATTTGCTAACTACCCTTCTCTCTTTGCATGCCGTTCTGTTTCAGGCCGCCGGTGCCCAAGCTGGATCTGGGGGGCATCCTGCAGCGGCGCGCGGAGGAGCAGGCGTCCGAGCCGGTGTTTGTTGTGGCGGCCTCCACGGAAGACGAGCTGCCGCCGCCGTCCATGGCCTCCCAGAGCTCCCTGGTCGACAACAAGCGCAAGTCCATAACCCAGCTGCCCAGCGCCAAGGAGGAGCCGGCTGAGCACTTCTACCTGTAGGTTGCATGTCGGGCTCGGGGCCATCTTGGCTGCTGTATATAGGGGGTCGTAGGGGTACTTTCCGCGAGATCGCGTTTTCCCATGCCGCATCGGGGAAAGGGAGGGAGGCCATGGGTGCTGGGGTAACCTAGCTTCGGCACTGTCCTGGCTTGCTATTGGTGTCATGCTCGCATGTACTAGGCACTGTCCGCTTGGCATAGTCAGCTTGGGTTTGCACTGGCAGCTGTTGTCATTTACTTCTACTTACGCCATCCCGTGTTGCGCCTCTCGCCCCCTCTTTGTTGTGTGCGTAGGTACCCCAAGGTCAACCCACAGGTAAGGAAATGTTCCGGGCGTTACGCTAGTGTCTGGGTTTCGCCTTACTGTACTATGTGTATTGACAACGTCACGGCCATGTGTCATGCTGAGCGTTGAAAGAATGGCAATCGCGTTAACACCATACCGCCCGTTGCGTCCATGCTTGTCACGGCAACAGGAGAAGAAGCGCATCGAGGATATCTGCAAGGTGGTGCCCAAGCGGCAGCAGGTGGCCATCACCGACCTCTTCAGCAAGATGGTTGAGGTGAGCAAGGAAGTTGCGGGGAAAGGGTGCCGGCATTGTCAAAACAGGCTGAGCGTACTAATGCAGTGCTAGACTTGACCGGAGGGAGGGTCACAGCGTGATACGTAACTTCTACCCCGCTGTGCCTTACTTACAGGCACGCCAAAACTGCGAGCAGATGTGCTTCCGCGGACACCGCCTGCTGGACCAGGTATGCGTGCCCCTCCATGAGGTGCAGCTGCCTACTTCAATGCACACGTTTTCGATCCATGCATAGCATGGGGGAGCTGGAGAACTGTTCGTTATCTGTGCCTCATTACGGTATAATAGACCTTGCCCGCAAGGCATGCTTGCAGATCTCCCCCCCTTCGTGCCCTTACTACCCTGCATCCCGCCATCCACCCCTTGCAGGCCCAAGCCGAGTTCAAGAACCGTCTAGCCCAGAAGGAGGAGGAGGTGGCACAGACAAAGGAGGAGGCCATGCAGTGGAGGCAAGAGGTAACTGGGATGGACACCGCAACTTCACACCATGCAGCAATATGCATGTCGCTATCCTGCTGCTAATCAACACGTTACACTACCGTACTGCACGGTGCTAACCAGCCAACCTGTGCCTCGACAGGCCGAGTTCCTGCGGGCGCAGCTGGCGCTGCTGCTGGGCGCACGGCAGCCGGAGGAGTACATGGACGAGTACTCGCCGGCTCCGGGCCACTCTGAGCGCCAAGTGAGTATTGCTGTCCATGTTGTCTTGCTGCTGCTATGCCGATGGACCGGTTACGGGAAATACTTATCACATCTTTGGTTTTTATGCGATGCAGCAAGAGGAGGGAGAGGGAAGCGCCACAAGCGACCTGCGCAACAGCTTCATGTCGGCGTTCGACCGCATTGGGTTGCTGGGCTCAGCCGGAGCGGGCATGGCATACAGCAACGACGTGCAGGAGTATGCTGACGGTTGACTTGATGGTGATTAGAAGTGCTGTATTGCGTGTTGAGCGTTTCGTGCGGTGATGTGTGGGTCGCGTTATGGGAGGGTTGACAGGAGGGGCGACAAACGATTTTCGTTATCCTATTATACAAAGCTGTAGGAGGGAACGCTGCGTATCACGAACATGGTGCTTGGGTTTCATTTGCGGTCCCAGCACTTTCGCAGGATTGGATCTATAACGGTGTACGGAGTCAAACTGAGAACTTCAGATTCATGGGCGACTTGTCAATCAATGTTATTGTTGCTTCAAATATGCAACTCACTTTTGGGAATCGTTGCTCCTTGCCGGTCGCCACCAGGCGGGCACCGCGCAGGGTGACAATTGCGGTCCGAGCCGATGGTTCTGTTCAGGACCTATTAGCACGAGATCGGAAGTAGGTGGATCTGCCATATAATACACGCCGAGCTTTGGGATCTTTAAGCCTAATGTAACATTATCCTACCATTTAGGCAACCCAAGATAAGCCCCGAATTGCTTGGTGAAGAGGGTAGTAAAAGCAAAAAGCAATCAGTCGTAAAGTCTCGCAACCAGCGACGGTCAGACGCTCGAGCACGGTAAGGGTACTCATGCGGCTCGGCTCCAGGATTACCATTGACAACGCAAGACGCCCTCGTGTCTCTCCTGCAGAACCGATGCCCCCGACCAACCGTCAGACAGGTGAGTCGTCAGCTGCTCGGGCTGAAATAAGGTGTTCCACCAGTTGCGGTATTGAGGCACTGGGATGGTTTATGGGCCTCACTCCGGACTTGTGTGGGTACTGTAGCGACGGGCGCAGCACCAGTCTCCGCCTTGCGCTCAGGATATTATCAGCTGCACGCTGAGTGTCTGTGATTAAAAAACCCTTTCCAACATGTACATTCCCCAGCAACGCTGCCCGACCGCACCTCGTGTAGGCCCAAGCGTTGCAAAGACGCGCTGGACAAGGGGCTAGAAGCCTTCAAGGAACAGAAGTATGAGCAGGTGGGGACCCACAACTCTACGGCACGTATGGGATGTCAAGGATTGGGTGGTGAACTGGCAAGGGTTGGATCTCCACAGCAAACATAGCGCCAATGGCATCCTGGGCCCATGCACTTGCTTGCTGCTACTCCCACGCGTGAGCACGACTGCCATCCGAGGGTCGGACGACCAATGGGACGCTGCCACCTGCCGCCGATGGCCCAATCTCCGCCCCGACACTCCCCTCCTATTGCCATCTGCCTACAGGCCATTGAGCTCTTCAACCTAGCACTCGAGCTGCCAGGCAACGGGGCGTACCGGCTACCAGGCAGTCCGCGAGAGTACAGGTGCGCACATGCCGTACTGCTGTACTGCAGCCGTAGCGGGGCCACCGGAGGGGTATGCTCAGCCATGCGTGTCCTGCTGCCTGTCTGCACCTCCACCTGCATTCCCTCCGGGGCTCCATCATATCCTTGGTTGCCTCTTTGCCACTTGCATGGGTTGCATCCCACTTCGCTGTCTCCTGCTGCCTTCCCTCGCTGCTGCAGCTGTCCCTCTGAGGCGGAGGAGCGAGCTGCTCTGTACAACATGGCATGTGCGTATGCGCAGCTGGGGCAGGCCGCCAGCTGCCTTACGTGTTTGGAGGCGGTGCTAGAGAGCGGTGAGGCGCGGGGGACCAGGCTGGCTTGGCGAGGTTGGGGTAGGCTGCGCTGGGAGGCGGCGCGGGGTCAGTAACACAAGGGCCGGTGGCGAGGAGGGGTATGGCGAAGGAGGGTTTTGGAAGATGGGTAGCGAGGAGCGAGGTGTAAGATGCGGTACGGTACTGCCGTAGGACCGGGGCTCGTGTGTGCGTGATGCAACTTGCAAGCTTGCAAGTAATGCAGGTTGCGGGCAACATGTCAGGCTTCCAGCACCCAGCAGTAGCTAACGGCGGTTGCGCCCTGGGAAGTGTCTTTCAGACCCCTTTCGGCATTCTTCAGCCGCCAAAACAGTGGGGGGAGTGAAACTGGGAGCGCGAAACTGGGTCTCTCGTGGTCTTTTCGCGCGCAAGCCTAGCCTTCTGTCCCCTGCCTGCAGGCTTTGCGGACTTCCCTACGATGCGGAGCGACCCCGACCTGGCTCCGGCACGGGGCCCAGCGTTTGAAGAGCTGCTTGGGAGGTGGGTCGTGAGGGAGGGAAGGAGGGAGGGAGGGAAGAAGGGAGGGAGACCTTGAGGGCTTAGTCCAAGGTAGGACCGATAGAATCGAAGCACCTCCCGGCACCCCCAATACCGGCACTCCTTGCAAAACAGTGGAGTGGCCTACTTACTCTGGGGCGCCCCGAGTGCGCACTGGTGCCTGCACCGGGCTGCGCACATGCCTGGTGAAGGCAGCTTCCCAACTTGCGCCCGCCACTGCGCCTGCCACTGCAATGACGGTCCCCGCCCGGTACACTCCCCGCCGGTCGCTCCATCGCATGCAGGTACGACAGCCCGCTGGCCAAGCTGAAGAAGATGCTGCCGAGCAATAAGGACAAGCAGGTGAGTTCGTTGGAGTATCCGTTGACGGATTCCTCACAAAAAGATGTATGTTGTAAAAGTCATTCCTACGTATGGCACTCTGGAGAAGCTCACGTTTCTCATGGCATTGTAGCGGACGGTCCCAGCGAGCGATGTCCCACTCTGCGCGCTGGACAGCACAGCTATACGGCTAGCACAGCGGGGAGTGACCACCCTAGCACCTTCTGCACTGCAAGTCAAAACCCTCATCCGCGACCGGCCCGCTCCCCGTGTCACACGCCTTCCATGTTCCACCTAAACCTCTTCTTCAGCTACCTGTTAGCATAACGGCTCCCTCCCGCTTGCGGCGCTGCTGCACGCACCCGCCCCACTCCAGGTGCTCGTGTCCGAAACCAACAAGCCCTGGATGCTCTGGTAGCCCACCCCCAGCGCTGCAACACCGGGGCTGCAGGTGTGCTGCTGACCTGCCCGCCCGCCAGTATGGCGATCCAGACCCGCAGAACCCAGCTGCGGTCCGCAGCAGCTCCATCACCGCCACCAGCAGCTGCAGCTGCCTGGCTGTAGCGGCGCGAATTTGCTCAGCGGTTCCGTATTACCCTGCGGTTGTGCTGACATGTGTTAGGGTTAGCGAAACGAGGAGGAGGCTAGCGAGCAACGCGGGTTAGGAATTCCTCGTCACCAGGCTGGCACCGTGAGGCCAGGTCAGGTTGATAACCAGAGCACTGTAACATGTGACTGGATGGAGGAGTGAATTGGGGCGCAATACGTGGTGCGGGTAGCTATACATACATAGGGCTGTGCCTTGCTCGTCTGTTTCTAGCTTCTGTTGGGGTGTGAATGGAGCCTTCCTAACATGGCTACGGGAGGTAATGACGTCGTTCGTTAGTGACCTCGGATGCCAACGACGCAAGGTCAGCGGCATGGGTGAAGGCGGTGCTGGCACGTGGACATGCGTGATACGCGAGGCGCATGAGCGTAGGGATCGAGGGGAGACGGGACGGCTGCAAGCAGGGGAAGCAGGTATCGGGAACACATCAAAACTGAAACACGTTTGGTGGCGCAAGTTCGAGTTAACTTCCTGTTTAGGTTAGGGCTGGTTGACGGCATATCAATCCACAGATGCGGCTTGCGCAGGTACTGTGTAGGCGGTGCGTGTACGCTTGCGACGACTGCTGTGTTGTCTAACGTCACTGTACGTTGCCTTTCCACTGTCTATCTCGGTATGAGTATTAAGAAACGTCTGCGAGAGGCTGAGTAGCATGAAACCCAGCCAAGGTCAATGGCAGGCCGAGGTTGATGGCCGTACTGCTACTGCGCTGCAAGCAGACAGGGCGTGCCGGTGAGAGTTGGGTAGGTGCAGTCGCCTCCCTCCTCCTTTCTGCCGAGACCGGTAGCCATGCCGCCGTACCACCGCCAGCGTCTCCGAGTTTAACACCTCACACAGTAACAGTGGAAGTTACTTAGGCTTATGCACGGGCGGAGTCGACATTTGGGAGCGGCTCAGCGACTTAGCCTCCTGGACTTGCTCCTCCACATAGGGCGCTGCCAAAGTGCCTTATCGCGATCCGCACCAAACATCCCGAAGCCCTGCGAGGGACATGCAAGACTACCATGCATGTGCATGGGCCGAAGCACGAAGCGACGACGACGACGGACCGCTCTGCTACAGCACTCATGCATCCAGATACCGGTACATCCCTACATCCCCACGGTCTTCTGCTGACGGAGCCCCAGTCCACCTATGGTTTACGGTGCTGCGCGTCAAGCCGGGTTGGTAGGAGGCAGAAAGCCAACCAATGCGCAATATACACCAATGACCTTTGCCAGGCCAATTTGTACCAAACCAGGCTCTGAAATCCGTACGGGATCACCACTGCTGAGCGCTAAAGCCGCTTACACAACACTTCCCTAACCAACGCGCTAGGGCTGAACGGATGACAATGACTCCCGTTGATGGATGACAACGGAACACTCCCCGCACGCCCTTGACGTGGCTTTCACGTCATGCAACCATCGCCACATATCTTCCCACCCTCACGTCTCGTCCCAATGCATTGCAGCAACATCCTTTGCCCTAGTAAACGGCATTCCAAGGATGGTATCCAGTATCCCACGATGCCATTGAGGCCACAGAAGTCCGATGCATATCACCGTACCAACTGTTCAGTAAGCTAACGCCCCAAACGCGCCATTCACCGTTTCAGCTCCATGCGATACACCTCATAGTTGTGGTTCAAGGACCGGCACGCATGCAGCCGCCGACGGCCCCCTAGCGCACCAAACGCCGCATCCGGCTCGCAGTAAATCACCCGCTGCACCCGAGAGTGCACAAGCGCCATTGCGCACATGATGCAGGGCTCTCGTACAACGAAACAGTCGTATCCCGTACACATGTACGGCCTGGAGCTAGCAGTTACCGCTGTTGTCACTGCTGCGTCCGCCGATTCCGTACACCCTGCTGCCTCCGGCTGTTGCGGTCCCTCGCCTAACCGCGGACGCTTGCTTGCCAGCTCCTCCCCGCCCTTACAAGCGCTGCTAACCAAGCTGCCGTTAGCAGCCGTGTGGTCCGCGCAAGCTCCTCCAGAGCGGCTTCCTGCGGCCGCCTCCATGTCCCCACCATCGACGGTACCACCGCCCCATGCATGCGTACCCAGCGGCCGCAGCTGCTGTTGCTGCTTCTCTTCCTGCTGCTGCTGCTGCCCTTGCGTGGCACCATTGGAGCTGTTGTTGCCCCAACCGACCGCATGGCATGCACCGCCGCCGCCGCCCCCCTCAGCCCCAGGGCAGCACGCCTCAGCCTCTCCAGCCTCTCCCGCGCCGGAGGGCGGCCACAGCACAAGGTCGCGCTCCGAAGCCGCCTGGATGGCCGCCATGACCGCATGGCGCAACGGGTGTACGGCACTGCCGTCCGCGGCCTCCGCCACCGGCACCTGCGCTGGCGGCTCCACGATAAGGGCCGCGTTGTCCACGCCGCCACGCGCCGCCAGCTGCAGCGCTCGTCGCATGTGGAACTCAAAGTAGAGTTGCGTGGCGACGTCAACCGGGGTCTCCTGTGTTACTGCTGTGCCGTGCTCGGGCACACGCCATGTGATGGGCCAGAGCTGCGTCCAAGCCTCCCATTGCTGCCGGGTTTGTGGCGCGGCTACGGCGCCGGTGAGGAGGCGTAGTCGTACACCGCCGTGCTGCGAGTAGAGCTCTTGGAGAGGGGCAGGAAGCCGGTCAAGCGCCAAGACTGCACCGCCAATGTTGGCTTGCGACTCAGGTGCAACGGGGGTGTCGTCTGAGGTCCCCAGCATGGGTGTGTCGCTGTCGTCGGGCAGCGAGCAGAGGATGGCTTCAAGGAGGGCCCCATCGTCGGGTGCTTTGCGAACGCGCTTGAGGTGTTTTAGGTCTACGAGAGGGGCGACAGTTCCCAGCGCCTTTATCAGCTGTGCGCCTGCCTTGCTTGGGAAGGCAGCTACGGCCAAGGAGACTGTTTGCAATTGCAGCTCTTGCTGGCTGGGCACAAGCACCGCCGCCTTGAACTCGGCGCCATCGGCTGCCATGCTGTTGCTTCCTATCTGCTTGTAAGCTGTCTATGAAAGACCTCAGCTTATGTGAGAGTGCGCGTAGATATTGAATGAAAAGACATATAGATATAAAGTGAGCAGGAAGGACTAACTGTTAGTTTAAGTTGCAGCAAAGGCAAGGCCTGAAACCAACGCAAAGCAATGCAGTACCTATAAGCGTAGGCAGATAATCTTCTTTTGCTCCTTTTAGCGCTTGTTGGCCAGAGACGCTCATTGTACGGACTGTTAACCCTGACCGCTCCACTTCCTCTTCTTTGCTAACGCGCGTCTATTGACGGTAGAGTTATAGGAGCAGAGTACATAGATCTAGGGAACGCACGTTCAAAATGGCCACAATTGATAAGCAAATTTTTGACGATGATACCGAGGAAGCGCTGCCTGAGGAGTTCTCTTACATGTCCGCTGAGGCCATTCAGCAACGCTGTCGACTCCTAGACAATGAGCTGCGTGTCCTGAAGGACGAGTCCACGCGCCTTACGTTAGAGCAGGACAACCTGAAGGAGAAAATAAAGGAGAACAAGGAGAAGATCAAGCTCAACAATCAGCTTCCTTACCTGGTAGCTAACATCGTTGAGGTGCTGGACATTGCACCCGAGGAGGACGAGGAGGAGGACGGCGCGACAGTAGATCTGGATGCGCAGCGCCGCGGCAAATGCGTGGTCCTCAAGACTTCCACCCGCCAAACCATTTTCCTGCCTGTGGTGGGCCTTGTAGACGCCACCACGCTTCGACCTGCGGACCTGGTTGGCGTCAACAAGGACAGCTACCTGGTGCTCGACAAATTGCCCGCCGAGTACGACTCCCGCGTGAAGGCGATGGAGGTGGACGAGAAGCCCACGGAGGATTACTCGGACATCGGCGGGCTGGACAAGCAGATCCAGGAGCTGGTGGAGGCAATCGTGTTGCCCATCCAGCACAAGGACCGCTTCACTAAGCTGGGCATCAAGCCACCCAAGGGCGTGCTGCTGTGAGTTCGCGACGGGGGAAGGGGAGGCGGGAGGAAATGGGGAGGGAGAAGGAAGGGGATGTGACGGGGTGGGAAGGAGGGCTGGTGGGAATGAGGGCGGGATGGGTGCTGTGATAGGTGGAGAGGATGGGGTTTGGACGTGGCTAGGGTGGTCCTGGTCACATGGCGGCTTGATGGCATCAAGGGGCTTGCTTCCTTGCAATCATGTGTTGCCAGCTTGGGGCAATGCACGTGAACATGCTCGGTTCGTGTTGCGTGTGTTGCTTTTCCGCTAAGCTGGTTTGGCCAGCCACCTTCACGCTGGTGGGCTACGGCAGCAAGCGCAGCTTGGAGGGGGAGGGTTGTCTTGCATTGCATTATACATGAGGGCCTAGCGGGGTTTCACCACACTAAAGCCGCTTCGGTACACTAGCATGGGTTTAGCAGGTCTAGCAAGACTCAACTGACCGCGCGCCCCGGTTGTGGGAATGTCCCGCTTGCCAAGGGAAGTAAGCACACTAGCACAGCCAGGCTTGCATCGCTTGCATCCAGCATGCACGCAAGAGCATTCCTGCATCTTTGTCTGCGGCGGCACAGACATTTAGCCGCCGCGTGTATCCCTCTGCACTTGAACGCGACCTCACGTCCCGGAGCTTGTCTCAGTAAGCAATGTCCCATCCACTGCGCACCATTACTACCATTACTATCCCACGCGCAGCTGTGCTGCCATTGTCACTTCCTCGTTACCCTTTCCCTCCCCTCCCGCCACGCTCGCTGCGCTCCTCCACTCCGCACCCCCACCCTCACCCTCATGCCCCATTCTTCCACTTTTCCTCTTACCCCCTTCCCCTCCCTCCTTCTCCGGTCCTCCTCCCACCTTCCCCTCCCTTCCCAACAGCTACGGCCCGCCGGGTACCGGCAAGACCCTCATCGCCCGCGCCGTCGCCGCGCAAACCAACGCCACCTTCCTCAAGCTAGCGGGCCCCCAGCTGGTGCAGATGTTCATCGGTGACGGAGCCAAGATGGTTCGCGACGCCTTCGCGCTTGCCAAGGAGAAGTCCCCGTGCATCATCTTCATCGATGAGATCGATGCCATCGGCACCAAGCGCTTCGACTCCGAGCTGTCAGGAGATCGAGAGGTGCAGCGCACCATGCTTGAGCTCCTAAACCAGCTGGACGGCTTCAGCAGCAACGACGACGTCAAGGTGATCGCAGCCACCAACCGCGCGGACATCCTGGACCCCGCACTCATGCGATCCGGGCGGTTGGACCGCAAGATTGAGTTTCCGCACCCCAACGAGGACGCGCGCGCCAAGATCCTGCGCATCCACAGCCGCAAGATGAACGTGGCGGCGGATGTGAACTACGAGGAGCTGGGTCGCAGCACGGATGACTTTAACGCCGCGCAGCTCAAGGCGGTATGCGTGGAGGCGGGCATGTTGGCGCTGCGGCGGGATGGCACGGAGGTGGCGCACGAGGACTTTGTGGAGGGTATCACGCAGGTGCAGGCGAAGAAGAAGGCGAACCTGATGTACTACGCGTGAGGAGGGGAAGCGGGGAGGAGTAAGGGTGCGGAAGGAGGGGATGAGAAGGAGGAGGCAGGGGGGGGGAGATGGCGTCGGGAGTTGGAGGAGGGAGGCGGAGGAGGAAAGGAAAAGGAAGGCTGTGGGAAAGGGAAGGGTAGGGTGTAGGGGTTTAGCATAGGCGCGTACGGGTGCCCGGCTGGATGGCAGGGATTAGGAGGCTTGCGTTGCATTGACGCATGCACGTTGCGCCGGGTACGTCACACACACGCATTGCAGATAGGGCGTCGGTTGCGGTTTGCAGTACTGCTGGGTAGCGTGGGTGGATTGGAGTAGGAGGGAAGCGTGGTGGGGCCGGGCCGTAAGGGAGCAGGGACACACCCGAACGGATACGCCGCAGTAGTTGATACAGATGCGGGATACGAACACAGGTGGGAAAGGAGGTCACAGCGTTTCCTGTGTGCAGAAGAGTATCGTACCGGAGGAGCCCTGTTGCCGCATGCATGCATGCACGCACGCGGCGCTGTGTACTTTTACGGACATGCCGCTGGGGTGACAGTGGGCAGTCGGCAGTGGGCACACTGCAAAAAACTGCACTGTATTGCGTACGGCGCTAGGAAGGACCGTTAGCGTGGGTGTGAGGCGAGAGGTACAGCACGGGAGAAGCAGTGTTGACAGGGGGCTTCAACGTGCAACGCCCCACATATGCGCGGCCTTTGCTGCATGCAATTGAGTGGCTGTAGCACTCTTCCGGCGTGGGGTGTGTGTTGCTAGGGAGGAACGGACGTGAGATAGACGCATGCACGGCATGCAAGTGTACAGTAGCATAGCGGTGGGGAGGGGCGGCGTTTACGTGGACTTGTTGCTTGGTTTCACATACACGCATACACACGGCCGCATGTGCGCTTGCCGTGTGTACCGTACACAAGGGGGGTTGTGTAATCGTTGCGGCTTGTATCATTGCATTCGCCTACCAACGTACTGCCATGTACATGGGCATACACAGCCTCATACTCACTCTCCTACCACAACGCCCCTAACCGCAAACCACAACCTGCGTACATGTCTGCAAGCCATCCCGCCAGTGCTCACCAGCCAATCAACCAACGCTCCTCTTCTTCGCCGTGCTTCACACAACCGTTGAGCTTCCCTACCCTCGGCCCCTCCTCCTCCTCCCTTGTGGATGGTCGCTGACACCCACCACACGCCTGCAACAGACAGCCCTTGCCTCGCAGCAGCGAACAGCAAAGCCAGCATGTGTCCCAAGCCGTGCTACGGTACCCTTCCCTGCTGCAGTCTTCTTGCACGCAACACACTACACTGAACGCCACCTGAACGCCACACTACCCGCTTACCCTGTGTTCCCCTCTTTGCGCACGCCATGATCCTCCTCAGATGCCTCTCTTAACTGCCTTGTAATCCCACATCACCTCCAGCAGCCAACCAACGTGTACTACCCAAACTACCCATTCCCCAGCAACAACGTCCCTATGTCCGGCCGTTTGGGCCTCCTCCCATCCTCTATATCAGAGGCATGCCTCGCCCTGCCTAGCATGCCAAGCACCGAGACCCCTGCAGCATGTCACGCAACCCAGCAGCCAACGCAATGCGCCCCCGGCACACAGCACGCATGGGAGGTGCGTGCGAGCTCCTCCTGAATCAAGCAAGAAGCACCGCCTTCACCACCCTCTCATGAGCCGCCTAGCCGTCTCGTCTCATGAGCCGACGTGCCTCAATAACCAGCCCCCTACTCTGAGTGTCTACTCGTCGCCCCCCTCCTGCTGCGGCTCCAACCGGATGAGGTCGTCGATGCGCAGGATGGTGATGGCGGCTTCCGTTGCGAACTGCGGGGAGGGAGGGAAAGCAAAACAAACACACACATCAGTTATTTTAACACACACAATGGGAAGTGTAAAAGCATTGGGGGATGGCATGGGTCAAAAGGCTACGGTCGGAGTGGTAGCAGCAAGCAGCAAACAACGCACAATGAAAGTTCCCCCCCACCACCACATGTACAAGGACGCAGCCGGTTGTTGCTGGTTGTTCTCATTGCTATTGGAAGCACGCAAACACGAGCGCAAAAGAATATACGGGCTTCAACCGTTAATCCAACCAGCCGCAAAACAGCGCATGCGCACACCCGAAAAGAGGTGGGGCCACATGCCACCTCTCCTCCTCCCTCCTCCTCCTCCCCCCTCCTCCTCCCGCTTCCTCCCTCGCACCACCCTGCGCCGCACCCCCACCTGAATCATCTTCAGCTTGCTCATGGCGGGTTCCAGCACCCCTGCCTCCAGGTTGTTGCGCACGCGCCCCTCCACCAGGTCTAGTCCGAACTGCGCGCACTTGGCCTCCTCCGGCTGCGTCTGGGCCTTGTAGTGGTAGGCGCGCAGAGCGGCAACCTGGGGGGAGGGAGGGAGGGAGGAGTGGAGGAGGTAAGTGCGGGTTAGGCTTATCACTCTTACACAATAGACAACGGGCAGTGGCGGGTATTGAGGTATCTGGGAGAAATAGGCGAGAAGGGAAGTGGGCCTATCTGAAGGGGTGGTGTGACGCGGCGAGGCAAGTAGGCACACGCACGAGCCAGTGTGCCACCCGCCGCACACACAGCACCACTGCAGCGCACAACAACAACACAACGCCGCGTGCATGAACACCCATGACTCCACCAGCCCCCTACCTTACCCTCCCTCCATACATAACCATGTAGTTTTCCTTTCCCCCTTCCTGCTTGACTATACCTGCAATCCTACAATCCAGCATTATGCGGAACATGTACATCTATCCTCTCCCTCCCTCTCCCCTCCTGCTCACCAGCTCCGTTGCGTCCTTGGCCGCATTCACAGCCAGTGTTTTGGGCAGCACCAGCAGCGCGTTGGCGAACTCCCCAATCGCCAGCTGCTCGCGGCTGCCCAGACTGGTCGCGAAGTGCTCCAGGAAGATGGACAGCGCAGCCTCCACCGCACCGCCGCCTGCAGGGAAGGGGGGCGGGGGGGGGGAGAGAAAGAAGGGTAATCACCAACTGTGTGGCGGAGGTGAAGTAGGTGAGGAGGTGGGGGCCAGCATGTGCGGGTGGGTGCAGCAGAAGGGAGCAGGCAGTAGCAGAGGTGTGTTAAGAAAACTCGTCGCGAGTAGGAACGTACTGGGTGTGCGGCACAGGGTAACGGGCATGTGGATGTTACCCGGTCATCCGGTTGAAGCACAGCCTCTCCCCGCTCCTCCCCATATTCCCATACCGCGTCGCCCTAACTTGCAGTTTCCCTGATATTCGGCCTCCTCTCTCTCTGCCCCCCTGTTACCCCTCCCTCCCTTTCCCCCCATCCTATGGTCACGATCAGTGTTTCCTCGCGACTCGGTTTACCTAACGCCCACATCCCTCCCTCTCCCTCCGCCCCCACCCACCCGGCACCACGCTGCCCGACTCCAGCACCCGCTTCACCACACACAGCGAGTCGTGGATGGAGCGATCCATCTCGTCAAGCATGTAGTCGTTAGCACCGCGCAGCAGCAGCGTCACGGCCTTGCTGTACTTGCAGCCCTGCAGGGGGGATGAGGAAGAGAATACCCGATGTGTTTGGGGGGAGAGGAGAGCGGGGGGAGGAGTAAAATGCGGATTGTACAACCCAGCTACAACACAGCTACCGGTAACCAACGTGGCCCCGCATCTCGCCTTCCCTCTTACCCACCTCATGGCTTCCAGCATTCCACCATCCCATTAGTTGTTTCCTCGTTGAAACCCCCACCCCCACCCCCCGCTCCCCCCCCACCTTGATCATGATCATGTTGTCGTCCGCTACCCGCTCCTCCACCACCTCCTCCGCCTGCCCCAGGTGCGCGGGGTCGAAGGTCTCGTTGCCGTCCATGTCCGCAAGCGTGAGCACCACCGTGGCGCCAGTGGCCTTGGCAATGCGGCTGGGGGGGAGGCGGGGAGGGAGGCAGGGGAGAGGGAGGGGGGTTGCAGGGTTTGTATAAGGTGGTGCATGGAGTGCATGTAGGGTGTTGGGCGGGCGCGTGCGTTGGGTGAGTGCGTGCGGTTCTGAGCTCCCTCCACCCGCACATCCCCCCTCACCGCAGGTCGTCCTTCTCCACTCGGCGGCAGGCGATGGTGCCCGCCTCCACGAAATACTTGAGGGCCATGTCGTCAATACCCTGAGGGAGGGAGGGAAGGAAGGGGGGAAGGAGGGACACAAACACAAGGGGGTCAGCTTTGTTAAAACACACACGGGGCTCAATGGACATGGTTCACACGGTTCGCTTTTCCTCGCCTATCCCCTCCCTCTCCCCCCCCCCTTGTCCCTCTCTCCCCACCACCTTGGTTGTTTCACTTATTTACTTTTTCCCCCCACCTTGGTTGTGAGGATGACGTTGGCCCCCGCGTCCAGGATCTTCTGGATGCGCTCCTTGGTGATGTCGCTCTCGCGCTCGCGGATGCGCTCCAGCTCCTTGGGGTCGTTCACGAGCACCTGCACCCCCATCATCATGCGCGCCTTCTGCAGGTTCATGTCCAGGCACGCGATCTTGACACCCCCCGCCAGCCGCTTGGGCATGCCCTGCGCCGCGCGACCCAGGTTGAGTGCATAGCCATCCAGCAGCAACGACTCGCGCGCACTCTTGCCGTGCGCCTTGAGCACGTTGACAGCCTGGGGGGGGGGATGGGCGGGGGGGGGTAGGGAGGATGGGTACTCTGCAGGGGCATCTACTTCCTTCCAGCTAACACTAGCACTGCCAGTCGCCTTCACCCTGGCTCCCCACTCACCAAATGGCCCCAGGCACGCCACTCCAACCTCACACCCCCGCCTCAACACATGGTGCATTCTTCTTTTTCCCGTCCCATGCACACCACCCCTCCCCACTCCCCACTCCCTCGCCACTTCCATCGTTTTCATCCCCACTCCCTTCCTCCTGGGACCTCAGTTGCTCCATATTCCACCAACATTCCCCTTCCCTCCCTCCCCCTCCTCCCAACCCCCCTTCCCACCTCTAGCCCGCCCTCCCCCCCTCCCACCTTGACCGGGTAGCGCGTGCGCCCCGTGATCTCGTCCGTGCTCTTCACCGCGCTCATCGCGTCCACCACCATGCGCGCGAAGAAGTCGCCCTCCGCGCCCACGATCTTGGAGCTCATGGAGGTGCGCGCGCAGGCGAGCAGCGTGTCCGCACCCAGCGACTCCGTGCTGGTGGCCATGCGCTCCTCGATGAACTTGCAGGCCTGCGGGCGGGGCAGGTGAGGGGAGGAGAGCCGGGGTGTGAGGGTGGGAGGAGGGAGGGTGTGGAGGGGAAGCGGGGCGGGAGGAGATTATGCCAAAAGGGTACCGTGCTTGCAGTGCCCACCGCAACCGCTGTACCCTTGTCGTTGTTGCCGAGCAAAAGTGCAATACCGCCTGTAGCGCAATGCAGCATTAGATCTCGCATATCAGAGCGCGGGAGGGCGGAGGGAGTACTTGAAAGCATGCTGGGTGGGCTGCGGGGGCGACTGGGCTGGTGTGCGCACGTGGTGAGACGCTAAAACCCTGGGTGTGGTCTGGGACCTGGGTTGACAGCTGACAGCACCCAGACAGCTACCGTAGTAGCTGCTGCTGACGGAAAGCTAGATTTGCCGCTTTGCCCACTGTGCCCTTCCAGTCCTTGGGAGGGTGGGAGCTGCGCCCCTGTCGGGCTGCATGGGCATGTGCCCACCCCGCCGCAGAGCCCTCCTGCGTCCACCTCCTTCGACCATCGTTGTACGCAGCGCCTGCATGCATGCACCCTACCCCTCCTCGGCGCCCCCCCCCTCACCTCCCGCATGGCCAGCCGGTATCCGCTGATGATGTTGGTGGGGTGGATGCGGTTCTTCACCAGCTCGTTGGCGCGCTTGAGCAGCTCCGCGGCCAGGATGACCACGCTGGTGGTGCCGTCACCCACCTCCGCGTCCTGCAGCTCGGCAAGCTCTACCAGAATCTGAGGGGGGAGGTGGGGGGCGGGTTGGAGGGGAGGGTTAATAGGGATAGGGGGTGGAAGGGGAGGTGGGTTGGGGAGATGAACGCTGGGCGGTGCGGCAGGGAGAAAGGAGGGATTGGAGAGTGGATGGGGTGTGATTGGTTCCGCTGGTTTTCCCGTCCTATCTCTAATCTCTTGTAACAATCGACATCGGGAAAAAGGACGGTTGGTGCGATTGGGGGTGTGCTTGTGGCGGTGGCATGGATGTGGTGCTGATTGGGACAGCGAAAGAGGAGGTCGGGTGAACCTGGGATGGGAGAGTCAACGAGGTGAGGTGGGAGGTAGGTGGGTGTGGTTGAAGGCGGGGATGGGTGCTTTCCGCAGCGTGGACACGTGCCTCTGGTGGCAGCTAGTGGGCTGCTGTGATAACATCCTGATGCATGTTGCAACACGTGCGGCTGTTTGTGCGGTCGTTTGGTTTGCAGAGCGGGGACCTGTACGCTGCGCAGTCCTGTGACGTCCCTTGCGACACAACAATGACAACGCGGGGCTGCGTGCGCGTAGGTATCTAGCAGCCGCAGCGGCGACCCCAAGAGAGGCAAACCCGCCCAACCCAATCATGCCGTAAATACACGGATGAGCTCTGATATCGTGTTGTATGTGCCATGGATCTGGCATGAGGACAGAAGGGGTCAGCTAACAGCCCGGAGGACTGGATACGTGAATCGGTAACTTGGGGCCGCGGGGGGCGGATACGCGGCTTCCAACACGCGCACCTTGGCGGCCGGGTGCTCCACCTCGAGGAGCCGCAAAATGGTGGCACCATCGTTGGTGATGGTGACATCGCCGATGTCATCCACGAGCATCTATAAGGGCAAGGGGGCCGAGACACTAAAGCGCGGGAAAGGGATGACATGCTGGGCAGTTTGGGACGCCGGGGCACTTGATTACCTTATCCAGTCCAACTGGGCCCAAACTACTTTTAACGATGTTGGCCACAGCGGTGACAGCCATCACATTCTGCGTGCGAACGTCCTGGCCGCTTTGCCGGTCGCCAGCAATCTGAAGCCGTTGGCCCAAAGTTGCAGCGGCCATCTTAACAACAGTGATCTATGCAGTTGAGGTTGAAAATCTATGCAGCGCACAGCAGGGATCCTGTGTGTTAAGGTGAGATCGGCAAGGCTCTCGAAGCGAAGAGAGGCGGCAGGCCCAAATCGTGCAAAAGGTGATAATGTTTTTGACAAGATGCTTCTGTATAAAGACTAATAGCGAGACGAACCCGAGAGCTTCACGTCAAAGGCAGTCCGCGGACTGCCGTTCCCGCCCTTACGGCCCCATGGCATCATTTCTCATTTCGCTTACACCCCTTGCATTGTCGGGGTCTTCAAATATATATCTTTTCTGTAGTTGCATATACACTATACTAACGATACATCACTGTTTGCCTCTGTTCACATTATCCCTTTGACACTCTCCCGTGCCCTGAGCCCGTCACCGTTAGCCTCCTCCTAGTGAACTATCCTATCCTGTATACACTTTATCATACAACGGCGGAAAGTGACGCAATCCCTACGCGCCCCGGCCCGTCCGCACCCCACGGTCGTGTCGGCGGGGCAAATAGCAGTGTTTTTGCATCTACGACGCACAGAGCACTATAACGGACCAATTCACCTTTGGCGACAGTGGAGGGTGCAGCCGACAGAAGCAAGCCGATCAAATCGACTTGCACAGTTGCAAAGTCGCATAGTGCGCAAAACTGCATTTGCGGAGCAGCTCTGTAAATGTCCTATCAGTCCTACCCATCGACGATGAGCGAGTTGGGAGGCGAAGCAGCGGGCCCTGGTCCGGGTTCGAGCATGTATGCCCAGGGGCAAAAGAAGGATAAGAAGAAGAAGAAGGTTGACCCATTGCGGACGGAAAAGGTTTTCTTGAGTGGCGGTGAGTGTTGTGATGTCTTCTGCCGACGACGAGGCGGCGCTTCAGTTAGCCCTGCGGTCAGAGCATAAGGTCTTACTGCTTGCCTCACACGTTGCTGCGTTGTGCCGCTCCTTTATGCAGCGTTGAGTGGAGCTGTGAGCAGAACGGCGACAGCACCGATGGACCGGTTAAAAATGCTTTTGCAAACGCATGACGGAGCGAAAGGCCTTACCTTGTATCAAGGATATCAGCACATGATGGCGGAAGGTGCGTAGCGGGCCCGGGCCGTTAGGACGAGGATCTGTCTGCTTGCAAGAAGGGTCCCTTGCCGAAGGCTGGCTGGCCGGCATGCCTAGCGTGGGCCCTCCCGTCGGTTGCGTGTACGCTCAGTCGCAGCCAGCACGGAGCTTGAGCTCTTGGCTGTACGCCATGCGGGTTGGCTACCTCCTTCATGTAACCGTCGGGTTCCCTGAAACCCTATTACAATAGCTGGGACCACCCACCCTGCCTCACCCGGAGTGTAGCCTTCATACTCACACAACGCCGCAGTGAGGAGCTATGAACAACCCCTAACCGCGTTTCTTAAACTTGGCACCACCCATAGCCGCATTTCCGCAAAAACCCAAATCACTGCACGTGCACATTAACCCACTCTGCCTGGACGTCCTCTTCCCACCCTTCCACAGGCTCCTTCAAGTCCTTTTTTAAAGGCAATGGCGCCAACGTAGTCAAAATTGCGCCGGAAACGGCGCTAAAGCTGACGTTGAATGACTCGATACGGCGGCTGGTGGCAGTCGACCCGGACCGGGTACTCATGCAGGAGCGGATGGTGTCGGGCGGCATAGCGGGAGCCATTGCGCAGGTGCGCTGCAGGGGGGAAAGAAGAAAAGTTAGTGGGATACAGAGCGTGGCATGGTAGAGCAATGGGGAGGGGAATGAGTGGGGTGGGAATCACGGCGTTTCTGGGAGCGTGCAAAGGTCGTCGACGGAGGAGGAGCACTGACGACAGGGAGCAGCTGGTGCAGCTGAGCAGGATGGCTGAAACAGAGAAGAGGAAAGGGACAGGGAAGGAAGGGTGCTACCAGGTGCCTGGGGTGTAAATGGTAATGTCATTAGCACTCGTCTGCCGGATTAGGTCCCCTGGGGTACGGTTGTGCGTTAACGGTATACGGCATGCATGTCCCCGCTGCAAGATGGGCCAAACCAAAGCCACATGAGCGCAGGGGCCACGCAAGCAGCGGGCCTGGATGCCGTCCTCCTTGGCACTGGCAAACACGTTTCCTTCCTGGCAAACACGTCGCCCATTACCTGCCAGTCGCATGCTGGGTTGGATGTGGGTCGGCGCAGAACCCGACGCAGGGTGTTCGTGCCGGTGCTGTGCGGTCTGTGAGGGCTGGGGCCTGGCAGCTGCTATAGCGAAGGAGAGGGAACGGGGCGTGGATTGCATGGGGCTCGCTCCCGGGCATGCTGCGCGCGCATGGTGTCCGGTTACCTGCGTGCCAGCAAAGACGAGTTTGAACAGCCAAGCCGCACAGAGGCACGGTTTACTCGCATGTAGCCGACCGACGTTGCCTCACCGCTGCCTCCCCTTCCCGAAGTCAGCCTTCGCTCTGCCCAACACGCATGCAAGTCTCACTCCATGCCCACCCCGTGCCCGCCCCGCCATCCTTCCTTTCCCCAGGGCCTGTTGTATCCCCTGGATACCATCCGCACGCGGCTGGCGGTGTCCCCGCCCAACATGTACGCCGGCATCCTACACGCCGCCTACCGCATCCGCCGCGACGAGGGGATATACGCCTTCTACCGCGGTCTGCTGCCGGCGCTGCTGGGCGTGTTCCCCTTTGCGGGAGTGGACATTGCGTTGTTCGAGGTGGGGGGAGGGGCGAGGAGGGGCCTCGGGGATGTGTGGCGGAGTGCGATGATGGGAGCGTTTCCTGGTGATGTAGGTTCTGTTTAGCGGGGGTCTAGGCGTGCAGTCAGCACCCCTGGCACGCTTTGGGTTAAAGTTGCACTCTTCTCGTCAGCGCATCTCACCGGACGGCCCACACCATGTCCTGGGTCTGCCCCAAGTCCCCACGTGTTTTTCCGGCTCCGCCCCTCGCTCCCTGCCCCGCCCCCAGGTGTTCAAGGACCAGTTGTACGAGCGATACGACGGCCCCCCGCCGCACATGGGTATCGTGGTGGCGGGCATGCTGTCCAGCTCGGTGGCGCAGGTGGGGAGGAGGGAGCGGAGCTGGAGGGAGGGGTGGAACGTCGCTGCCAGCGCCTCGGAACGCACCTCACCTCGGGCCGCCATCCCGCAGCCGACGTTTTGGCGACCCTTTAGTGCATTGCACCTATAATCGTATATCCCACCAACACCCAGCTCCTGCCACTCATCCCGCTTCCTCCTCCATCCGCTCACCTTCCCCCTCCCCGCCCCACCCCCCTCTCCCTCCATCCCCCATTTCCACCCGCCAGGTCGTCTCCTACCCGCTAGCCCTAGTCCGCACGCGGCTGCAGGCGCAGGCCGTGTGCCGCTTCCCCGGCTCCCAGGCGCTGCGGCCGGGGCAGCTCAAATACCGGGGTATGGTGGACGTGTTCCGCAAGACGCTAGCGAGGGAGGGTGTGCGCGGACTGTACAAGGGGCTGGTACCCAACCTGCTGAAGCTGGCGCCCGCGGCGGGCATCGGCTGGTTTGTGTTTGAGGAAACAAAGCGGGCGCTGGGAGTCAACCCCAGATCTTGACGACGGGGCGTCCAGCGGCGGGTTCCCGGTCCTGGCACCTCTTAGACACGAGCTCCACGAGCTCTTTCACGAGCCCTCCTCTGTTGCAGCGGAGGCGTGGCGTCAGGTCGGCTTGGAGTGTAGCCCGGGGAGCAGTAGCGGTGTGGAGCGTTGCTTGACGCGGCGGCCGGTGAATTTCATCAGCCGCAGCATGGACGGGAGCGTGAGAGGGCGCATGCAAGAGGGGGCTGCGCGGGGGCCGCCGAGGCAGTCCTGCAGCGGCCGCCGGCCACCGTCGCGGTGCTCGGGGGACTGTGCATGGAGCCGGATGCGGGCATATGTGGCAACATGGTGGCGGCACCCTGGGTGGCGGCACCCTGGGTGGTCGGGTTGGCGGATTGGAGAGGCTGCGCAACGGCGAGGCGAGCAGTTGAGGAGAGCAAGACATGCACGCGACTGATGACTTGGATTGTGTCTAGGAGCGTTGCAGTAACGTGGCCCCCCTCCTGGTGACGATAGTTGTGGTGCCAAGTGGAGCTCACAAGCGTTGAGTGCCCATGTATAGGAGGTGGGAAGGAGCTGGACGAAGTCTGCCCTGTACCCACCGCTCTGGCTGTCCGTGTTGCCGTTTGGCTGTTTCGAGGCGTCTGTCGGCTTGTGACCTGCGAACTAGCGAGCCCTCTCTTCCCGTGTTTCATGTCGATTGCACCGTAGTACTTGGTCTGATGTCGTCGTGAATGCGAGGGCGCAGAGATCTGGGAGCAGTGGAATGAGGAATGAGGCGTTAATGGCAGCTGACCCGTGGTTCACTTGGGGCGGTCTTGAACGCTGTAGTCTTCATGTGATTTGGAGTCGTTCATGGCAGCGGTTTTGGGTAGATGCTAGTTCAATAAAGCGCGCGTGGGTGACTGGAGGAGGAGGAGGTTCAATTAGGGGCGCGCTGGTCTTGTTTCTTAGGCAGCAGGTTGGCTTTAGTAAACGGCACTTGGGGCCTCTGGGGTGTCCAACGACGTTAGGTGGATGTGGGCTTTCCCTCACGTGTGGTGTGCGGCCGCCTTTCCGTGTTGTGTGTTGTCTTGTGTGTGTGTGGTTCAGTGCTGGCAAGCTTATTAAGGACTTTTGGGAATTGTTTTTCTGACGCTGACTGTGAAGGCCTAAAGAGGTACAACCACGATTTAAATTTAACTTATGGAAGCGCAAAACAGGAAACAGTCTAGCTGGAGATGGACGATGGTGTACACAGGCTTAGCTGCGGTACCGGTATGCTGGAGGCCCATTGCTCTGCGAGGTTAACCGGACTTATACTTTTCGGTAATGCGTTGATGGGTGATGGTGCTTTTCCACGGCTTGACTAGGGCTAGAGGTGCTTCGCCTGTTAAGAGGTGCGTGTCAGCATTCGCTTGCGTTTAGTGCCCGGATACCTGGGGTGAATCTCTCTTTAGGAGGGCGCAATTTTGTTGTTTTTAGTCGGAGGGTCTTCCTCCACCAGATGTCATGCACGGATAGGAAGCAGATACACGACGACGCTGAGGGTTATGCACGGCAGCAGGAATGGCGGTCTTTCCCTGGGGAAGGCTGTTGCGGAAAGGGAGGGTTTGAGCATTGGCTGGGTTACAGGCTGCCTTCAAGCACACGCATTTGAGGTCCTTACAGTAGTGGGGAAAAATTGGGATTAGCGGGGAGTGGGTGTTTTCTTATTGTTTTCTGTTACACTGAAGCGGCGGGCGGACGGCTGTGTTGTCCTCACGTGATACTGACCTGACGCGCATTCGAGGAGGGCTGGTCTGCCCACACGTCTCGCCTACAAGCGGGCTTGTCGCTCAAATGGCGGTGCGTTCAGATGCTATCCAACTTGGGGTGTTTTCGGTTCTTGCCCGCTATTGGGCTGTTCGGATCCGGCCCATGTACGGCCTCCTTTTAACAGAGGGTATGCCATGTCGAAGCACAAGTTCAAGGGACGCTCTCAGCACGCTAAGGACAGGTACAATCCACGTTTTGGATTTTGGACGTCTGCCCTTCTTGGCGTAAGTTGGCAAGTAAGCAGAGATGTATCGCCCCTGGCGAGCTGGGGCATCCTTGAAAATGCGGAAATGCGGGTCAAGGCCTCGGGTTAATAAAGTGGTGGGAAATTCAACATGTGGTCTGTGTATTTCGCGCTAAATACATGCACATGTGTCCGGAACCCTGCTTCCCTTGCGGCAAACATAAGCGCTTGACAAGTACTGTACGGCAATGTCGCCAACCTCTGCGGCGACCAATCGGCGACCAGTCAGCCACTGATCAGTAATGCCTATTTACTGTACATAATAGTGTGCTCATGTAAGAGTTTACTTCACGAGCCCAATTCCTGACTCGGCAATCGCACCAGCTGCTTTCAATTTCTGCCGAAGCGGCCTTTAGCCGCTCCTGTATTTGCTTGTCGCTACCACCTTTGTATTCTTTAATAAGTACTTCTTGCTACTATTGGGGAAAATGGACGGAATGAACCCTTCTCAGCTAAAAACGATCCTGGAGGATACCCAGGCTTCCCTTGCTGCGGCTCTAGGACGCATCGAGGCCTTTCGAATACGAGAAAAGCAAATCATGAGCGAGCTGACGCAATTGCGTCAACAAGTGCACGGCGCTGGTCAGAGCGACCAACAATCATCAGCACCTCAGCCCGTCGGTGGCGCCAAACCAGCTGCCATCATGCCGGCGTCTCAACCGGCATACCCCGCAACGCCTTCGCCGGCGGTACCGGCGCAGGCTGCCCAACCAACGAAGGCGGATTACCAGCCGGCCTGGACGAGCCCCAGCTCACAGCCCGTCTACATCACGAACTGCGACGGGGACTACCCAATTCATCTCATCAACGGGTCCAAGAAGGTGAGGTTCTTGCGTTACGAGGGGCTGCTGGTGTGTCGTACTGCTTCGCTGGCAGGCTTGGAGGGCCGGATACACGTCACCAATTGGGGTGAAGGTACTGGTGGCTTACTTGCAACCGACCGGGTGCTGTTCGTGGGTACACCGCTTCACCGCGTCACCCCGCTACCGCCTCTCCTGGCCCGCCCTCACTCGCTGGGAGGCGCTCCCAACCGCTTGCACGGCAAGCCAACTGTAGCGTGTCCGTAATCGCAATGACAACCGAAGCCTGCCTTTACCCCTTTCCTTGGCGTGAGTGCCGGCTTGCGACGCACTTACCCTTCCCATCCGTAAATGCAAGGCGTGTAGGCCTTGTGCGCCCAACCAATCGCCCTCTTCCCTTGCTGGCTAGGGGCTATCCTCCCGCGCAGCGGCATGCAACTATGCGCGTATCCATCCCAACATTGAGTCCGCTCACGGCCCCCCTCCCTCTCTCCCCTGCTTGCCTGCTGCGCGCGCCCCGCCGCAGGTCCCGGGCAGCCTGATAGTGACACCCGAGTATGTGGACTTTGTGGAGGTGCGGGCGCGCATCCGGCAAGAGGACTTTGTGGGCATCAGCACCGTTAAAACGGATGCGCGACCCAAGGTGTGGTGTTTGTGTTACATGGAGGCGAGGCGCGTGTGTGTACGGTGCAGCAGCGGCGTGGGGTAGCGGCGGGTGCAAGGCTTGCCGAGAACATGCGAGAAAAAGGGGAAGTTAAGAGGACAAAAGGACCCATTCGCAGACTAGACGAGGGGTGGTTACCTTGCATGCGGAGGGCGTCGTGGGCTGCCATGGTGTCGTACGTCTGTTGCAGCCAGTTACTACAGGTGTCCTGGTGGTGGAATATGTGTAGAACCGGTAGCATCCACCACCACGGTTCAGAGTCCGCACAGTCGAAGTGCGAAGTCCCGCTGTTGCCGTCTGCCGTGCTGTCTTCTCGCGCTGCCGCCGCAGAAGCGGTCCGGCGGCAGTCTGTTTCTGTGTTGCGCTGCGCCGCCGCCTGCCGGTGATGCTGACGGACGCTCCGCTGCTGCTGCTGCCGGTTGCAAGGGGCAGGACGAAGCGGCGGAACGAGGGACGCAGGAGGGGACGTCGAGCAGCGGCGGGGACGGCGGAGGCGGCGGCGGGTCGGGCGTGTGGCAGATGCTTTGGAGCGCAAAGGGAGTGCCGCAGCGGCAGGTGTTTGAGGCGTCGCATGCAACGTGAGTGCGGTGGGGGGGGTGGATGGTGGGCTGGCTGGCTGGTGGTTGGGTGAGGAGAAGGGGCCTGCTTGCCAGCGTAGGGTAGCGGCACTTGCATGTTGCATGTCTATCATCCTAACACGAAATGCTAGCGGCATCCCAAACGCCAGCGATCATGCTGCTTCCGCCCTGCCGCACGCTTGGCGGCAGCACACCAACCGGGGGTGCCCTGCCCCTAGCCGCCTTGTTCGCTGGGGCTGGGGCGCGTTTGTTAAGCCCCTACCTGCTGCGCTGCCTGCTGCCGCTGCTGTGTGTCCTGCAGGCGGGAGGCGCTGCACCGCCACACGCAGCGCTGGCTGGGGGAGGTGGAGGCGGAGGGGCCGCCGGGGGAGCCGACGGCTGCCGGGGACGACGGGTAGGTGGCCTGCATGCCAGGTACTGCCGGGTTTCGGTCGGGGGGGGAGATATAGACAAGTGCATCAACGGAGTCCCAATCCCGAATCCCGACTCATGCAATCCATCGGGCTACTCGGTGAGAGCATCCTCCCTTCCTCCGCCTGGAGCGCAACGCCGAATACCCGTACATGTCGCCACTTGGCGCCCGTCTACTCCAACCTCTTCTCAAACCCTGAGCTACCGGATTGCTCCGCCGCTCGCAACCCCTGCAGGGCCATAGAGATAGCGGTACCGCGCAACCTCACAGTCACCGACGCCAGTCTGCGGCTGCTGGGGGAGCCCTCCCTCATCCTCAACGACAGCCAGACGCGCGCGCTGGCCTCCGCCATCCCGCCCCTGGAGCGCATGCGCGATTGGTCGCTGTCGTACAGTACGGCCAAGCACGGCATCAGCTTGCAGACGCTTTACCGCAAGGCGGTGAGCGGCATGCCCACCATCCTACTTATCAGGGACTTTGGAGGTGGGTTGGAGGCGTGGGTGTATGTACGGCGAAGCTCTGGCACACGTCCCTCCATCCTCCGCCCCTGCAACTTTGTATTCGCGACTCCTGCCGCCTCCTCACCCCATGCTGGTCCTTCCATGCCGCCCCCACCTCGCAGGCTACACGTTCGGCTGCTACACGCCAGACAGCTGGCGCATCGCCCCGCGCTACTACGGCTCCGGGGAAACCTTTGTGTTCCAGCTGGAGGTGGGTGCAAATAAGGAAGGAGGTGGGGGTAAAGAGGAAACAACTAGGTGGGGGTGGGGTGGGGGGCAGGCGGCTGGAGGATTAGGGGATACCTTGGCACACAATTCCATAGCTTTTCGGAACTGATCTTGTCCATCAAAAGTGTTGGACGAGTTCGGCTCCTGTGCACCAATCCTATGTGGCATCGCCAGCGTACCGTCCCTCCCGCCGCGGCTTGCGTCAGCCCACCTGATGCAGTATTGCTTCCTCCTCTCCTTCCTCCCGCATGCGGCTTGCCACACCCCACTCCTCCCCTACTCTTGCCGCCGCCTCCCCTATCACCTTGCCCTCATGTGTGCTTCCATTTCGTACGGTTTCTTTTCTTTCTGACCCCCACCCCTTATGCCTACTGCCCTCCCCGGCCCCCGCACAGCCCTACCGTGTGGCCTACCCCTGGCGCTCCCTCAGCAAGCTCAAGAACGACTACTTCCAGTACGGCACCCCCGAGTGCCTGGCGGTGGGCGGGCTGGGCCACTTTGCCATCTGGGTTGACTCGGAGTTGCACTCGGGGTCGTCGGGCATCTGCGGCACCTTTGGCAGCCCCTGCCTAGCCACCAACGAGGAGTTCAAGGTGCAGTACGTGGAGATGTGGCAGGCGCTGGGGTAGAGAGGGCGACGGACGGCAGGTGGTGGGTTGTTAAGGTTAGGGGCTGCGGTTGCTGGTGCTGGGTTGCATGCATGGAGATTTAGCATGCGGGGGAAGAAGAGCTTGTGAGGGCTTGGTGGCAAGGGGCTTGGCTGGTGAAGGTCTGCCCAGTGCCCACACATGGAAGTGGCGTACAGCTATGCCGTACATTCATTGAATGGTAGGATTTGGTGCGGCTTGCTAGGAGTCAGTGGATGCTTTAAGGATTCCTTTGGATGTCGGTAAACGATTGGGAGTGGTTCCCAAAGAGCAATAATAACTGATGTGCTAAGAATGGTTTTTCACATGTTGGCCGCATTGTTTGCTGCCTGGTAACCCGTCCTGGCTGTGGGAAATAAGGCAAATAACCCGCATTGCCAGCACACTGTATATGCCTGACGCCTATTCCAGTTCATATCACTTTCCACCTCTCCCTAATTTGAATACCGGTACCGTACTCGCCATATGTCAACGGGTCTGTGTCATGCAAACAGAACTGCATGGCAGTCCACGTGACGCGCCATGTAAATGAAAAATTTAAATCCAGCATATTATAGGTATAGTAGAAAGCTCGCATCACAACTGAAGTTCACCACGGAGCTGTAATAACCTCGCCCTATTCAACTAGCTTGAACCTCCGTCGCTTCGGCCTGACGATCATACTCTCAAACACTACTCCCTAGTACTGAAGAATAATACTGTGCCTCGCTGCAACGAGTACCCCTAGCAGAGTGACTTCATGCAAAGGAGAAATGGCAGAAGAAGGCTGTCAGCCTGAGCAGCTTGACCCAGACGTTTGGTGCAACCTGCCACGAGAACTATTTGTCACCATTGTACTTTTCCTGCCGGCAAACGAAGTCGCGCTTACCGGACGTCTAGTTAGCAAGGCCACGGCCGCGCATTTCCATGGCTCGCAATATACCAACGTCCGGCTGTCGCAGCCTTCTCCTCCACACGCCTTCGCGCAGCGCTGGGGCAGTCCCGGCGCCATGCGGGGGCTGACCCTGGAGAAGCGCCGGCAGCTGCTGTGCCTGACAGCATCCTCCGGCAGCCTCCCCAACCTTCAGGTGGCAGCAACCCACACGGGTTGTGTCCTGACAGCCAGACAGCTTAAGGCAGCGGCAGCTGCTGGGCAACTGGAGGCGTGTCAGTGGCTGCGGCATCAGGGCTGTCCCTGGGGAGATTCCTTGGCCGCAGCTGCAGGAGCGGGCCAGCAGCCGGCTTGCGAGTGGTTGCTGGCCGCCGGCTGCCCCTGGAGCCGGGAAGCTGTTTACGCCGCAGCTCGAGGCGGCCATGCGGGCCTCATGGAGTGGCTGCTGCAGCGGAGACCCAAGCTGGATAACCTTTTGTACCACGACTTGCTGGAAGCCGCAGCACAGGGATGCAACCTAGCGGTGCTGGTCCACTTGTACCGCGACTGGCTTGCTGGGGAGCAAGGGAAATGGAAGAAGGAGGCCATTTTGTTAGCCGCTGCCGCCAGCCCCACTTCCGACTGGCAGGACAAGGTGTTGTGGCTGGAGGAGCAGGGCTGCCCCAAACCCGGTATCGCATGCACCAGGGCCGCCGAAAGCCCAGACACGCTGGACCGTGTGAGGTGGCTGCGGCAGCGGGGCTACCCCTTCGATTGGAACCAATGTTCAGAGGTGGCCTGGCCCGAGGTTGACGTGCTGCAGTACCTGCACAACAATAAACCGTCAGGCGCCTCTGACGCATACCCGTTTGGAGGGGTTGCATATCGTGCGGCCGGGAAGGGCCATTTGGCGGCCCTGCAATGGTTGCATGCGCACGGGGCCTTTCAGGAGGCGGAGGATGCAGCGGATGTCTTCTACTCTGCCGCGCTTCACGGGCAGCTGCATGTGCTGGTCTGGCTGGTGGAGGAGGTGGGGCTGCGCCTCAGCAAGCAGAGCTTTGCTAATGCGGCTGGGTCGGGCAACTTCGAGTTGCTGAGGTGGCTGCGGCATCACGGCTGCCCCTGGGACGAAGGAATCTTTGGAAAGGCCGCTGCGGAGGGCTGTGAGGAGGTGCTGGAGTGGCTGGTGGAGCAGGGCTGTCCCATGCAGGTGAGTGCAGGTGGGGATGGGGACGGGACATCGTAACGGTCATTCGTTCGTCGTTAGTCGCGTGCCGGGATGCTCCGGCATGGAGCTACGAAAGCAGCATTGTTTGGGCGAGCGAAAGAAAAGGACGGGGCTTTATGCGACGTATGCTATTATTTGGTTGTGAATGCGCTAGATAGGCCGCAAGACGATGAGAGAAGAAAGGGCCTGCCAGCAACCCCTTCTGCATCCTCCTCCGCCCAACCTTCACGCAGGACGATGGCCGCCCCTACAATCCTGCCGCCCGCAACAACGACCTACTCACCCTGGCCTGCCTGCGCCGGCTGGGCTGCCCCTGGGGCCCTCCTGGGCAGGTCTTCAGTGAGTGTGTCCGCCGCTGCTGCGCCACATCCGTGCTGCAGTGGATGGTGGAGCAGGGCTGCCCCGTAGACTGGGGCGAGGCGGTGCAGTCCGCGGATTGCATCATTAAGCATGACCAGCAGGAAAGGATGTTAGCATGGCTGCACGAGCAGCAGCAGCAGCAGCAGCACTAGTGTCTGCAGCCATGTGGATGTGGTGGTGGTGGTGTTCACAGCAGGCGATGTTGTGCCTAGCTTTGGAGATCAATGTAACGCAATAGTATGGCACGCGTGATGCTTAGATGCAGCCTTGGATGCGGGGTTGTGGCAAGTACGGCACACCATTAGGGTGGTTTTAGTAGGTGGTTTTAGGACAGTGACTTAGGCAGGGTTTAGGACAGCTTGCGCGCCCTCCTAGGGTGCGCAGTAGACAAGGGCAACGGTGGAAGGAATACGGGTGGAGGTGTTACGTGCACAGGGGCGAGGTGTCTGTAAAGGTCCCGCTAGCTGTTGGTAGGCAAAAGGACGTTTGGAGGGATGTGGTGGGTCGCAAAGCGGATTTCAAACCGTGAAAGCAGTGTTGGTGGCAACCCTGGCAAGCAGCTGGTGGGAATGAGCTAGGCATGCAGCGGCTGGGTTTTGCCTTGTCACGGTGACAAGCAATGACCTTGACGACTTGGGGAACGATGCTCATGGAATGGTGAGCGGTGCTAGGGTAAAGTGTAGGTGTGCCTCATTGCTTTAGTTGTACTGTACAGGCATTCCTGTCGTACGGTTTGGATGAATCGCTTTACAAGCTGTACATTGCAGTCGCTACAGCTGTACGGATAGCCGTACGGTTCCCCAGTAGTTTCAGGAGCCGCAGAAGCTGCCGCACACTCATTTGAAGTTCCCACAGCGCCTGTGCGATCGTGAAGTGTACCGTATTCGCAGCGACAAGTGCCTGCAATCACTTACTCGAGGGCGGCAGACCACATGCGGCGTCATGCTGCAAGTGAAGAGGAGCCCGGATCAACATCGTTACAGCTTCACGTAACCTTCACATGGCAGGCGCGTCACCCAACACATGTGTCCGTTAGGGGGCAACCCCGGCGGGCCTGCACTCTGCAGCGATGCCTCCCAGGTGCATCATGATAGGACCACACCCCGTTTCCTCTTTACCCCCCGTTGGGAGCGAAACCGCAAACCGGATGCGGCTTGGGTGGCTCCAACACTCGAGAACGGCAGCAGCAAAATGATGGCTGACAACACCGCTACTTACTGAGGTGCATCAGCCCTGAGCCTTCAGCCGAAACAACTGGAATCCGCCATCCCCCCCTATTTCGGGAGGTGGCACGGGATGCATTGTAACTAGTGCACGTGCATACACACGCACGGTGGGGACATCATCTTCCGATAATCCAGTGCGCTCCCCTACTCGCGGCCAGTTCTCTTAACACATGCAAGAAGAACGCTTAGGTCGACGACCCTGCGCCACACCCACACCACACTCCGACTGACAAGCCTCCAGCCAACAGCGCATTCCAACGGAGAACACCCGCGCGGTCAAGAAGATGCTAGAACAACAACACCCCACCACCACCACAACGAACGGTTCATGCGCCTAGGAGCAGCAAAACACCCCCTTGTCAACGAGACACCGGGCATATGCGTCAAAGTGTGATCACGCGGCATCTGAGGCCAAAGCCATGCACTCACTTCATCCCCGGTCCAAGCCTTCCCAGCCCTTCACACCCCCCCCCCACCTGCACCCCACCACCCCTCCCAACCCCTCCCGGCGGCAACTGCACCCCCGCCGGCAGCTGCACTCCCCCCTGCAGCTGCACCCCCGGCGGCAGCTGCAAATACATCATCGGCTGCCCCATCAGCGGCTGCGTCAGGCCCATGGGGGGCAGCATGAACTGCCCCCGGTTGAGCAGCATCTCCATGGGGAGGCCCATGGCTCCGGTGGGGCACACGATGTAGTTGGTGACGGAGGTGCCACCAGCGGCCGGACTGAAGCTCTGCAAGATGGGGGTGGTGGGAAGGGTGGTTCCCGCGGGCTGCTGGCCGGGGGACGCGGCATGCGCGCTGCTGGGCGCTGAGGGAGACGGGGCAGTTGGCAACTGCTGCTGCTGCTGGGACTGCGGTTGAGGCGGCGGCGATGGCTGTTGTTGTTGTTGTTGCTGCGGTGGCTGCTGTTGCTGCTGACTCCCCGCGTTGCTCTGTTGTTGTTGTTGTTGCTGTTGTTGCCGCTCCTCCGCGTTCTGAATGGCCTGGTCCAGGTGGAGGTGCAGTCGCGACCGCAGCTCGCTCGCCTGCACTGAGGTGCGGGCAGGCGCGCTGCTGTTGGCGGGCTGCGCGTGACCCGCGGGTCCGTCCACCTCAACTGCAGCCGGGCAAAAGGGAGAGAAAGCACATGGGTGTTTAGCTAGCCGTGAACTGGAACTGGTAACGAGCTAACGACTGATCAACCCATTCGGTAAAGCAAAGAGCCCGCTTGCATGCAGTACAGTTACTTACAGTTACTTGTTTGTTAAGCCCCTACCTGCTTGCTGCCTGCTGCGCTGCCGCTCCCCCGCTGCTGTGTGTCCTGCAGGCGGGAGGCGCTGCACCGGCACACGCAGCGCTGGCTGGGGGAGGTGGAGGCGGAGGGGCCGCCGGGTGAGCCGACGGCTGGAGGGGCGACGGGTAGGTGACCTGCATGCCAGGTACTGCCGGGTTGGGTCGGGGGGGGGGGCAAAAGGGCAATCCATTGGACTACTTGGTGAGAGCATCCTCCGGCTGCTGCGCACCACCGGATTCGCGCACATGTCGCCACTTGGCGCCCGTCTACTCCAACCTCTTCTCAAACCCTGAGCTACCGGATTGCTCCGCCGCTCGCAACCCCTGCAGGGCCATAGAGATAGCCGTACCGCGCAACCTCACAGTCACCGACGCCAGTCTGCGGCTGCTGGGGGAGCCCTCCCTCATCCTCAACGACAGCCAGACGCGCGCGCTGGCCTCCGCCATCCCGCCCCTGGAGCGCATGCGCGATTGGTCGCTGTCGTACAGTACGGCCAAGCACGGCATCAGCTTGCAGACGCTTTACCGCAAGGCGGTGAGCGGCATGCCCACCATCCTACTTATCAGGGACTTTGGAGGTGGGTTGGAGGCGTGGGTGTATGTACGGCGAAGCTCTGGCACACGTCCCTCCATCCTCCGCCCCTGCAACTTTGTATTCGCGACTCCTGCCGCCTCCTCACCCCATGCTGGTCCTTCCATGCCGCCCCCACCTCGCAGGCTACACGTTCGGCTGCTACACGCCAGACAGCTGGCGCATCGCCCCGCGCTACTACGGCTCCGGGGAAACCTTTGTGTTCCAGCTGGAGGTGGGTGCAAATAAGGAAGGAGGTGGGGGTAAAGAGGAAACAACTAGGTGGGGGGGGGGGTGAGGGGGCAGGCGGCTGGAGAATTAGGGGATACCTTGGCACACAGTTCCATAGCTTTTCGGAACTGATCTTGTCCATCAAAAGTGGACGAGTTCTGCTCCTGTGTGGCATCGCCAGCGTACCGTCCCTCCCACCGCGGCTCGCGTCAGCCCACCTCGACAATATTGCTTCCTCCTCTCCTTCCTCCCGCATGCGGCTTGCCACACCCCACTCCTCCCCTACCCTTGCCTCCGCCTCCCTTATCACCTTGCCCTCATGTGAGGGCTTGGTGGCAAGGGGCTGGGCTGGTGAAGGTCTGCCCAGTGCCCACACATGGAAGTGGCGTACAGCTGTGCCGTACATTCATTGATGGTAGCGTTTGCTGCGGCTTGCTAGGAGTCAGTAGATGCATTAAGGAATTCTTTAAATGTCGTAAACGATTGGGAGTGATTCCCAAAGAGCAATAATAACTGCTGTGCTAAGAATGGTTTTTCACATGTTGGCCGCATTGTTTGCTGCCTGGTAACCCGTCCTGGCTGTGGGAAATAAGGCAAATAACCCGCATTGCCATATTGGGAGGGTATCCCAGCTCGACTCGCTGGGACCATTGACCGTTGAGTGGGAAATGGATGTCTGCCAAAGCGGAGCGCAACACAGCTGCTATTGGTGCGCATGGTTTGCCTTTATAAACTAGACAAAGAGAGCGTTCAGGCATTAACATTATAAACAGCGGCGATAACTTTAACGCCTGGGTTTGTCAATTGGCATCCTCACTAGCGGACATCAGTGGTTGGAAGGACCACCGAGGATCAAACCGGGCCGCGGTGCAACAGTTATAATAGCTCGTGTGTACGTCGCACTCACGTGGTATTATTCTCTACCTCGGGAGCATCCTTGGTGTACACCAAGCTAGGAAGTGCAAGCCGTGGTGTGTTTCCCCCTTGCTCTCCCTTGGCCCAGAACGCAATCCCCTCTGGCTCATTGTGTGCCTTATGATTACGCACACCGTCTGCAACATAACTGTGTGTTCTCGTAAGCGCGCCCCTACAGACCCCTACAGCAGACCCATGGGCCAGCCACACAAACCGTGCCTGGATCCACACGGGGCCTGGACTTGGATCTGGATACGAAATCAAATTTGCGACAGATGCATCTGTCGGCTCCCCCCCTTCAGAAGTAAAAAATCCGATACTTGATTTCTTATTGCCGGGCTTTAACCAATTAAAACTATATATTCTGTGTGGGTGCTGGTCCTGCTACTCGCGTATTGGGAGGGTATCCCAGCTCGACTCGCTGGGACCATTGACCGTTGAGTGGGAAATGGATGTCTGCCAAAGCGGAGCGCAACACAGCTGCTATTGGTGCGCATGGTTTGCCTTTATAAACTAGACAAAGAGAGCGTTCAGGCATTAACATTATAAACAGCGGCGATAACTTTAACGCCTGGGTTTGTCAATTGGCATCCTCACTAGCGGACATCAGTGGTTGGAAGGACCACCGAGGATCAAACCGGGCCGCGGTGCAACAGTTATAATAGCTCGTGTGTACGTCGCACTCACGTGGTATTATTCTCTACCTCGGGAGCATCCTTGGTGTACACCAAGCTAGGAAGTGCAAGCCGTGGTGTGTTTCCCCCTTGCTCTCCCTTGGCCCAGAACGCAATCCCCTCTGGCTCATTGTGTGCCTTATGATTACGCACACCGTCTGCAACATAACTGTGTGTTCTCGTAAGCGCGCCCCTACAGACCCCTACAGCAGACCCATGGGCCAGCCACACAAACCGTGCCTGGATCCACACGGGGCCTGGACTTGGATCTGGATACGAAATCAAATTTGCGACAGATGCATCTGTCGGCTCCCCCCCTTCAGAAGTAAAAAATCCGATACTTGATTTCTTATTGCCGGACTTTAACCAATTAAAACTATATATTCTGTGTGGATGCTGGTCCTGCTACTCGCGTATTGGGAGGGTATCCCAGCTCGACTCGCTGGGACCATTGACCGTTGAGTGGGAAATGGATGTCTGCCAAAGCGGAGCGCAACACAGCTGCTATTGGTGCGCATGGTTTGCCTTTATAAACTAGACAAAGAGAGCGTTCAGGCATTAACATTATAAACAGCGGCGATAACTTTAACGCCTGGGTTTGTCAATTGGCATCCTCACTAGCGGACATCAGTGGTTGGAAGGACCACCGAGGATCAAACCGGGCCGCGGTGCAACAATTATAATAGCTCGTGTGTACGTCGCACTCACGTGGTATTATTCTCTACCTCGGGAGCATCCTTGGTGTACACCAAGCTAGGAAGTGCAAGCCGTGGTGTGTTTCCCCCTTGCTCTCCCTTGGCCCAGAACGCAATCCCCTCTGGCTCATTGTGTGCCTTATGATTACGCACACCGTCTGCAACATAACTGTGTGTTCTCGTAAGCGCGCCCCTACAGACCCCTACAGCAGACCCATGGGCCAGCCACACAAACCGTGCCTGGATCCACACGGGGCCTGGACTTGGATCTGGATACGAAATCAAATTTGCGACAGATGCATCTGTCGGCTCCCCCCCTTCAGAAGTAAAAAATCCGATACTTGATTTCTTATTGCCGGGCTTTAACCAATTAAAACTATATATTCTGTGTGGGTGCTGGTCCTGCTACTCGCGTATTGGGAGGGTATCCCAGCTCGACTCGCTGGGACCATTGACCGTTGAGTGGGAAATGGATGTCTGCCAAAGCGGAGCGCAACACAGCTGCTATTGGTGCGCATGGTTTGCCTTTATAAACTAGACAAAGAGAGCGTTCAGGCATTAACATTATAAACAGCGGCGATAACTTTAACGCCTGGGTTTGTCAATTGGCATCCTCACTAGCGGACATCAGTGGTTGGAAGGACCACCGAGGATCAAACCGGGCCGCGGTGCAACAGTTATAATAGCTCGTGTGTACGTCGCACTCACGTGGTATTATTCTCTACCTCGGGAGCATCCTTGGTGTACACCAAGCTAGGAAGTGCAAGCCGTGGTGTGTTTCCCCCTTGCTCTCCCTTGGCCCAGAACGCAATCCCCTCTGGCTCATTGTGTGCCTTATGATTACGCACACCGTCTGCAACATAACTGTGTGTTCTCGTAAGCGCGCCCCTACAGACCCCTACAGCAGACCCATGGGCCAGCCACACAAACCGTGCCTGGATCCACACGGGGCCTGGACTTGGATCTGGATACGAAATCAAATTTGCGACAGATGCATCTGTCGGCTCCCCCCCTTCAGAAGTAAAAAATCCGATACTTGATTTCTTATTGCCGGACTTTAACCAATTAAAACTATATATTCTGTGTGGATGCTGGTCCTGCTACTCGCGTATTGGGAGGGTATCCCAGCTCGACTCGCTGGGACCATTGACCGTTGAGTGGGAAATGGATGTCTGCCAAAGCGGAGCGCAACACAGCTGCTATTGGTGCGCATGGTTTGCCTTTATAAACTAGACAAAGAGAGCGTTCAGGCATTAACATTATAAACAGCGGCGATAACTTTAACGCCTGGGTTTGTCAATTGGCATCCTCACTAGCGGACATGAGTGGTTGGAAGGACCACCGAGGATCAAACCGGGCCGCGGTGCAACAGTTATAATAGCTCGTGTGTACGTCGCACTCACGTGGTATTATTCTCTACCTCGGGAGCATCCTTGGTGTACACCAAGCTAGGAAGTGCAAGCCGTGGTGTGTTTCCCCCTTGCTCTCCCTTGGCCCAGAACGCAATCCCCTCTGGCTCATTGTGTGCCTTATGATTACGCACACCGTCTGCAACATAACTGTGTGTTCTCGTAAGCGCGCCCCTACAGACCCCTACAGCAGACCCATGGGCCAGCCACACAAACCGTGCCTGGATCCACACGGGGCCTGGACTTGGATCTGGATACGAAATCAAATTTGCGACAGATGCATCTGTCGGCTCCCCCCCTTCAGAAGTAAAAAATCCGATA